ACTTGCAGGGAACATATATTATTTATAAATAGTATATATAATTACACACACACACACACAACACACACTATTTTATTTTTTTATATATTTTTTGAATAAGTTTTTTTTAAATATATTAGTGTTAAATATTTTTATTAATTTTTATGTGAAGTACACATAAGAAAAACAATTATTACATGGAGATCAAAATTTCTAATCATTTATTTTGCGTACCAAAAAATAAAACTCAAACTTTCTAGTCTATATTTTCAAATAATTTATTTAAGATATAATTCGATATGGTTAATGTCAACTAAATTGTTAAAAAATAAAAGCTATTATTGAAACAATATCTTTAAAACAATACCTTTTCATTACATGTCTGTATTTGCTAATCGACACATTTCGCGTACTTTATAATTAGACGCGCAGATGAAATTATTTATTTCAGGAAAGACGTGATTACTATAAAGTTTTTAAAAATGCTTTTAAAAATATCAATTTTTTACGTCTATTAATTTCTTATGTCGTGGTAAAGATGGCTGTGCCAGCTTAATAGACGTCAACTTCTTTCTATTCGATTCTAGAAAATTAGAATCAATTTATTTATGTAATTATATTCACAATCACAATTGTAATCGCCTATTATAGTTTTTCGTTTTAGAATGCTTTTAATTTTCTTAACTGTACGTATACATGTATATATCTTGAGAAAAAAACCTCTTATCCCATCGTCAATTTTGCTAAATGCAAGAAACGAGGAAGGAAGTAAAACTGCATTGTAGACAAAAGATTGAAATACTAGAGAGACTGCATAGTCTGCAGACGCTCTTAACATGCAAGAAAATTAATGAGGCTGTTGTCATTTAACTGGCAATTGAAACAGCCATCGCGTACAAGCTTAAGTTCCCGAAAGCTCCTCTGATAAAACATCATCTTCATTAACTATCCTTTTTACCGTACATTTTAAATTCTACTACTCAACAATCGAGACAATAAGTCACTTCTCATATCTTTTCTTTCATTTCTAACTAACTTTTCCAAACAATAAAACTTTCAGAAGTATCTAAGAAGGAATTTAGGGATTAGGGTAAGGCCAACCTGTAATTCTTTCTGAAATACGTTGCTTGCTTTTAAGATCTTGATTATTAGACTCTCTTGTAAAATAATATAAACTAAATGTGGCATTTTTGGTAACGATTTAAATTGTTTATATATACAATTGAAGTATATTTTAAGCCTCCTTTATACATATTGTATATAAAATTTTGATGATTTAAAATTTTGTATTTTACAGGATTTAAAATATATCAATTACAATCAGCTCATAAACTATTTAATTTTAAATTGTCAAGTATATCATGGTGCGGAGATGTACATATTTACTTTAGATATAATAATTTATCTTTGGAACGCGTGCGGACGATTTTCTTGTGTAACAGATTGCAATTCGATACGTGCAATTTACTCGAAAGTAAGTCATTCGTGCCTCCGCGGGAGACGCTATAATGAAATAGCGTGCATAGCTTCATTGGCGAATACGTCACTTCCGAAATCACATTGCGAACGGTGGCGGGATATTGCGTTTGTGATTTGCCATGCAAATATGTTATTGGAAGCGACAGGCGGTATCTTCGATTTGATCGCCGGACGCGAAGCACCGGCGATGCCAATTTCTGTTCACGGCCAGTTAACATTTGGCATTCTGCAAGTAATCACGGCGCAATAAATCCGCGCGTGCTAGATCCGCGGTCATCGCGAGGACGTTACAAATTAATTCGTAATCCTGCGGAGGCACCGCGTCCACCAGGAGCGTTCGCAATCATCGTGCGTGCACGCATCAAACTCTCCTCTTCTCTCTCTCCCTCTTTCTCTTCTTTGCTCCCTTGAAAATTGCATTCATCAAAATATTAGTGCCGCCGGTGTTGAATCATCAAACGATTCACAATTGCGAACGTTAACATTGAATTTCCCGTGCAATGGTAACCGGAAATATGAAAAAGATAAAACACATGTTGCATTTCGTACGCGATAAAACCAGGAGCGCGTAGGATGAATCTTCTTTGAATTCATTTTTGGATTCTAATAGAAATTTAATTGACAATAAGAATGTTAAATATAACTATATTATTATTTTATATAATATATAAATTAATTATTGTGATGATAATAAAACAAGTGAGCAAAAGAAATGATTAATGGTTTATATTAATATTTTTTAGAATTTTAAAAGCATCGGGATTTTTATTTATTGCAAGCATTTTAATTAGTACGGGGGTCGCCATCGCAACGCAATAAATAAAGCAAATACCAGTCATCAACAATGACTGCATTTAAATGTTAAGAAACAAACGTTTGCGAATTTGACTAAGAACAAAATAAACAAGTTACAAGTATCGCGAGTCTAATTGCCACGTATTTCGCGAGCTCTCTTCCCATTTCTTCGCTCTTTCCATTCTGACAGAGGTATGTTTATTCAAGTGGCTCTAACAATTATTAACTCATTCCATTATACGATCATTTATCTTATAATTTCTTATAATATAAATATTGTAAATTTACTGTCTTCAATAATTATAATAATATTGATAGATATTTATGAAGGGAAATAGATTTCACATTAGCTTCCATATAGTACAAAAGGTGGACCTTGAAACGCGGGTTGAAGGGGTTCTCTGGAAGAGAGAGGTTGGTAAGCCTCGCTAAGCCTGTAAACGTTTGCCGGACGCCGATAATAGGATTATCATGGAGAACTGTTTACCAAGGTTGCCATAGCCATGCTACTCCACGGTTAATTGTTTTTACCGCTTGTACTTAACTATGTGGCTCAATTAATCTCATATCTTTACGCGATAATTGTAATCACGCGATGACGATATGTAATTGAAATCGTGATTTACGATTATTGGGGCGCCGTAATCGTGTCGCAAAATCGTTTTCAAAATTTTATCCGACGCATATTTCACTTGAATGAATACGTTCTCAATAACTTGTCGTAAATTCATAATTATTAATTATATAATTTCGAAATACCTTATTTTCTAGGGCAGTCATGCAAAAATAATTAAATATCGAAAACTTTTAAATACCTCGCTCAAGTTTGGAACGTTCTTGGAGCGAAAATTTGAAATTCGCTAATGCTTTGTTCCAAGAACGTTCCAAACTTCAACGAGGTGTTTAGATCATTTCGCATACCTTATCATTATACTTTCGCATTTCTGCGGATGAGATACTCTGCATTCCAGTGATCTTTCGCTTCCGGTAAAGGAGAAAGGGCCGTAGAAGCCATATCGTTTCATTATTCGTTTTACGTTATTTGTTCGTGCAAGAGAGTGGTTTGGGCAAAACGATCGGGTAAAAAGGGCGGCGCGCTTATGGATCGTTAGAGTCGAACGTGCTGCTGCAAACGAGAAGCGTTTGTGCAATTTCGCGTGTGATTGTGTACATCGATATACTGCAAGCGCGGATTTGTCCACATACATATATGTATAGATTTGTCCGCGTTATCTGACATCCGAACACTTTGGATAACAACGTGCTAGTTCTAAACGATCGTGCATTCGTGTTTCGTTAATGGCGTGATTCGATCGCTGATATTCATGCAAGAGCGAAAAAGAAAAAGAAAACACAAATTTCAAAGTAATATCTCGAAGTATTATCTTGAAGTTTGAAAATTGACATCAAGTGTTTTTGAGGTAGCTTATTTTTCTTTTGTAAAAAGGTGCTATAAATCCTCCCGATGGCTCGTCAAAGACGAGAGTAATAAAAAAAAGTGAGAAGAAAATATGAGGGGGTGAAGCGAATACATATTTCACAAATCGACATGACGTATTACGCACAGCAACATATATAAGATAACTTGCATTCAAATATGAATACAAAACTCCGAATACGATATATTAAAATGCTGACATTAGATTTCACCAGATAATTTAAAATAATCCTTTTAAGGAAAATTTTAAACTATTTGATTAGAACAAAAGATTTTTCTTTTTGCTGTGATTAATTAATCAAATACTTTGAAACTTTTATAGTATTACATTTACATTGGCCCAAAGATTATATAAGATTCATTTAATTAGAGAGATGTATTCAAGAAATAATGAGAGAGCTAAATCGATGACATAAAAATAAAATAAAAAATCGTTCATAAACGATAATAATCTTGTATAATATTTACATAAATTATCGTGCATCTCGTCAGAGTTTTCTTTTGAAATTTTATAAATTATATAAACACGGTGCAAAAAAATTATGTAAATTATAAATTGTTTATTGATTTTATTGATTGCTAAGTATCGTTATTTTAATTTACTACCACAATCATTTTTAATTCATTTCTAAATTCACGTATAAATTGACATACATGTAAAACTTTTATATTTATTAAGTTTTATGTGATATATAATTTTTGTAAAATTTAATTGTAGAGTGCAAAAATTTTAATCATGAATATCGTCAATGATATCGTTTTGTCAAAGATGTCTTTTGTACATTTACTGAATATTTTATAAAAGAACAAAAACTATTTGTTATTATATATGCATATTTTATATGTAAACTATGATTTTGATAACTTTGAGGAATTCTCTTATCATGTAACAATACACACGCGTTCAATGTTACTTTCTATCGGAAATTTAGAAGCTTTAGAAATATTTTGTTATCCTATATGGTGATATCCATGAGAATTTATCTTGTGAGAATCTTATCTGCTGTTAATAAGAAAGAGACATTGATATTTTACACATATCTATCACAAAACAGAATTCTTATTTTATTGCAGAAATCTAATTTTATCGCAATATTTAATTAGTAAAGAAATTTGAAATTATTTTGTCATTTTTATGGGATATTCTGCATAAAACTTTGTCATATTGGACAGAGATAATTAGACAAATTATTTGTATGTATGTTTACAATATTAAATTTCTTTCTCTCTATGTTTCGAATAAAATAAAATAATTTTTTTCTTTGTAAAAAAGAAAACCAAATATTTGATTTATATTTTATTTTCTCTTGATATACTTGACATAGCATTACTAACAATATTCGCAATTGATTAAAAATAATCGAAATACTACATTATTTAGGACGGATTGATACGATTTGATATTTTAATATCTCTCTCTCTTTCTCTCTCTCTCTCTCTCTCTCTCTCTCTCTCTCTCTCTCTCAATATTGCGTGCGATAGGATTTTCTTGATTAACTATCGCGCTTAATACACTTAGCTTCCATCGCAATCACACGTCACACCGATAAGAATGCTGTGACAATCTTACGCATGGTCACGCATAAATTTAAATATGCGTAATTCTGCGTAATGCAGCATTTTTCTGAATTTTCAAATCAAATGGCGGTGGTCTGCGGTGCCGGGGGTGGCGTCAACGGCGTCCAAGCGTTCGGCTGCTCGCCGGCAATCTCCGTATCTTGTCGATGATTGTGATGATGAAGATGATGGGGAGGATGACGATCGACGACCGTCAAGTATCTTCTTTCGTCGTCCGGTTGCACCTCGTTCAAGGCGTCCGCGGTTTGCTCGGGGTAACCCATCGGAATATGAGGGTGCTCCTTAGGTGGACTATCGTACTCCACACTGACCGGCGAAGAGGTTTCCGTCTGCGGTAGAGCCTGCAAGTGCAACATCTGCGCTTGGGAGTGATGCTGCGGGTGCTGCTGCTGATGATGATGACGGTGCTGATCGGGGGTGGTCGACTGCACCGGCGAGGCGTGATGATACTCGTGGACGTATTCGCTCGCGTCTGTCGGAGCGACGGGATCTCCGCTCTGCGGATGCAGACCATGATGCAGACCCGTGTGCGGAACGGAACCGTACGGGGACATCTGATGGTGCAGGTGAAGATTTAGATTTAAGTAGGATTGCTGTTGCTGCTGATGCTGCGACTGCTGCTGCTGCTGCTGTTCCAACGCGGATGGATGAATCCAGGACGAGTCGACGCAGTGTCCGTGCTGTTCCTGGGACGGTACGTACAGGGTGCATCCGGTCACGGTCGTCGTGGACGCGGTACCGACCACGGCTCTGCCGAGGACCGTGTGCGCCGACGACGTCGGCGACGGCGACGGGGATGTCGGCCACTCTTGCGACGCAGCTGACGACAAGCACGTGGAGTTGAGATTCTGCAGTGATTCCGGACTGCGAGGCGACCAAGCCGGTGCCGTCACGTAAGCCGTGGAATGCAACAGAGGCATCGGCGTGTATGCGTCTGCGTGTTGTTCTGCACACAAGTGATAATTGAAAGTAACTCGGAAGAATTTCTTTTAAAAAGATGTACTACACTTTTGATAACATGTATGCATTAGTATATATGTGCTTTTGGTTTCAACGGAGATTTGGAAAATTGAATTGAAAATTGTTTGAAAAGTAGACGTCCAGAAGATTTAATGATTATATAGATAGAGATTCTTGCAAATTAATTAAAGTTTTTCTTCAAGGATCGATTAAAATTCCGAAGGAACAATGATAAATAATTTAATTTTGCGTACCATCTTGGACATATTTATGTCTCAAGCTATAAGGAGCTGCTCTGCAGGTGCTCCTGTGTCCAGAAGTGGTGACCGTGCACGAATTGGAAAAGTGATTGCTAACGCAGGCCGAAACTTGATTTTGTGCGACGGCTATTGCGGATGCAGTATTGTACTCATATCCCATCGTGGGCTGCGGTAAAAACAATGCACCCGCATCTGAAACAATATTATCTTATTAAAAATATTGTTATTATAATATATTTGACTCGATTTCGATTTCCACTCCGCGTTCAATATATTATTATACATATCATAAATCAACTTACATTGAGGATAAGTTTGTGAATCGGCGGGCCTCTCTTTAGCATCGAGAAATGCCTTCGCGAAAGGATTGTACTTGATCTTCAGACTCGTCACTTCCTCGTTCTGATACGCTGTCACTGCGATGAATTGCGTTTCGGGGAAACGATACGTGAGAACCTGCTCGAATGATGACATCATTATTTGCATCCCGTGTAAATAAAATGATTAAACGCCACATTACATTAATAATAAAAATATAAGTGTGTAATTTGAGGAAGAAAGAGGAAACGAGGAAAAAGAAAAGGAAGACGTACCGTTCTCTGCTCCTCGGCACCCACTCGGACCAGATGAACACGTGGTTCATACTTGTGCAACGAGTTCAGCATGATCTGCCCATTGCCATTCGACTTATTTGTTAGCTTGACCTTGGCGAATGATACCGCCTCCTTCATCCAATGTGCACCGAAATTCGGACTCTCCGGATGTATATAAATCGGATTAGGCGGAGCAACTTCCGCCTTTCCTCCTGGTACCCACTCGCCATTGACATACTTCCATCTGATATTATATAATTTAATCAAAACAAATTTCATCTCTATATTAATTCGTGACTTATGTAGACGTGTGATAATGTGATAAAAAGCAAAATGCATGTGTTCTCTCTCAAAATATGAGTTTAGATTTCACATATATTTTTTTTGTGAAAATAATAGTGAATAGGAAAATTTGCGTAAGCCAATTTGATTGAGAAAATTCGCCAGCAACAGAAAATGTCTCTTGTATTATTTTTCGTCTTCTGAGATTGTTTTGCGAAAGCTATTATGAGCTCTTCTCAGTTCGTTCAACACCGATGACGAATCGCCGACGAGTTAAAAATAACGCTCTAACAAGTTTAGAATCGACTTTAGCGACGTTACGTGATGCTTGAACGAAAAGGGTACGGTAATTACGACCTGTTAGTGTCCTTCGCGCCCCCCGTTCTTTCTGCTCGCGAGATAAATCAACGCAAATCGGTAACCCGCTCATCCGTTTACTGCCTACGCAACATTTCGATGCTATGCGCTTTCTATTTTGCTCTTAGCATAATTTTATAATTTGCACAATTCCAGTTCCCTACTACCTAAAAAATGGTTACTTAATCCTCGATCCGGGCGAATAGCGAATCATTCAAGATCTAAAATTGTAAAATTGATAGCATATAGATAATATAGATAATATAAAACATAATATGTTTGAAACGTTCATTCATGTTTGAAAAAAATATTTTTTTAATATATATAATATTAGAATAAAAATATTATGTATTTTATAAAAATATATATATTTTCTTGTTTAATTCATTTTACTTGGAAAAAAGCAGGATAGAGGAAATAAAAGTGTACAATATATTAAAGTTTATCCTAAAGGACACGTAAAGATTTTATATACATTAAAATATATATATTTATTTGATGAACGTTTTTAATTGTTACAATATCAAATACTTGAAGCCTTTTTTTTACGTTATTGAATTTTTATGATGTCTGATTTTTATAAAGTTGCACATTCGATATATGTTTTGTGAAAAATTTTAAAAAGGGAGGTTCTAAAGTCCTTAACTTGCGACAAAAGTTAAATATAATGATTGCTATTTTTCTGATACATTTGACGAATAAATAATCAGATTATTACCTGTGTGGATCGATTTGAACAAATTCCAGTAGCAGCGTGTACATGGCCGCCGGTTCCAGACCACGTGCAACGACCTTCACCACGGGAAACATCCTCCTACGGGCGAAAGTGACATATGAGGAACACCATTGCATGAGACACCGATCGTAAAGTTCAGAGATTCAGAGACCAATGTCGACGACGAGATTCACGGCGCGGATCAAAAGGTAACCGCCTCGCAGACAGTGTGTCTTCGGCGCATTTACAAGCCGCGTATTAATAAAAGCGATTACGGTTTGTCGACTGCGGATGTGCAGGTAAAGTGCTCGCTCGCAGGCATCAGCTCGACAAGAGTACGTTTTACAAGAGGATCGTAAGCATCGTAAAGTTTTATTGCCGACGGCTGGCATCTTCTCACAATAATTCCAGAGAACTCTATTCTTTCTACGGATCGAATCTTTATCATTTATTTTAGTATCCTAATTATGCATTATGTGCTTGGTATTATTTATTTCCTTGCAATTAATGGATATCCAGGCATGTGGATTTTTTTTTAAATGTTTTCGTGACAGGTTATACAAATTACAATTCCAATTTTCTCTTTTACTATTTGAAAAAAACCTATAATTATTGAGAGCCACATGTCAAAAGGAACGTAGAAAAAAGTAAGAGAAGAAACTGCTTAAAATTCACTACGTAACATTTTTAAACCATGCTTTTAATATTCTTGTTTTGCTAGCAAAGTGTGTCTCTTTGATTGAATATGAAGAACGTTGGATGTCGCATATTTACGATATTTCTCTTTTCGGAGTAAAAATTACGATATTACCTTTTCGGAGTAAAAATTAAAAGGCAGCTACCTGACAATCAATTTATTTTGTTTTATTTCACAATGATATTTCCTTGTTGATAAAATTAGAATTAAAATCTACTGAAGTACTAGCTAAATCAAGAAAACAAAGAGAAATCATCTCTCTCAATTTTGAATTAAATTTCCGACTTTGCATTCTAACTAATATCTCTGCTCCCAATAAACGTAAATAGTTTTATGTGACTTTGATATCATTATAAATGAAAAAACTGTGCAATGATGATCTTCATATGTATATTTCAATTTTTTGAAGTACACAAAAATCTGAAGATCTCTTCTTGAAATCATTTTCATCTCAAATGTTCGTAAATCATATTATCGCGGCGTACGAACACAAAGAAATTACAAATTCAATAACGCGCGTGTCAAAACTAATCTCTCCTTCAAGATCAATAATGCTTATTAACCTTCCAATTAACACATGTGCGTCTATGGCTGTACCTTCCGTTTTTCGTGACGATCATCTCGTTCGTGATGCACTGGAATCTGGTCCAGAGCTCCCGATCCTCCAACGACAAGGACAGCGGCAATCCTTGATTCCCCGTGATCGCGGCAGGAGGTCCGAGAGTCTGTCTCGCGATCGCACCCCGCTCTTCGCGATCCTCTCGATTCTCCTCAGGACTCGTCCGACTCTGCCTTCCGCGCTCTCGCTCGCGATTCCGCTCCTGTTCGCGTTCCCTCTCGCGCTCGCGATCGCGTTCGTGACACGAAGAACGCGTTGGAGAACCAGGCGTTCGTGGAGCGCTTGCCGATTGCATCTTCAACGTTCTCCGGTACCTCGTGCCTTTCGCCCTCTCGATTCGAATTTACAAAAAACCAATTAAAGCGTTTTGAATTCTGAATGACAATGCGTATTCGAAGGGTAAACGAGAGAGAGAGAACCGCGGTATAATGTGTTTTTCAAATAAAAGATAGTGAGAACGAGACTCGGAATTATTTTTCTCGTCGATGTCGCGATCGATTCGCGATGTCCCGCGAGAAAAACGGACGCGATCCCACGACGGGGGGCGGCGGGGGGAGCTGGCGAAAGGGGACGGAAAATCGTCGTTCGTCGCGGCACCTCAGACGTCTCCATCAACGGCCGAGGATAGCCGTATCGCGAGGAGCCGCGCCGCGTGACCGTAGGCTCGTAACACTTGGGCGCGATATTTCACACTAGCCGGCGAAGACTCGCCGAAGACTGACCGACAGTATATCTGCCTCTCTGTTCTCTCTTCGCGTCCTTTCTTTCTCCGTTTCTCGAGAGTAGGCACCGGACCGAGTCGCGTTCGCGTTTGCCGGGTGCTAATTACTCGCTAAATTAGAAGCTCACGGGTGCAGCATGGCGGGTACCACGTCGGTGTCCATTGGTCGAAGACAGTTTGATCGGTCGTCCGGTCGTTGCGAGGGAGAGTGCCGCCTTCGGCGGCTTTCTTTGACCAATGGTCGAACGAGTCGGTTCGACGAATCCGCCACGGTTGGTGAGTCCGATGGTGAACGCGACGTTCGCCAGTCCGCCCATGTGTTGGTCGGCAGGTTCTCTCGATTAGTCCTCGCGGACGATGTACGAGGGTTCGCACGTGATGGTCCCCGAATCGCGCCGTGATTTGCCACCTTGATCGACGCTTCTCACGCGATCGATCGGCTCGGATTTGTTCTCGATCGATAATGAACGTCGCGACCGATGCTGAGGAACCGAGTCTGCCAAGGTCGCGAGGAAGTGTTCCTCCTCGCGCGGATCCAGAAGACGCGCGGCCGCGATACCGGATCGAGTCGCGGCGACATGTCACCTCCTCGAGTTAATATTTGCGTCTGTTGCGCTCAGGAAAGTATGCGACACGTATTTGTTCCTCGTGAGATAAGTAAGTGCTGCTCTTGTTGCCGAGGTATAACGGATCTCGATGGAGCCGCCAAAAACTCGAGAAATCGATTTTCTCTTTTAGAGTGCTGTTGATCGAGAACTTGTATCTAAATACTTATGTTTAATCTGGATTATATATATTCTAGCCGAAAAAATAAGACAGAATCAGGAGTATATCTTTTCTTCATTTTGCAACGGATGAAAACTGATGACTTGATCCTTAAACGTTTTCTTCAAAAAATAGAGATTTTTATTATTATATTTTATATCTAATTACACCTAAATTTTTATAATTTTTTCTTGTGCAATTTAGATATGACGAAATATCAGAAATTTAAAAAATCTTACATAATTTATTTAGAATGTCAAAACATATGTGCATTATTTTTCGGCAAGAAATTTTCAGAAAGAAAAAAGATCTTTCTAAGGAATTGACTTTCGCGGCAATTTTGATATTTGTCGATTATGAAAATGAAATTCTTCTCGTCTATCACGGGAGAAACGTTCGGGAAGATAGAATCGTGTTGGTTGTCTGGAGTCAAATGACAAAAATCAACAGAGCGTCGTTCAACCAGCTGCACGAGGCATCGCGAGTAGATATTTGAGCAGGACCGTTTCTTGTTTGCCATCGTGCACACGGTTTCGGACAGCAATCGGCGGACGCGAGACGGCCATAACCCTATCGGTTATTTGTGCTAGCAATTTCGTGCGGAGAGCACGGAGTCGCGATCGTCCTGATGCTGCGACATCGGCCGGAGGCCGAGCTGAGCCATCTTTATTGAACGAAGGCGGTCCGAGGTTGCCAAAGGTAATTACAATTTTCAGCGCGATTGGATCCGTCAGTATTTGTAAAAAACAACGTCACTGGTCCTTGGGCCACAAAGTGCACGATGACATCAACACCGGGCGAGATCTTTTCGAAAATTCGCCGTCGAAAATGAAAGTGTCGCGTGTATCCTTGGGCAGCATCTGATAGTTGTAAGAAAAATAATTGTTTAGGTTTCAATTTAATGATACCATTGTGAATGCGAATTTTATTATATTAGAAACAAGAATGCGAGTAGCAACTTTTCTATATTTGAAGCTGAGAGCCAATTTTTCGCGTGGAATCTTATACTTTTTTTCACGATTGTCATAATTTTTTTTACTTATGATTTATATAAATATGTCTAATGTCCTCTACCTTGGTTCAAAATCTAACTTTTCTTTATATCTTGTAATTATATTATTTTTATTTAACGTAAACCTCTTCTCTCATCTCTTCTCTCTGATTTTTACATATAATATACTGCAATTGAGATGTGCAGCCCGCCTCAATTCACTGCTACACGATTTGAAAATTGATATATTTCCTCCAGAATAGATTCACATCTGTTCTGTCCACAACACGGTGGCGTGTCATAAAAATTTTTACCCCAGACAACTTCTACGCAGCCTGCAACACTGCAGAGGTAGTTTACGATACAGGTATCTTTGATTGTTGCTACCTGCCGCTAGGTAGTCTTTGGACACAAATCAGAAGGTCTCTTTTTCTATTCGACAACTCATTTATCGCGTTTCAAGATATGCCGCCGTGGTTACGATCGCTTTGATAAACTGCGCCGAAATTGCCTCTATCCTTTTGTATTCATCTATTTACAAACTGTACTCAGCGAACATTCTAAGGGGAAGTTGTGCACAGTTGAACGTCAAAAACGGGCGGTTTTTATTAGTTAAGATATATCATCATCTTTCACAGAATCTCAATTATGTTTTTCTTAAATTTCAGTCAAAAAAACATCGTTCAATTTATAGCATTTATGACGTATTTAAAAATCAATGATAAGATGTAATGCGGAATTTTTAGAAATTTTTGTGACAGTTTAAAGTTATTTATTATGCGTTATCGCGAATGAATTCATTTAAGATCCTGTAAACGAACGAAAGGTAACAGGGTAATTTAAAAACAAGAATGAGAGAGAGAATTTTTAGAGATTATATTTGCAAAAATCAATTGCTTAATTATTTGAAAAAAATTTTTAATAATATTAAAAAAAAATCACTGCAAATAACTATAGCGAAAATAAATAGATTTCAATTCTTTTTCTCAGATTCATGCAAGCTAACGAGTGAATTCTGATCACGATCAATCTTCAGGTTGACAGCTTCGCTTCCTTGTTCTCGTCGAATGTCGCGATCCCTAATTTTGTCTTCGCTGGCAGTGACACAATTTCGTGGCGCATGATTGCTAATAATTCTTTCGCGATCCATACTTTGATTACCGAGCAAAATTGGGAAATCCATCGGATGCGCGATTGTCACCTTCTGTCGCATCCATTTTCTTTCGTCCGAATCATTAGAATAATCCAATAAAGCTGCATAAGTCTATTATAATTCATTATCGAATCTCAATTAAACATTTCAAAATTATTACAATATTCAAATAAATATCAGAAGCAAAAATATAATTAATTATAATTTCAATTTTAAGATGATATCAACATTCTTACCACTAGATTGTCGGGTATCTTATTTATCGCATGTCCACTTTGCGCAAACCAGCAACATTCGTTGGGTAAAATGCGCGAAACTAGTTGTCCATTTTCTGTGATTCCATGAAAAGCATTGGTTCCTAGGATTTTATTGGATGTCGATGGAAAGGGAAACAGCAAGGGAGTCGTCAGGTAGGCTTCTGGGATCAACTGGGAAAAATAAGACTAGTGAGACTGGGCTCTTTCATTTTATCTTTACTGTCGCATAGACATCCGTTTATTCTTGTCATACTGCTCGCGATCGTCCCAATCGAATGAGAGTAAAGCATACATTTTGCGATGAGATGAATCTTTACATCCATCTCGTATCACAGGACGATTATACCGCAAATGCCAATTCAACTTTGTATTTCTTTTATTTATTTTGAAAGCATGCGCGTTAATATTTTCTGCATCGGAAAAAACTTGACATTTGTGGTACCTATTTCGCATAAAACGTTGTAGGTCTGTTATAGGTCGGTTTGTTTTATCTCTTTTTAGCTACCGTTGCTTATGATATTGCGCATCACACAGTGTACATTTACGTTCTTCTGATTAATTAAACAGTACCCCCTTATTTGTAAAGGTTACTCGCATCTTTCAATATGCACAGTACATCGACGCCAAAAAGACGATTTCTTTACGACGTCAAATACTATCGATATCTAGTTTAGATTACTTCAATCTCTCCGTCCTACGGATATAACGTCATTCTTTTTCGTTATGATATTTTTATATGCACGCTTTGATTCGACAATTGTCTAAATATGTTTTTGATAAGGCGTGATTATGTTTATTCTCCGTTGCAAGAAGTGGAATATATTTTTAATTATATTATATACTTTCATATGTGTCACGCTTTATTCTGCAGAATATATTCCACGTTTCTCGAAGCGGAAAGTATTTTTTTTTTCACTCGCGAGCGATCGCGCGAACAGAATGAGGGAGGTTTCTTTTACGCGACCATACATCGTAGGACGTAAGCGCGACGGTGAACGCGACATAAAAGTTTCTCGTAATTTGGTCCCATCATAGGTACAGGGTATCCGGCACGAATTTATCCCGAATTAACTGGTCAGTAGACTAGACGCAAGTTACAGATATTAGCGCGTATTAATAATCTGCCAGCGAAACACTATTGAATCATTGGACAAAATAGAGTATGCGAGATTGACATAACGAGAAATAAATATACAAGCTTAAATACAATCGCGTTTAAATAAAATAAAATATAATATACCGCTTAATTAAAACACTCTTAGCATTGATTAACTCTTTAAATTTAATGAGCAATATATAAATTATAATATATTGCCTAAATATATATAAACATATATAAGAAATGTTTATAATTGATAAATGTTAATTAATTCCAGAACAGGGTCGATTCTTTTTCTTTCTCTTTCTCTAAAAGAAGTCTAGGCGCAGATTCTTAATACGAACCACCGTGCATTATCCCTTCGCAATTATTTTCCAGAAGCGGAAAAACGTTTCGACTTTCCGGCTTCTAACGCTCGCAGGCGTGTATCACTTTTATTTGATCGTTTCTCCGCGCGGCAATACGTACTCATCTAAAGAATCTACTAAATAACTTATTCTCTTCGTCGCGCGTATTCGTTCCTTCACATATTACACACGAGTATTATATATATATATATATATATATATATATATATATTTATATATATTTATATTTATATGTATAATCGCTCTCGTCGACGTAAATAACACCGACGGCATCTAACAACAGTGATGGAAGGTGCCGATCGACTACGGATCATCTCGGCATTAATTATTTTTGATTACATCTTCCTTTTGGCATACGAGACGCGGTGTATCGTGCTCTGCTTTGATTCTCGATAAGGCGAGAGAACTCGACGAGAACTCCCCGACGCGTCCCCGATCCTCTGGAAGGCACAATCTCGACGAACGTTCGCAGTTTGTCGGGACGTTTCGTACGCCAACATCGATCCCCGACAGCTTTCGCTAATCGATGCACTTGCATTCGCTACGCATGACACGCGTGTCCCGCTTTTCCTTTCCGAGCGGCGCTATAGGTTTCGACAGAGGTTTCGTTATCGGAGACAAGTCCAGGAATTGAAGCCGATATAATTACCAGCTCAATATCTAATATTATAAGAGACGATTCTATTAATTATCGGAAATGTCATTGTCACGTGTAAGAGTCTTGCGAGGGTTTTAAAAATTCAAATGCACGCAGCAAACTGTAGCGGTTGCAATTTCTGAATGAGTCTCCTTCATTGGCATATGTAACACAAAGTATGGACACTTCTTCGTCACTGAAATCTGCTACACATCAAAACTACCATAACGTTACACTCGTAACTTATATCTATCGGAAATGCAATATACTGCCGTTCAACCTCATCGCAATCTGTCACGCGTCGGAAAGCTACGGGAACCGCTTTAGCCTAAGAAAAGACAAGAACAACGTCCTCCTGGAGTCGATCCGCGGGCGGTACTCCGTATCGCATCAGTGGCATTCGTCATAATTCCTCGGAAACGACGCTAACAAATATTGGACGTAAACCCTTCCAATTATAACAAAAAAATTCTATCAATTTTCCCCAAAACCTCGCGGCACCTTCGAAGAAAGCGACGAGGGAGGACGAATGTCGCCGAGACGATACGCCAGACCGCTTAAATTTCGCTACCTATAGCACCTACGTGCGGACTGTGCCAGCGCGGCGCCGCCGGCTGTCCGCAGTAAGCGCCGACGGCGTAAGCCTGGCCATCCTCGGCGTCGAAGATCTTCGAGGACGTGGTGGCCGCGACGGCCGCGGCGGCCGCCGCTGCAGCGGCCGTCGCCGCCGTAGCCGCGGTCGCGGCCGTCGCGGCCGCCGCAGCCGCGGCCGCGGCCGCGGCCGCGCTCCCCGTCGCCTCCGGCGGCGGACGTTCCTTACTTACGTCGCCGTCGTCGCCGCCGTCGTCGCCGGCGTCCCCGCCGCCTCCGCTGCCGCCACCGGTGCCGGTCTCGCCCACCATGTTGACGAAGAACTCGGATCGGGAGAATCTGCCGATCTCCGTGGAGCCGAAGGCCTGGTGGAAGCCTGGGAGCGGCTGCTTGGATACGGGCCTCCTCTTCGCCTCGAATCGCTCGCTCGAGTGCCGGGACTCGCGCTGCTCCTTCTCGCGGGAAACTGTGCCTTCCTGCGGCTGAAATTGGCGCGGTTATTGGTGAATTGTAATTGTGATGGGTGAAACAGGTGTTTGCGGGAGAATGCAATATTGCGGGGGTTGTACCGTAGAGGTTGGCACGAGTTCGTCGAGAGATACTCCGGAGTTTGCCTCCCATCTGGTCCCGTCGTCCTCCTCGCGCCGATTCATCGTCGTCGTCGAGTCTATGACGGAGTCCACGGATGAGTCCAGCAATCTTGGCATCTGTATAGATAATTCGATATTGATTCTCGGGGGAGATTAAATTGATATAAAGTTTGACGGAGTCGCAATTTTCCGCACTGAGAAAAATCGTTTGATTGTACCAACAAGACCGTATATGATTGAAGGCATTTGGGTTAAATCAAACAAGAATTTCTAGTTATCATGATAAGACTCGATTTTTTTATAACTAGAACATTTAATAGATTTATTTTCTGGTTGAATCTATAAAATTTCTTGTTACATTAATTTCTTTGCTTGCTTCTTAACTTAACTCGTATTCAATATTTGCCATGAAATGTATATAAAGAACTAATATTAACGTTAAATCCAAAGTATATTTTTTTTCTCTTATGAACAGTAGTACCAGAAAGAGGACACTAGCTCTCTGATTGTGTGTGTTTAAGCTGCATCCTCTTCTTGCATTACTGTTTATCGGTTTAATTTCTGACAAACTGAATTGAAAATAATTTATTCAATAATCTGGATTGAATTTATCCAATAATCTTGTTGGAATTCAGAATATTAAGCAGACTTTTGAGATTAGATGGACAAAATTTTTAGTATTATTAACCAGAAAATTTGATAAATTTAACAGGAAGAAATTAATCAGATTCATCTGATAATTCCTACAAGAATTCTGGTTTGTCCATTTTCCAACAGACATACTGGTTGAATCTACCAGAATTCTAATTAATGCAACCAGATTTTTTTCTCAGTGCGCTATTTTTTTTGCTGTAATTTATAATATCTATTCGTGCTATGTAAAATTATTTTATCAACACTTTACTGAGGAATAATGCAGTATTCATTTTTGTATACCTGATGCTCCGGTAACGGATAAGACGCGCGGATGTTATCAATGTTTAATTTTCTCGGAGCGTAACTCATCTGCGACGCATCTTCCGAAAACGCGCAGTGCCTGGTTGGCGTACGATCCCGTAAGAAAACTGCATGTCGCGGACCTCGAATCGTCGCGTTGTGGGCCACGAGCGGGACATCTAAAACAACATGTCGTATAACGAAGAGAAAAACAGATCGTACAAGATATTTCGTAGATATTACACGCGACACACCGCTCGATTAATGCAATTATTTCGCGCGTAAACACGCATGATTAATGTTATGAATTAAACGATAAAATTACGCGCGACATGGAAGAATAAATTGGACGTAAGACTTACGTGGTAGCACGCCCGGGCAAAATTGGCCCCATGGACCGTGCGTGTGTCCATGCGCGTTTGTATTCTGGACATTCGGGTGAAGAATGCCACCCATTTGCGGTGACGGATGCGGCGTCCTCGGATGTGGATGAGGGCTCACGCTATTCTGCAATCAGACATATCAGGCGATTTTCGCAAACGTGACAATCTAGCGAGAAAACTGCCTGTTCATATTTCGCTACATAAAGTACACAGAAATTAAAAAGCGCCTCGACTTTATTCACGAAAGGCCCAGAAATCGTATTAAAAAAAAGTAAAAAAAATTAATAAACGAAATATTTATGTGTCAAAATCGAAAGCGATTACTTGATAAGGATGCCACTTCTGGCCGTCGACAAAATCGGCGTACTCCGCAGCGGATTCCTGCCGTCGAATCTCCCTCTCCGCAGCCGCGATATCCGGCGAGTAGCCGTTGGAGGCAAACGCCTGATTTCTTTGGTCCTTGATGGGCTTGTCGAGATCGCGTTGCTGCTGATGCATCGCGCCCATCGCCTGGAGCCTCTCGATCGGATCGCCGCACACGTTTCCGTACCAGTCGCCGATTCGCGGCGAGTGCGTCGGTTTCAGGCCGCGATTCGCGGCCTGGTACCAGGACTCCTGATGGGGACTCACGTTCGGACCCATGGGCACGGACGCGCAATCGAAACGGTGATGTTGGTTGAGGAATTCGCCGGAAATCGCGGACGCGCCGCCGCCGATCGTGCGCGCGTTTGCGTTCGCGATCGCGCTCTGCAGGATTGATCGGCGCGACAGCTCGCGAGTCTGCTCGCGCATCGCCTTTCGCAACCTCGCCTCCTTTGGGTTGTACACGTAATCTGCGGAAAACATACACGGGATCGTTATTAACACGAAAGAAACGTCACGCTGAGTCTCTTGTGGCCTGTCCTCGAATATTTACATGTAATACAGAAAAGAGAGAATACCACTTTGATGAATTTTTAGAAGATATCGAAAGAGGCGAGATTTTTCAGAAGATCTTTAAGACGTGTTATGACGCATGCATGTTGAAATCTCATCATGTATGCGTAATAAATCGCGTTGAATTAGTTGTTTTTTAATTTTCTAGGATTTTATTTTCTCTAAAAATTCAAAAATGTAGAGAAATTTTCAAATTTCCCCAGCATCTAACAATTCAATTAATTTTGAAATCAAATACTTTTTTAATATTATATTTTTTTGTCCTATACTTGTAGATAACTTTTAGGATTTTATTTTTTCTGAAAATTCAAAAATGCCAAGAAATTTTCAAATTTCCCCAGCATCTAGCAATTTAATTAATTTTGAAATCAAATATTTTTCAATATTATATTTTTTGCCCTGTACTTATAGATATTTTTTTATTTTATATTTAAATGCCTACATTTTTTAGACATTTTTTATTAAACAATCATTTCGAGGAACAAAAAGGAAACAACATAATTATCTATTGTTCACATAGTTTATATGTATGTAATGTGTTTAAAGCAAGATTATGGTGAATGACCGATGCATATTGCATTTTACATTTTTTGCGGTAATCTACCTGTCGGATATGTGGAAGGTATCGTCCCGTTGTATCGAGCGTTAATGTCGATCGCGTTAGAGATCGGCGCGGTTTCGTAGCCGCCGTACGCCGCGCTACCATTATCGTAACAAAAGTACTGCTGCTGTTGCTGCTGCTGCTGATAAAAGTGACTACCTGCCGCGTAAGCCTCGATGTAATTGCAGCAGTCCATCTCTGCGCGATTATGATTCCTTACGTATCGATCTAGATCTCGTCTGCCAGCGACACGCTTAGGCTACGCTTCTCTCGTCGGGCTTATGTTAGACATCCAAGTGAGAGAGCTCAATCTAGATCCATCTCGGCTACAATGTATCGCAACGTGAACATCCAAAGACCAAGCTCTGATACTTTGATCGACGAACGCGTCTCTGAAATATTTTCCCTCGATGTTCCCGAAAATTGCGCTGTTGGTACTTTTCATGATAGCACGCGAATCATCAAAGTTAGTCGGACTTGGCGACTGCTCGACATCTTGATCAATCTCGATATTAATTCGCACATGTATATTTCCTTTCTATTGTCTTAGTGTCTAAAGGAGGGTCTGTGGGAATCCTCGTCGAGTCTTGGCGACTTTACGCATCGTACAGAGATGTAAACACAGATATGTAAACACTCGGTGTAACGACGCGAATGATGCTGGGATCTTGGCCAATCTCGCGCTCTTCGCCAGTCGACACGCTCGACAAAACTTCAGCCCTCGCGCCTTCAGGTCTTTCGAGAGTCCAAGCGCACCGAACGCGCGGGAAAGAAACGAGACGCGCGATCGCACCAATACTCGTCGGCGAGAGAGTCGCGCTCCCCGCGAGGGAGCCCGATCGATATCTCGATTTCGCGGGTCCGCGTCTCGCGCCTCTCGCGAATATAAACACTGGCCGCGCGCGACCGGCGTTCCTCCAGTCTCTGCGTTCTACAGCGTCGGAAGGACTCCTCGTCCTCACTGCGAGGTCGCCGGACGCTTACGTGGGTGGGCCGTGCGACAGTCAGGAGGCATCGTTCGATCCATCTCCCGCATTCCATCGGGAAGATTCAGCGTTCGCGGTTCCGTCGACGCCGACCTCCTCCTCGTCGTCGTCGTCGTCGTCGCTGCCATCGTCTTCGGGGATGATCGACTCGCCGGAATCAGTGCGCGTCGCGATCGCCGATCGCGCCGACTGTCAACCCCCGGACGCCGTCGATCGCCGCGCGCGCAACGTCAACGACAAATCGTCGCGAGTTCGCGCGCGGTCGCGATCCGGCGTGTCCGGTGGGCCGCGCCATGCTCGCTGCAGCCGCGGCGAGATCGATGACAGAAGCTGCGCTCCCGTTGCACCTGCTGCACGTCTTGCGCACTTTTACTCCGACGAGCGAGCGCGGCCTTCTTTCGCGTCGTCGACGAACTCGATCTTTTCGTTTGGATTCTTTCTTTTTTTTTTTTTCTCGTTTCGATCGATTGGATCTTCCTCGCGAAAGATTGACGGTTCGTTTCGGCTCGCAAAACTGTCGTGGAACGCCTTCGTCTTTCCGTTGACGCCCGCTCTAATTTGCTCTCACTGTTAATTAGTCACTTGACCTAGTCCACGCGACGCACATCGATTAGTCGGTTCGGAGACGCGATTTTCCACGCTTTCATTTCCCCGCGAAATACTCGTCGTTATTTATCTTTCTCCCGAAGTTCCTCTTTTACGAAGAGAGAGAGAGGATCCTAATCAATTTTCAAGTTACCAAGTACGCTCCTTTGCTAATTACATATCGTTTCTCTCTTGTTTTCCGATAAATATCTATCTACGCTATTATCACAACGATCACCGCGCTTCTATTTACTACGATAAGCAAAGGAGCGCGCTTTCGAGCCCCGCTTCGGTGCGTTTCGCTCTCGATTTTGGGGGCGCGCAACGACCCATTTACTTGTCTGTTATCCCGCCGTCTGTGTCACGCTGTCACTCGCGCGGCGAGAGGGAGAAAGAGAGAAAACGGACACGTTACGAAGAGGCGGGCGGACGCGCGCGCGCGCGTGCCGCAAGCGGGAACACGGGAGGCCCCGCGTTCTTCCCTCGCGGTGCACTTGGGTCGCACTGATTTCACCCGGCGGCAGCGGCCGCGGCGGCGGCGACGGTGACGGTGGTGGCGGCGGCGGCGCCGCGACGAATTTACGTGCGTTTCGTCATCGACGAGCCGGAGTGCCGCGAAAGGGGATGCACGAGCGTGGAGGGCGCCTACCCCACCCTCTTCGCGGGCGTCGCGAGGTGCGCCGCGGGACGGGGGGCTCGCAGGTGGAGAAAACAGTGGCGGATTTATCGATAAACGACCAAGGAGGGTTCCGCATTTTATTCCACGGGTGCACCCTCTTGGGGATTATCGTCGCGTAATCATATGTCTCTCGCAGATGTATCTTTTCGATGATAAATGACGATCTCTGAGGTTGACGTCATCTTGATTTTGGAATCATTAGTGGCGTAAATAGAAGAGATTATCGTAATTATGCGCGTAGACTTGATATTGTCTCGCTCGGGGTTTCCCAGGCTCTAAATCCGCCACTGATAGGGCAAGGTGGAGGAAGAGGGACGAGGGGTGCCGGCGGGATTCTCCTCTTCTCTTCCACCGTCGTTGCCTTCTTCAACGGCTTCAAGCCGGAGCACCCTCGTGCAATGCTCTCGCATCGACGCAGTTCCGCAAGCGGCGTACGGCGTTCGCCTCGCCTCGCCTCGCCTCGCGCGAGTCGATAATTCGTCTCTCACTCCCGGTTGTCGGATTTGAGGGTGCGTCGCTTCGACCGGAGCGCGGAGGATCGTTCCGGAGAGAGCGGCGGAGCGATCGAAGAGGATTAACTCGAAGCCGCGTCGATCGGAGCGGCTGTATCCGCGTTAGTCGAGCAACGCGCCAGACGCTCGACATATGTCTCATTATTGCGGAATTATGCACGACGCGTCCATTCAGCGCAATTTCCCAATTCCCCGATTACTTTCCCCTAATTGTCTCGCACGCTTGTCCATGCCCGACGATATCCTACATCAATCTGACGAGCAAAATCCTCGATTTTCTCTCTCTCTCTCTCTCTCCACCCCTTCGGCCTCATTCGCGCACAGGCAGTTTCGCGCGTCGGCAGGCGCGACGGCGCGTTTCGTCGCGTTTCGCGCGACCGAGATTAATCGCGTCGCCGCGCGCCGCCGATTAAATATTCTCCCATTATCATCGTTTTGCTGATCCACGCGCATCGAGAACGATCCGAGAACAACGCATCGACGAGCCTCCCTCTTCGCGCGCCCGACACCCCTTTGCTCCCCTCACCCTCTCCCGCGCCTCTCGCCCTCTCTCTCGCTCCCATCGGCGTTCACGTCGGTGTGGATCGATGACCGGCGATCAGCCCGGTGCACGCCGCGACACTCCACCGTCGGCTCGTCGTGCACCGCCTGGATGCAGGGGCCTCGACATTTTGACGGCTTCTCTCGGCGCGACCTACTGCGCGCCAGCCACCCCCTTTGCTCTCTCCCATCCCTCGCTTCTCTCTTTCTCTCGCTCCTCGACCCTCCCCCTCGGTAGCGACCCTCTCGCTCTTCGCCGGCCACCCTCGCCCCCTCCCCCCTCTGCCGGTCCACCCTCGCTCTCCGCATTTCGCACGCGCGCAGATGCACGTGAATTCGGTCGACGCGTTTCGTCGATGTCCGACGGCGCAGAACGCATCGATGCGGTCTCGCCGCTTCCCGGTGATCTTAATTGACCACTCGGGACGGACGCCCGACCTCCCCCTTCCCCCCCCCTTCCTTCACTCTCCTTCCTCCCCGCGACTGAAATTGGCATCGATTACATTATCGGCGGATGGTTGAAAACGAGGACGAGAGAATTGCGCCGGTGCCTGTTGCGAGCGAGCGTTTCGAAAAAGCCGGGATGATGTGATAAAACTTGAAAATGGGAGAAGTGAAGTTTAATATCGTTACGATAAATCATAAAGCGTTGAAGGCAATCAATCGACGAGGATACGATTATACACTCGCTCTCGATTTAATTTTTATAATTATTGTCGCGTATTTATCAAATATATCCCGATTAGTATTATTTATATATTGATGATTTACTCGTCAAAATAAGGTGATTGTGAATAGTATTAATCTGCATAATTAGAATTTATTTAATTTATTTAATTGTATCGCGCTTGATTTTTTATGCTTATTCTATCAGAAAAAATTATTTCAAAGTTATGTAAAAAAGAATATGTAATATAATTATAATAAAATATCACGTACAAATGAAATGAATCGTGTAAAAAGTAAAATTATAAAAATCGATTCGCTAATATCTGCATCGGGAGAAGGACAATTTGCGGTTTGCTCGAAGAAACGAAGGATCTGAACAGTACCGGCTGCGAGAGACACGGACAAAAATAATACGTATCGATCTAACGGGTTAACTATCTTTACTATCCCTCCAGCGACGCAGCCCTATAATCGGTTTAAAAAATTGGTCACTCGAACTACTTTCTCGACAGCTTTATGCTCTTTTTATACCTAAAGATTATTGAGAAGATTTTACAATAAATTAAAAAAAATATATTTGAAGGAATATATGTATATATTTGATATTTATAGGCTTTTCTTTTTTCGCACAAAAGTTAGGAGAAAATAATCGCAGGTTGACAGAATTTTAATTTAGGAAGCAAGATCCACTATTATTGCAATTTTCGCAAATAAAAAGGGATATTCAAAATCGACGACTAGCATATCAAACGTTTCCCTCGCGACGCTCGACAGCAATGTCAAATATATGTAGCATAATCGCGCTCGTTCTCTCGCACGTTTACTCGTTCGTCTTCGGTGGGTGTAGATAGTTAGATAGGTAGGTAGTAGGTAGGTGGAAGTATAGAGAGAAAGCCTGTGGTCATGTATCGGGCAGGTTCCTAGAGTCGTGTCGCAATCAATACCTCCGGTACTCTCTCTCCGCCGTTCCCACCCGCGCGTTCTCCCCGCGTCACTCACCCGAGAATATTTCTCTCCGCTCGCCACCCTGTACCTCGACCCGCAAAACTCGCATCCACTCCGCGTCCTCCCTTCTTGCCGCGAGAATCGCTCACGCTCGTCGTCGCCGACCTAGAATCGCGGTACCCGCCCCCCCGATTTTTCTCTACCCCCTGTGATTGATATAAATTTTAAACAAAAATCTGACGTTTTCGTTTGGAAATATGAGATATATATATATATATATATATATATATATATATATATATTTCTATTTAAATGCATAATATTCTTTTCCTTAGACGGAGAAAACATGAATGATGGCGACGGGGCTGAGTTTGCGGGTCTGAATCAGGGAAGATCTTCGGGGGTGGATGGACTTTTCGCTTTTCATCGGCTGATAACGCGAGTCGACTTATCGCCGGCAATCGATATTATCTAATCTAGCTCGACTATTTTTAGAGCGCGGCCCGACACTTTGGCACATCGTGCACGCGGCGCAAAAAAATGGGATTATCTAATTCGAACGGTCTATCGATTCGCGAGAGTCTACGAAACATTTCGGTTTTTTATCGACACATTCTTATCCGCGTTATCCTTCGCATCGATCCATCTTTGCAAGGATGGGAAAATCCGTATCTGCGGAGAGCACATTATGCGTGATCAGATAAATCAGGAAATTTCGACGTGATCCGCCAGATACGTGAAAATGAGATCGGATTAAGGAAAGATATTGGAGCAGGACGTACCAGGATATTTCCTCTTATGCTCCCTGTCTACCTCACGCGCCAGTGCGAAATACTTCTCCTTCATGTCCTTTGACATATTTTTCCAAAAGATGCCCAATCTAAAAGAGTAAAAAGAACAAAGCGTTTTATTCTCAAAATACAATCTCAACATCTTTAAATAATCTCACAAATTTATTCCTCAAAAAATATAGCAAGAAATTAGTATGTAAATTTATTATATAAATTAAATAGTTATTATATAAATTAAAAAAGAAAGACCCTTTCAAGATTTAAAATTAATTTAAAATCGAGAAATTCTTCATGGTTAAAGTTTGATGGTTAAAGTTAACTGAAACGAGTATCTTTCTTTGAAAAAAAGGACTAGCCTGACGCTGATGTCCTTGTTGGATTCTTGGGGATTCTCGGCGGCAAATTTTCGTCGCCATTCATTGGCGAAGAGCATAAAGGCGTTCGCCGGCCTCGGAATCTTGCGCTTAACTCCAAGCGTCGTCGCATCCGCAAGTCCTCTACCATCGATGCATAACAACGTCGGGATGCCGGCGCTTTTGCGTCCGGGCGATCGATTCACCTGCTGCCGCTGCTGTTGCTGCGGAAAAATCTTGTCCGCCTCGCGGTTGCCATGCGATATCTTCGGCTCGTCGGGAATGCGCTTTTCCTCCTCGTTCTCCTTGTCCTCATCGTCGTCGTTTTCTTCTCGAAAAGAATGCATCGAGGACCTAACATCGAGGAGGCTAATCTCATCATTGACCTTCTTTCTCTCCAGATACTCGCTGGAAACGGATGGTCCTGTTTCCGTTGCTGATACCACGACAATGATCTTTCTTTCGCGGTCGTTGATGCATCGCTTTTCTTCACAGATCTCATTTATTTCATCTGTGCATAGAGAATATTATTTAAATTCAATTTAACGATGAATTCTCTTCGGGAAAAATTTCATCAAATTTTAAAACTTTTCTAACATGTATATTTTATATTATTTATTATCCTCTATTTTGTTAATTATTTCATTGCTTTCTGAATTGATCTTTGAATATTAATTAACAATTTTGAAGTTTTCCTACTTTAAACTGTTTTAAAAACATTTCGCGCGAATGTTTCACGTTCTGCATTATTCAATGTGCATTTAGTTTCGACATGCGCGTTTCAGACGATTGTCGCGTCATGAAATGTTTAGGAGTCTAACTCAATTTTATACGCTTACCCTTTTCGTTGAAATTCAAGACACGTTCGCGAGTCTCCATAGCGATGAAAATTTGTCGCTTAAACTCGCCACCGAGGACCAACCTTCGCGCCGATTTGCGATATTGTTATGCCGGTTTAATAATGCACTCTTAAATCTTCCGATAATGGCGAAACATGACACACGAATGCAGGCATTCTTCTGTTGTCGTCGGCATCGCGTCGCTTGTTGAAAGCACGTAACGATGCACCGATCGTCTTATTTTGATCCTTCTGTCATCCAATGACGCTAATGAATTGCCAAAGAGAATAAAAGACGTCGCAAAAGACTCATAAATGTCACTTTTCGATTACTCGGTATAATTGTCATTTTTCCATTTTTTTGCATTATTTCCTTGTCATTTTCGTTTCTCGACATGATTTCTCAAGTTGTGAATATAGATCTTGATAAATGCACGTGTAGATCTAACAGTATAAACTATTACAAAATATTGTCGTTGAAAAGAAGCTGCACCGATATAGAAATCAAAGAAGCGTAAGCTTGACTTTTTACAAGAAAACGATTAGCTCCTTTATATTCTTGATAATATAGCTCGTGTCTACTATATTTGTTAGTTTCTTTATTAATAATATTTTTATAATATTAATGTAATTTCTTTACGATATATATAAATTCTCTTTCTTTCTCTGACAAAATTATATTCAATATTATAGTAACATTTTATGCAAAAATATAACAGCAAAGAGTGTATCACAAAATAGTGCTATTATTTTCTTTTAGATATCGACGATGCGCTGTACGATACAATCCCTTACAGCAAAAGAACGGAGGTGCCGAGGCGATTTTCGCCTTAGCAGCTGAAGCGTACGACGTGCTCTCAGATCCTCTTAGAAGAACCGTATATGATCAATACGGTGAAGAAGGGCTTAAAAATGGTGTATCGCGACCAGAAGGATTTGTGAAACCTTACGTCTATCACGGGGAACCAATGCGAACCTTTAGGTGAAATAGGAAACTATTGATTTTTTTGCAATTTTATTAAATTGAATTGTGAATTTATATATTTGTTTTTTATTTTGGTTTCACGACCAACATGATATTTTAAAGCATTTTTCTCTCGGAATTAATATTCTTTTTGAAATATGTATTTATTATATGCCCATTGTCAGGAGATTAAATATATAAATTAAACTATAATTATTTGATTTCCTATAAAAACAATTTTTGATACTTTAAATATTAATGTCATGTTATAAATTTTTAGAGAATTTTTTGCAGTTCAAGATCCCTATAATGATCTCTTGAATATTCTAAGTGAGCCTCAACCTCTATTCGAATTTCCTGAAGGTCGAGGTATTAAACGAAAAGAAGAACCCTTGATCAAAACTTTGTTTTTAACTCTTTCGGAGGTATAAAACTGATCTTTGCATTGTTCTTTATCTCTATATTCATTATTCTATATCTATTTATTTTTTCTTTTACTTTTCAAGAGAGAGAGAGACAGAGAGAGAGAGAGAGGTTGCAAATTATTTATGAATTGTCTCTTTCTTTCCTTTTAAATTATTTCCTTATTAATATTATATTAAGTTTCATAGAAGATAATAAAAATTAATTTAATATCTTAAACTTTATATAAATATATAAATGTACAAAAATAAAAAGCGAAGATAAGTATAATTGTATTTAGAACAACAGAAAATGCTTCGTGTAGGTATTTTTCGGTGGAATAAAAAAAATGAAAATTCAAAGATTGGTTTTGGTCGGCAACGATAAGTCAATTACTGTATCGATGGAAAAAATCTTGACGATACCTATTAAACCGGGGATTCCCCCAGGTACTAAAATACTATTTCCAGAAGAAGGTGATCAAGGACCCACAAAGATACCCGGTAAGTCTTTCCATTGTGTTCTTGAATTTGAGCTTACGACTATAAGGGTGGTCGCTTGAGTATGATTACAATTACAATAATAAAACAAATGGATTATTCCTTTGTTCATCAAGTTCTGCTTACAAGAGCAAATAATTCTTTATGTATAAAAAAGAATTAATTGATATAAATTTTAGATAAGATAAAAAAATATTTAATTTTAAAATAAAATATTTAATATAAATTCTTATTATATATTATTTAATTTTAAAATAATATTTAATATACATTTTAGATAAGATAAAATAATATTTAATTTTTCTCCTCTTATATCGTTATCAATATTAATCTTTACTAGTCGTATCCTCGATAGTTTTATTTTCCAGTCCTGTTAAGTTAAACGAAAAAATTTGCATGACGATTACGTCAATTCGTGATCAAATATAATATGATCAAATCGCACGTCGCGTCACATGACAATGCGACTTCCGTGGAATAAGGGTTAAAGATTAATCGTAACAAGGAATGATATCTTCACTAAGTCTAAGACACGTCAGTATAGCGGATGTTATCTTCGTCACGGAGGATCGGCCTCACGAAACGTTCCGGCGAGAGGGCTCGGACTTGCACACGACGGTCGATATCTTTCTAAGGGAAGCGCTGACCGGAACGGTGATCACGCTTAACACCGTCGACGACAGAACTCTTCGGATCCCGATAACATCGATCGTTGCGTACGAAAACCCGTTATAAGACCGCATCACGTTTGTCGTTCAACGTTACGCTATTTCTATCAATTTTCCCGGGACTAGTTTGCCTTGGACCAAAAAGAGTCTCCAAATATAAAATATTGCTCTCTATTTTGATATAAAAATAATCTATTAAAAGCAATTTTACGTTAACTTTTTTTACATTATTCGATTTTACACAATTTTCTTCCTTTATTTAATTGGGAGAATTAAACAGGTTTTATTTAAATCATCTTTTGCATCTCAAATCGCAGACCGGATTACATCAAACGTGTACCAGGCGAAGGTATGCCCTTCGTAGCAAATCCGAAGCAGAGAGGCGATCTGATACTGAGATTTAATATCGAGTTTCCGATTTATTTGCCGTTATTCAGTAAGAATCACATCAAGAAAGCTTTCGAAACGTCTCGTACGAACGTCAAGAATGCTGAGGATATTCATCGCCTTATATTGGCCAACAAGATGCGCAGAAACGTCGATGACAACATTTCATTACGACGAGGCGCGAATGATGAAGCGGAGCGATTAAAATTTATATGCGAAACGTGATTTCGGACTTTTGCAAATATATTTCGCACTTTATTTGATATGCATATTGATTCGACATTACTTACATTTCTCAACGTCGTAAATTCTGCAAGAAAATAAAAGTTACTCCAAATTTATTATCTCTGTGCGCAGTTGATTATTTTATTCCAATACATAATTAATACTTCTAGCTAAACTATTGTAAAATATAAATGATAAGGGCTGCGTTCAGCAGGATAAGCTGCTTTGCAACTGTTGTAAAATTCGTGAATTTGATTGATGTATTAAGATTTAGCCAAAAAAAATTAAGAGCCTACACGAATCAAATTTACGAATTTTACAACAGTTGCAAAGCAGCTTTTTCTGTTGAACGCAGCCGATGATAATTAATTATGATATTTAAAAGATAAATTAACAACAAAAAGACCAAGAACGTAGATGGTGTATATAAAATACCATTCGAAAATTATATTCATCTTTTTACGTTCATGCATTTAATTTTGTGACATATTATGCATCGATATAATTATATATGTATTGCAAACATATATTTTCTTATTTATATATCTTTTATATATTTTTATCAAAAACTAAAGCAAATTTAATTGATGTGGTATCATTTATGTGACTGTAAATTAGCCTGAATTTTTCTTTCCAACGCTAAAATAGCTGACGTCTGATATCATCGACCCTTAAATGAGCGATGTAAGCATTCCAGCATCAGCAGACCTAACATGCCTTTGAAGCGACCGCTCATTGTTGCACGATCTAACGGGTGTCTCCATCTTGTGGCATCTATTACTGATCCAACAAAACTCGTCCATCGGTATACTTTGAATTCTTACAAAATTTCATTCATCACAAGAGGATGATGGAAATACTTCATTCATGCATGACAGACGTGGGAAAATTCACGTGATATATGAAAAATATGATGGCTCGATTCAAGGAGCGTTGGGCATCCGTCAAGCCTCGAGGGCCATTTCAGCCAACGACAGCGATTTCAGCTGTGCTATTATCTCCGGCAATCATATGACTCCTCCGCACGTGACTTTATTTACAGTAGACTTACACTCCCGCGAACATGTATGGTGCAGTTCCGCGTGACATGATAGACCGCGGGGACATGAGTCTGATGAGCGATGCGGGCTAACTATAGACGACGGGCCGTGGCTTTATGATGCCGTTGCTCGATAAGTTGCTGCCTCTGAAGAAGAGTAGTCTACGCGAAAGTGTCGAGAACCTAGTGTCCGGTGCGCGAACAGCTGAGAATGATAGGTGAGCAAGAGATCGCGCGCGCGGCTCCATTTCGGAGCACGGTTCCTTATCGTCGATATTCTTTGCGGAGCATTCATCCTTATCACGATATTATTTCACGCCCCATCACATCGATCGTTTGCATTATTGTCATTTTATATTAGTGTTAGAAAAGTTGAGTTTTTTTTTAAAATAGCGCGAGATACATTTACATATCATCCGAGCAATCAAATAAAAATGATAATTACGTCGAGTGAAGAATTGATAATGAAGAGTCAATTGAAAACATGGAATTATCGTATCAGAGAAATTGATGATTACCTAACTTGCTATACACTGTGATTATTTTGTTCCACTTACTTGTTTTCATCTGTTTTACCAACGTGATGTCAAAGCGACCGCGCGTCGAGTCATTTGAGAGAGATATCATGAGAGTTTTATCATGGTTCTTTCTTATGTATGCAAATTTTTATGCTACATAATAATTGCTGGCTTTTAGTATCAAATTCTTTCATTTCTTTTCCTTTCCTTTATTACAGTTAATAAATCAAGGCATTATTGATAATTATATAAATTAATAATATTTAGCATTATACATATATAATAAATTAATAATATAACGTAGAATAATATAAAAACGTATTAATTAATAATATAAAATAATATAAAAATGTGTATTATATTTATTTATAATAGAATTAAAATATATTTATATCTTTTTGTATTTATTGTAAATCGATTACATGAATATGTTTTAAGATTTTCTTTCGGAAATGAGATTTTTCTCCGCAATAATGCAAGAATAAAAGTATAATTATTAGAATAATATATTGTATAATATATTAAATTTATGCACTTGTTAAGCACATATATGTTTTAATCATCTGGCATGCAGGTGAAAATTGTAAATGTGATTATTTTATAGGAACTCTGTGTCGCTTCTTGGAGCGGACCAAGTTCGAATTTTACTATTTAGAGAATGTGAATGGCGCGGTAGGAAACTTCTCTTCGATTCGATGACGGTGCAGAAGCATCAAAGTAAAAGCGAGACTGTATGCACAGTGATAAACAACAATGCAGAGGGAAAGTGCGAGACGTCTTTTAATATAGGAACCACTCGTGACTTCGAGGTAATTACGAGTTTCACTCAACAAACGAATTATATATGTAATTATTAACAATGTTAAATTATTTGTCTCGTTACAATTTATGATAATAATATTCTTCATATATCAGTTTTTCATGTATTTTTAAATTTTTAATTGATTATGAAAGAGAAGGCAAATATGACTTGATAATATTTTCTATATTTATTATATCTGTAAAATAAATCTTCATTTTGTTTATAATAGAGATAGTAATTTTTGTTTTATATTTCTGTTTTATATTATAATATATATTTAATTAAACAAGATGCTTTTAATTATAAAATGAAATTATAACTTTCTAGCATTTACATTTCTAACATATAAAAATTAAATATTGTTAACAAAATATAGCATTTCAAATTTTTAGCAAAATGCGATCGAAGATGATGTGAACTTACTGAGCGAAATGGTATTCGGTACTGTGGCGATGACATACAGAGGATCATCGTTTAAAGTAAGTCAATCGATAAAAAAATCTTATTTTTTAATTTATCTTGTCATAATATTATATCATAGATTTATTTTGATTATTAATTTATTTTTTCACAATTTGAAGGTTCATTCGATGAATTCTCCGCCATGCATTATGTGCACGAAGATTTTTCCAGCGACAGAACACAGCACATGCAGGATAAAGTAAATTATTTTCCACTGTTTCTTTCATAAAATACTTTTCTTAATTTTTAAAATACTTTTCTTAATTTTTACTTGTTATTTGATTGCATTATAGTGAAAGAATTTTGGATGAAGGACGATCAATGCATGTAGATTCTGCTTCCAGCAATACTAGTATGCGCTCCTCTTGTAAGTATATTAATATTAATTTTACGTTCATTCGAAATAACTTCAAATACAAAATACAATAAAGATTAACCCTTTCAGCTCCTCGATTAGATATATTTTTTGAAGAATGGAATTTAAAAAAAGACATATCAGTTTACCTTATTATGGCCATACTTCTTTATATCCTTATTAAATTTTTAATACATCTTGTATGGAGAACAGATTTTTAAAAAAAGATTTAGAAAATGGAATTTTAAAAAAATTATTCTTTGCTATCATAATCTTACTTATATGATATTCATTAATTTTTACAATTTTGCAAATAATCTGTTCAATTTTAAATGACAAAAATTGAATGAATAAAAATGTCACAAATAGTTGGAAGGGTTATTAAAAGTAGTGCCAGAATAAACCCTGATTAGGTTTCCATCGCAGACTCTCGGCCTAGTTCCGGCAATTTATCGGGTAACGATTTGCTCGCGGGTCCGCGGAAGAATTCGACCTGCTCGAGTATCGGCAGCGGTTTGGACATAGATGTAACACCTCGGACGGGTAGTAAGTTCACGTCAAACGATTAGAGCAAGATTCATTGCTGGTGTATTCACATCGTATCATGATCCAGGTTCGCAATCGTTGGAGAGTAACAGCTCGTCCGGCATCGGCAGTCTCACTAGCTTGCGTAGAAGATGGTTGAGGGCGGTCTCGACTTCTCTCGGACGATCGGATTCCGATGATGCTTTCGGGATGCTGCACTGGAGCGAAAATGGAAACGACGGGCGTGACGGATACAGGAAACGTCACAAAACCAGGCTAGGTTTGACGATGTTGGTGCAATTGGCTCAGGGCCACGAAAGGTATAGAATTACATGCATGTATTTATATAATCTATATATATTTATACAAAAAAAACATCTCTCTAAATATAAATATAATAATTTTAAATATCTTTTGTTAATCATAATAAAAAACAAAAATTAAAGATACGAGTAATTGTAACTGAAAAAAATTGAGAGATTATTTTTAATTTGTGTGTGATAAAGGATTGTTATAAATAGATGAAAAATATTTGCAGCCAGATAAAGGCGCGCCTTTTAGAACACATGGCTCTCTTAGAAGGAATGCTGGATCGTTTAAGATACTTTTGCATTGAGACCAACAAAGTCAATGGTTCAACCTGCAAGATACAGCTGGCTGATAGAATATGCGGAGCGACGTCTCGATTTGTCATTTCGCTGTTACACATACTTCTCAACGTCAGTGTCGACGTTAATACCCGTGCACCTCTGCTGTGGCATGATGTTTTACTCAACTCGGTGACAGTATATGATAATACGAATATCTTACATCGCAGTTTGCAACAAATGTGTCAATTATTTGACGAGATCGATACAAAGTCGACAAATTTGTAAGTATAGGACTATATATCTCTATTTATAATAAACGTACATTTATTTCTGTGTCTTTCAGCTTTCTAAGTACCGTAGTAACAGCTGTATTAACGTATCATCTTGGATGGATATACACCGTGCAATCTCCGCGTGATCGACAAATGGTAAATAAGAAAATCATAAGAATAACTTTAAGAATTATTTGAATATAAAAATTGTATATATTAATTTAGGGATTAAAAAAAAATTTAAAGATGTTAATAATGCAATTTTACTTGTTTAATACAGGTAGAGTTGTATGCTAGTATTGTAAAGTTATAATAATAAAATTAAACGTATTTTTTAATTGCCTTAATTTATTATTATAACTTTAACAGGAAAATTTATTAAAATTCCGGTGATGACACTTACCTTTATTTTTAGATCGAGAAATTGGGCAATTTGTATTCTTGCAATCCGCTTTGGGCGCAGCTTGGCGATTTGTACGGCGCGTTAGGCAACCCCGTGAAAGTGGCACATACCGTAGTTGCGGGGGATCCTCGAAAGACCGATCTGATTAATTCCGTCTTGTCGTTTCTGTCTTATTTTATTCGCAGCGGGATGATACAGAAACGTCGGGAGTACCGTTGTTCGTTGCAACAGGACGTGCAAATGGCGACGAATTTATTGGAGCAGGCATGCATTAAGCGACCGCATCTGTTCGGTAACAGAAGGCCGACGTGCGCTTTCAACGATCGAGATGCCGCGATTCGCAGATGCGAATCACGCGTTTTGCCATCGCGTAAACCAACGCGATCGCCTGATACCAACGATATTAACACGCTCGGCGATGGTATTGTGCAGTATCCCGTGGAACGATCGAGGATTTCGCGATCCGTCAGCCCCTTGAAGCGTAGCGACACTATGAAATCCGGCCTTGACACGCTCATGACGAAGTCAACCGAGGCGTCGGTAGACTTCAAACTGCCAGCAAAGGAATTTTCGCCGCGCGAAAACGGGACCGAGAAATACGAGCAGAACCCTCAATCGCTTAAGGATAACGAGAGAACTTATGTATCGAGCAAAGTGAAAATAATCGTTAGCGAGATTGAATCTCAGGAGGATGTAACATCGAAGAGAGAATATCAGCCGCAAAATTATTCGGAGTACCCGTTACTGAGCTTCGAAAAGAAGCTGAATGCGCTCGGGTCCGAAGAAAATCTCGCGGCCGGAAAGGCTGAACTGCAGCATCCGTTTGATGACAATGTGGATCCGCTAAAAATGTTTTATAATAGACCCGAGTTGCCGCTCAACGTGGATGGCGGATTTGTCGACGACTTTAAGGAATCGCAGGTCTTCTTCACTCTCGGAGGTGAAGATAAATCCGTAAAATTGCCGCCGAGACCGCGATTCGGTAATACGTGTCAGTGTTCGTACACGTTCACGAAAGGGGTGCCGAGCACATCCGCACAACTTCCGGAGGGTGTGCTGAGAAAGATCATTCAGCGAAACTTTCCTGAATCATCAAAGAGCATACAGCCGCCACCGGGGGCGACGTCTGGTATGGCTGCGAGTTCCACTGGCTTTTGTTTAAAATGCAACGGTCGGGGATACATTGCCTCGCAAGATTACGATGGTAACAAACAAGTATTGGAAACACCGACAAACGCGACGGAAGTATTGCGTACAGGAAGTTCCGAAGGTGGTAGAAGCATAAAATTAGCGCGGTCAAACAGTCTGGAGGCTCTAATGGAAGCCAATAGCGTCGTCGAGCTACCAATGCCACAGTTAGTGTATTTCCCATAATAATATCCTTTAAAAATGCAATCTTTAAATTAATTTAAGTTTTTTTGTTAGAAAATTAAATTAATTAAAATTCATAAAAAGGCCAGTTTCAACATTTTTCAATTTTATGTACGACTAACATTCTATTTTAATTTCATGATCTCATTAAAACAAATTATTTGTTTCATTATGATGACGTTGCAGGTCGAGAAAGGTTTCATCAAATAAAGATTTAGTCAGAGAAACGGATTTCACGAAGACTCTTGTCCGAAATAAAATAATGCACGACGAGACCAACACCTTAGATATGGGCTACACGTGGGGTTTAGTACTACAGGGTGTTACCAAGAAGAAGAAGAGGAGAAAAAGAAAAAAAAATTCGGAATACGAGAAGGACAACGCCGAGATTGAGACGGAGGAGAAGTGGTGGTCATATATGCGGGAAGAAGTTATGGCCAGCGTTCGATTCCCTACAATCGATCAACCAGTCGCGGAGGCACTTTGCGTGCTGGCTGATCTGGACACGTGGCACGTCGGGGTCCTGTCGAACAATACGCCCTGTCAAAATCCGCCCTTGCCAGTCGGGATGTCACGTCTGGTGTCGAACATGTTGGAATCTTTCGCCTATGTATGGCGAAATTATCATTCTCCTGTTCACGTGAGATCTTTTTTAATAATTTAATTAATCATCTCTCTTTGTATGTTTTTTTTCCTTAATAAATTATTCTTTCGAATCAAACCGATGTTTCAGTGTATAGGAATTCTGGAGGCTAAACTGAGGGAATTATGGTTGAGAAGCGAAGCATTGGCAGAAATGATGATGACCGTGGAAGTGTGCGATACCAATGTGAACACTTTAACCAATGCTCTTGATCTCGACGCAGCCGACATACCGCTTCTACTTGCGGTCGCGACCACTCATTCTCCGGAAATAACGCAACGATTTGGTTTTACGCTAACTTAAATCCGTTCAATTGTTTATACTGGTGTTCTACTTACTCTACTTGGTATTTTATAGATATACATATATATATTTCTGAATATAACGTATCAATATACGCTCTGATATTTTTGACCAAGAGAAACTAACTTTATATTTTTCGAATATACGCAAATAATAACGTAATTTTATGATTAAATATATAGTAATATTTAAATTTTAATTTTAAATTATAAATTACATAAATTGAATATCACATTTTATTCATGCTCTCAGCGTCTTATTGCGAATTAGCTCTCGTCTCTAACATGAAATCGGACTGATTCTGACTAATAGAATGTGTGTATGTGTGTATATTGTTCGTATTTGGTTTTTTTATATGATTTATGCAAATTTATAGTTGTACACTTCATTAATAAAATTCGAATGAACTTTTTTATCCTGTTGTATTCTTCAAAAATTCCTCGGTATTTTCATCAATTTTTTAAATTAATAAATTACATTATATTTTGTTGGTTTAAAATACAAATGGAATTTTTAATATAAATTTACATATGCACACATATAATGTGAAACTTTAATGAAATGAATTTATCCGTTTTTCAACAACAAATTGGAAATTTTATCAATATCTCGAAGTGATGGTAAATAACGTCACATGATTTGGCCATTTTTGTATTTAAAATGTATAAAAATTATGACAATTTAATTAAATTTTTCGCTCTATTTTTGTGGTTTTATTCGATGTGAGATCAGCATTTATATAAATTATACCAAGAATCATGGAGATTTGCCCCCCTGATCCGTGAGCTTTGACACCGCAATAACTCGTTAATTGAATTTTGAATTGTTTTCGATATCATATGTATTTCTTATATATTTACAAAAAACGTATCTTTTTAAAATAAATATTTATTTAAAAGTAAATAATAAACGTAATAATTTTTATCTGCAGACCTAGGCAAATTCCGCAGCAGTCAATTATTGAAGCAAAAAATAAAATTCGGGTAAGTTTACAGAAAAAAGATTACTCTGTGATATTTGTGTTTGATGTTTTAGTATTTTTTTCACTCTATATATTGTACATTTTTTTCTGGAACATAACATATTTTAGCTAGGTCATGATGCATGTTGCAACTGTTGCTGCTGTTGTATGCCACAGCCCACATGCTACGTGAGTTGACATGTTCTAATATTTATATACAATTGTATTGATATATTCATTATTTTAAAGAGGCATAAATTAAAGAGAGCAAAAATGATCTTTACAGAAATATATCCAACCGGAGGTATCGAAATCCTTCGCGCCTCTTCGTGTAAGTAGTTTAAAGGAAATAAATTTTTAATTTTCCATGAAATTTTTATGAAATTTCTTCCTAGAAAATTTTTTCTTTCTAGTATTATTCGAAATCGGACGTACCAATGGAAAAAGATACAACATATCGACTCTCTTACTGGGAAGGCCCGAGTTCTACAGTGGAACCTATCCGTCCCGAGGACAATCTGATATGCGGTGACGCACCAATATCTGACGAAACGACACATAAAGTATGACAATATTTTACTTACGACGACTCGTCGGCAGATAATTGATTATTCTTTCAGATGAGTTATTTTGGCAACTGGTGCGTGAAAACAGATCCGCCAATAACACCCTGCGACAGGCAATTGCTAGGTAGAGGTCCGATGGAAGATGTCACGACACATAAACACGATTATTTATGGAAATACACCGATCGTATTCAACCCATAAAAGTGCAGGATAATTTGTATTGTCCCTGTGCTGCTTTGTCCGGTAACTTCTACTGTGCCAGATAAGAATATCTAATTTTTTACAATTATAATCTAGTAACCTTCAGTATTTAATAAAGATCAAATCTAATGTGACATTTTAATTATGATAAGATTTTAATTGTTCAATTAATTAACTAATAACATGTCGAAAACAGACGATACGACGTATCGTTTGAGCTACTACAACTCCTCCTGCTTAATTCCCACACCTTCTTATGCGCCGATTAAAAAATATGTCAAATCGGATGTACCAATGGAAGATTATACGACTTATAAGCTTAGTTATTGGCCGAATGAGATCCCTATAAAAGTGAATCATTCTAAAATCTATTTTATCCATAATTCGTATTTTAATAAATTTTAATGAGTATTCCTTTTTTATTTTTGAATAATTTTTTATATCTATTTTTTTATATCTATTACTTCAAATTATATATTAATATAATATTTTATTAATTTATAGTATTTTGCGTGTGCAAGTTGAACAAAATTTTTTATATATTTATTATGTAATTATTTATACTTCTTCAGGAGGAGCAATCAAAAAGAGAATATTGTCGCCCGGTGACGCCGATGGACGGATGCACGACTTATAGATTAAGTTACTGGCCTCACTGCGGTGAAAAGCCTCCCGAACCTTTTATCCAGCCGGAGAACGAAAACTTATTGAACGGCGGTTGCTGCTTCGATGACAATACCACGTATCGTCTTAGCTATTTCGGGTGTGGCGGTGATAAGCCGCCAGATCCCATTCGCCAGCCTGGCAATATAATTTTTTCACCATGTCCGCTCTCTCATGACACCGTCAATCGGGTGAGCATATTCGTGCGAAATTGCACTTTCACGGTGAATTCGATGCGCGGATGACACACTAAATCAGGTCGACATTGTCGAGTGCATTATGCGACGATTACGAGATAATTTTCTCCAATTGCCTAACAATCGTTGCGTCTCCTCGTAGATTGATTCGACTGCCATCTTTCTATTGAGCCTTAATGCTATTGTAATGAAATGACAACAATAAATATTCTTGTAAGATTGAGAACGTCGATTTTCTCGTTTCAACATCGTGAAATACAAAAACGATAAAATCTCTATTAATCATCAATTAAAATTTTTTAATAATCTAGATCGCGTGCAATTATTTGTTTGAACCATATCAATTTAATTCTTACAATTCTTTTGAAGTTTCTTCAATTGATTGCACTTTTGTTGCAGCTGAGTTTCCTGGGCAATTGGTGCATCAAACAGGAAACACCTATCACGCCTTGCCATAAGGAATTATTAGGCAGAGGCCCGATGCAGGATGAAACTACTCAGAAGCACGATTACACCTGGAAACGTGTGATACCGCCGACAGAGTTTCGGCCAGAAAACAATCTCACTTTCTCGCCTTCGCCGCTAGAATGTAAGTTGCAATGTAGTCTTGTATAAGATTTTATTAAATATAATTTAATTAGTTTATAAAATATTATTTGCAATATTTATTTCCTTGACGTTTCTTTCTTGATTAAAGAATCTTAGAGACTGTATGATTGCTCCATTTGATTTTTTTATTTCCAACGTATGATTATTTCAGCCTGCACGACTCATAGATTATCTTACATACCGAACAATCATGAATATCTGCTGCCTAATAAATCGTACGCACCCATATGCAAGTATCAGCAATCTGACGTTCCGATGGAATCCGAGACTACGATGCGACTGAGTTACCAACCCGTGGAATCAGCTGATCAGATCGAGAAATCATGCTCTGTGGCTGCCTACTATCCACCCGTTAATCCTATGGAGGACAATACCACGTACAATTTGAGGTTTGATATTTTTTACTCTTAACTAATTATTTGTTAATTTAATTTTTCAGAAAATTCCTATTACATTTTTGTTGTCTGTTTATGAATTTTGAAACTAATAATTTTTTTTCTAGCTACATTCCGCCTGGAACTCTCGTTCCACTGTCATCCTGTTCCACTTCTTGTCGCTCTGCCAAGGATTATGAAAGTAAATTCTTATAAAATTCTTCGTATCATTTTTGTATTAAATAATGTATTAAATAATATAAACTGAGGTTTATGTAATTTATTTTAGTGTCACCGCAACAATCTTGTTCCGCATCATAAATGAGAGATGGTAAGCAAAATATATCAAAGAAAAGTATTATTAATATATTAATCAATTTTGATATAAATATTTTTTATAATTTTTTGCAGATATTAAATCATGCGAATGCATATATGAATGTAAATGTCTGCAATGTGTGTACATTGTTGTGATAATAAAATGTCCTTGTGTATTATGACTTTTTAATACTATGCGAAAATTGAGCAAAACGATTAAAACAATTTTACAATCGCACTTTTACAGTTATCATAATCATGTATGATCAATTGCAATGTGAAACTTTTCTTTTTAACTTTTCTGCTGTACTATATAAAAAAAAGAAAAGGATACATTTAATGTATATTTTATTTGATGTAACGATAATTATATAATATTTGATATTATATATAACAATTAAATTGTAATGGATAGTTTAATCGATGATCGATTTATCTGTGACTGTATTCCATTTTGTATGAGCAATGTTCATCAGATTGTATCTACAAGAAGCTACGCTTTAACATGGATCAATGCTAGATGCTAGACTAGACAATATAATATTCGAGCTTCTAGGCGTAAGAACATGAATTTTATGTCACGTCGGAAGTTAATAGCTTCTTGCGTGAAAGTAGTTAGCATATCTATCCATTTGCGTAATAGTCGCGGAGTGTCATCTCCTTTTATAAACACCTTTAAATAAAAGTAACAGAGTGCAAGAGGCAAAAGACACGTTTCCATAAATTATTTTAATTTAACAACTGACTCAGACTCCATCAAGAAATTAAAGACATACATAACGTAGCAGCATAAAATTATATAAAAACTGTTATGCAAAAAATTGATATGTATGTAACATTACACATATATATGATTCTTCAGATTGAACAGCTCGTTCTCATGATTATTTATTTATGCACATGACTAACACGACTGGCTGTACTTTCACTAATTTCTATCTTCGCAGTAGAATCTCCATTAATTGAATATTTGAATAAAATGCTCGATTTTAATTTTCCTGAATATCAAATGGATCATCGTTGTACGAGTTAATTAGAGCTTTTTCATTATAAATTAAAAATGTTAATGTGTTAAAATTAATTAAAGTAATTAATTCTCTGCTTTCTCAAAATTTTAAAAGTTTGGAAACCTAATCGTGGCTTAAAGCGCAAAAGAATACATCTTCTCGATAAGAAACGCGCGAAAGTAATCCGAAGGCCGCGTAACAACAAATGCATTGCGCTAATCGGAAGCGCAGTCGCAGGCCGTTGATCGTGGGCTGTTGCGATGGCATTATTACGCGCATTCTGATGCATATGTAAGTATGCATATTAGAATGCGTTCCTCGCCCATTGTCTTGCTGGTCTCATAATTCGTAAAACTACGAAAGTACATGGATCCGAGATGATCCGCACCCACGATTCTACCGGAAGCGACACGAAAGTTTCGAGTCATCTGCGATGACGATGCGAAATATGACTGAGAAACTCAAGTGTTTCAATATTATATGACATTATATACAGAATCACAATACTATATAATTTATTCGTTGTATGTGTAATTTTTTCAGAGCGCAATGTATGCAGAATATACAGGAATATTTCACATGACATAAGTGAGCGAATAATGGTTCAAATTTAAGTTAGTATTAATTTAATTATCGCAGATGATATTTTTACGAAATATCTTAATATTTTAGATCAATATTTATATATGTGTGTAATGAACCATATCGAGATTAAATGGATCAATTTATTAATCAATTCATTGAAGTTATAGTTTTATCACAATGAAGTAGAGCGCAACGTTTTTGCAAACAATAGCAGCCATTGGAAAGCTATTGAAAGAGCGATGATAGGTTTCAGCCAAGAGTAAGGTCGTCTCGGGCAATGAGATAATCGGAGCAGGACGATTCTCGGTACCACGATCTCAGGGAGATCTCGACACGATCGCTCACGAAAGAAGCGACGATCCCACACGCATTTACTTTGGTAAATATGTAGGCTTCTCGCCATAAAGCACACGAAGCATCTTTCGAGGCCTCCTCGAGAAGGGGTAAAGTGAGAGTGGCTATAAAAGAGGATTTCTTTCCTCTCTTGGGATCGCAGTCGATCTCGTTGGTTTGCGACTATCTCCTTGCGTTTGTACTCCAACGTATTCCCTTCGTCGTTTTTATCTTGTTACAAGGTGCACGTCTCGTGAGTCAGGATGAAATACGTGGTAAGTAACCGTGAGGACCATCTTCCGGAACGTCAATCGAGCGCGAAGCGATTTTGCCTTTAAAGTAAAAAAAAAGATACTATTGTGTTCTTTCCATTGTTCTTGATCATCTGACTGTAAAGGAAGTATCAAAAAGATGATATGATTAATCAATATTGAATATTAATTTTATTTATTTTTTATTTAACTTATTTTTTATCTATTCTTTTAATTTTTAGAGAAAAAGACAACATAAATATAATATTATATATATATATATATATATATATATATATATAAAATTTTCTAAAACAACGACGATTTTAAAAATTAATTTTTAAATTAAATAGAGTTTAAATAACTTAATTTATAGTAATTAAGAATTTGAAAAATTATATATTACATATAATAATATATTTATAAATATATTTTTAATTATCAAAAGATTATTAGACAAACGATAATAGCGAAAAAACTGATGCTTGTAGAATCTTAAGAACTTATCATTGTCGTTGATACATTGATATAATCTGCATTTATTAATTTGTATGCACGAGATTTATCGTTGAGGTGATGAAATAAAAAGTGTGTGGGAATAACTTTACATAATCCAAAGATTGAGACTTTGGATTTCACAATCACTTTCCTCAAATAAACATATTCGTTCATGATATATTTTTATAATATATTGAACTTATATTGAATAATATAATATTTTTGAACATATTTTCTTTAAAAAGATCGGCAACAATTAATATTATATCTACATATGTTAGATTTATAATTTTTCCCTTTTTTTAGTAATCAATACAGAATCAATTTTAACGAATTAATTATAAATGTTGTACAAGAAAGAAAAATGACAAAAAAAAATTATAAGAAAATAAAATTACAACAAAGGAAACAGCAATATTATAAAGATAAGTTCTCGATTAAATCGATAAACGATAAAATCGAAACGATAATGGAACTAGTAACGCGATATTAAGAAACATAGGCGGGATTCACGATAGGTTGGGATGAAATGGGACGGACCCCAATGGGTCAGGAGTTAAATGACCCCTGTTGGCATTTGCTTCTTACTTTCACTCATCTCCTGAGAGCGCATCGCCGATTTCGTAGCAGAGAAATCGATAAATTCACTTTGGCATTCGTGTTACGCTCTTCCGTATCTACCCTCGTCCATCATTTGATCCGCTAATTCCTCCAGTTTCAGAATGTCGATTAGAAAGGGACGTAAACTGACGTAATCTGAACCCTATGATATAATGTTTCTACTTAATGACATAATTGCATTGCATCAATCGCATTGTTGCGTTTAAGATATGCGTTTTAGAAATATATCTTAATTACGCATTTTCATAATCGAGACAGAAAAATATCATTTGTTGTCTTTCAGGTGTTAGCAATGATTCTGGGATTGGCGGTGGCACAAGATCCAAATTTTCATGGACGCAACTATCAGCAGGATGATGGACAACATCAGGTCGACAGTAGACGACCTACATCTACTACGCCCATCCCGATCTTGCACTGGAACAAGCAACAGGAACACGATGGAACTTATAAAACTAGGTACAATTATATTTTCTATACTTTTAATTCAAGACACAGTTGTATTAAAAATAAAAAAAATTATTAAAAAGTTGAAAATATTAAAAAATAAAAATATTAAAAAAATTAATTATTAAATAAAGAATTGAATATTGCGAAAATAATTAGCCATATATATTTTATATTAGTTAGCATTTTTTGAGAGAAGAAAATTTTCTAAAAAATAGTACTAAAAATAATTATATGAAATTTCAAATCTTTAAAGTCTGCCTTGTTTTTATATAATAATTTTTCTTATACACTTTCTTATATTATATATGCAAACATATATATATATATATATATATATATATATATTTCGTCGATACAATGTATTTTATGTCCATCATATAGTATTTATATCGCCCAATAAAATATTCATTACACGAGAATTTGACGTAATCCCGAAGACACCGATGCAATCCTGGACCGGCTTCATTATTTGAATCTGTCTTGAATCTGTGCGAGCTTCGGCAACGATCATTTTAATATTATGTAATACAGTCCGATTTCTGAGCCATACGTTTGCGCAATCGATTATTTAACGTCCTGGTGATTTGCATCTTGCAGTTACGAAACGGGCAACAACATCATTGCCGAAGAAAGCGGCTACATCAAGACCATCGGTGAAGGTGAAGACCGGGCGGAGGCGATCGTTCAGCAAGGCACCTTCTCGTACACGAGTCCCGAGGGACAGCTGATCACCATTCACTACACCGCCGACGAGACCGGCTTTCACGCTCAGGGCGATCACATTCCCACGCCACCACCCGTTAGCGAAGAGATCCAGAAAGGCCTCGACCTCATCTACGCGGGCATTCGTCAGCAAGAGGTAAGTATACTCACGACCTTTCCTCTTCCGTCCAACCCTCATTGCCGATTACTGAAAGACCCTCGGATACTCTTTTCATGCTTACTTTAGTGACTATTCGAGACTGCATGAAATTCCATAAGATAGAATTTAATCAACGATAAATTCGTATAATAAAATAATTTTATGCACGATTTTATTATTATTCGTAATTAAGAAAGTAATTAAATTCTCGCAAAGTAATTAAATTTACGTAATTAAATTTTCAATTCGACTGACTATCTGAGATTCTAAAATGGATACTGGTATTTAAAACTGTATCTGTGAAAAAGAATGTAAAAATTAACAAACAGATACTACAAGATATAAAACTATTAAAGAAACTATTGAGATTCATTCATGGAGAGGGGAAAAGAAAGGGATAATATTTATTGCTGCATTCAACATTAAAATCCATTCACAATTTCCTGTCCTCAATTATCCCTACTTGTTCCCCTCCTCTCTCATCATTCCTTATCACATCTGTTCATGTTCACATTCATGTTCACCTTTATGGGAGACGTTCTCCTCGATCTTATGGGAAAAACTTCTGTTTCGCCATAGCTAGCATAGGTCACTGTTTCCACAAGCGGGATTTGTGAAAAGTCATTCAGTTATCCGTATACTAAGTGAGCGCACTTGCGAAATCATGATAGCGATCCATATCGATGGAAAGACTAAAGGTATAAATGACTTGCGCAAAAAGAAGAGAAGCGAAAAGGTAGCTACTTGCTATCGTACACGGTTTCCTTTCGACTCTCATTAATCACTTGTGTCTCTACAATAGGGCTACCAATTTTCTTCAGCTTTTACTTTCGTTCGTATAGAAAAGTACAATCTTACAGCATAACACAGATAGATCTATGCTGAGAGGTCTGCGCGTAATTAAAATTACTTCATAAACAACGATAATTAACATTCTATCAAATGAATCCATCAAAATTTCATATTTATATTTTAAATTAAATTATATTTCTATATTTTTTATTTTTAAGTTATTTTATATTTCTCATTTTCTATATTTTATCTCACGCGCAAGGGAGAAGAGCAATTTTTTAATTAAACTTTGAAATATGAAGGGAAGAGAAAGACGCTGAACGATTTTTATGAAAATTATTTTTTATATAATGATAATAAATATAATTCTAATGCTTGCGACATTCAAATAATCTCTATATTTGATTTCGATCAAAGAATAAAAATCAGATTTATTTGTATCTCATATCAAACTAGCAGGGGCAATTTATTGAAATTTATGTTTTACATTTTAGGAAGAAGAAGCCCGTGCAGCGGCCCAAAAGTCGCAAATACCATTGAACCAGCAGATTGATAGGCGAGACGATTACAACAGAAAGTATCAGCAGTGAGCTCCTGTCAAGCCTCCTGCGATATAGTGCATTTACAGCACTGTATCATTCAAGAAATAGCAATTAAGTTGTTAAGTTACATTATTCCCTCGCGCGTTTCAAATACACTCACCATTATATATACATTTGCAGTAAGAGACATCGCTTGATAAGTTCGTCTTCGTTCTTTCGTCCTTCCACCGTTTGATCATATCGATCCTTTCTTAAATGAGACACTGGCGTAGCATTAATTGATTAATTTCCACATCTCTGTCTCTCTTTTTTCTCTCTTTTTCTTTCTTAGTCTCCTTCTATGGCAAGCCGCTGTCGTAATTGTGTTCTTCGAATGCTGGGAATTGACATTTCTCATTGTATCACGATAAAGAAGAATGTCATAGGAGTAACTCGTACCAGCGACCTAATTTAATCGTCTTTAAGTTTATTTATGGTGCTATTATTTTATATGTTCCATATGTAACAATCTTGTTTTTTTAATATGCAAATTCTTAGAACCTTGACAAACTTTTTAATTTTTCTTTTTATATCATGATGCAACAAAAAAGAATTTTTTTCAAGCATCTTTCCTTTTCACATGTTATAATATCCTTTGCATATAGTATTTTATTTTTTGTGTCTAATTAATATATAATTTATTTAAAATATTTATTTCTTCCTTTTTTATCTTTGGATTATCGTAGAAAAATGTATTTACGAAAATATTAAATTTCGAGTATTTGTTCATTTCTTATTGGTGCAACAACAATTAGGAACAGAAGCACAGAACAATATTTCATGACAAAAAGAATCAAATAATTCATTTTTGAGATAAATAAATGGACACTCTTTCTCAGCCACACATTTTTATGAGTTATTAAACGTATTCTTATGCGTATATCAATTTATATATGGGTATGTAGAACTATTTAATAAACTTTCCGTGAGATAAAAAATCGTCGCTGTAGTATAAACTGTATAAGTGACCGATAAAAATCTATGGTTGATCTATGGTTGATCTATGCTTAGAGATAGGAAAAAAAGAGGAAGGTAGAGAGATAAAAAAGTATGTATGTAACGAAGCAAAGCATGTCTATTTAGTTAGTTTCGTGATACACACAAATCTATAAGAGCGTCAGTCTTCGTGCTCGGAGATAAGAGAAAAGAGAGCGCACTCCGAGGTCAATGAAATTTTTCATGAAATAGCGCGTCAATGCTGGTAAAATTTTAAATGAAGCATGATGCTCGAATAAGCAGATGCTGATGCTTTTGAATGCACGCTGCACTGTCATCATTACAATTATGCGACACGTGATATCCGCGTGCACGTTCCACAATTGCATTGACGTAATACATGAAATATTTTTATATTTGTAATGCACGATAATCGTTCTTTTTGAAATTGAACAAGTACTATAATAAATAGTAAGTATAATTATTGACATTTGTTCAAAAATAATTATGACAAATCTGTAGATTTATAAAGATAGTTTTATAAAACTCCAGAGATTTATAAAGATTAAATTAAAATATAAATATCTCTTTCTAAACAAAAGAATTTTAAATAAATTTTAAATAAATTGATAAAAATAAAAATACTTGATATATAAATAAAATATATTTGATCAGAACGAAATTAGACTTTTGAATATTCTGGTATCAAAGAGAGAGATATCAGCAGGGATATTTTACTGATATACTTTTCTAAAATCAGTTTATTCCATTTTTAGGAATTCAACGAAATTTATTAGCATACATTGAAAATATTTTTGTCAGTTTTTAAATAAAACACAATAAATTGCATATGTCGGAAATGAATCAAGAAGCTAAAAATTAAATTAAATTAATTAAGTTAAATTTGTTACAAATGCCGACAGCATCAAGAATCGATGTGATGTGTTATAATTTCACATCAAACGTAGTCTTAATATATAAGATGTGATAGAAAATTCTTTAAACTTTCTTGCTTCTTTTTTATTCATGAAATTCTCTTTTATTCTCTTTTTATTCATGAAATTCTCTTTGTAAAATAACATTTCTCTATGTTAAATAGTTTTTTATTTATTCGATCTTCGTAAAATTCTATTTCATATCACATGTACTCGTGCGCAAGCGATTATTCGCTCTCGCATTTATTATGAAATAAGTTAAGCACGATATCTTACGTACAAATCGTGTTCCTTAATCTCCAGACAGATGTGTCGATGATAATGTCGCTCGCGAGAGATTTTATAATCCGAAAATCGCAATTAACTACATGCACAGAGCGGAACGGCACGGTTCTCATCGCCATAAAAGAACGGAAAGTGTAAAAGCGATGCATCCGCTTTTACCTAACAATCAGCACCATTGTCGCGACTTAATGAGGTTTATATTTAACGATTAACTCTATCGATTAATGCTACGCGTTTATTCCTCGTTTGGCACGAGCGGATACTTTAAACGGCAGCAGATTAATTAGTACGTAGAAATATTCAAACGCACGCATTAAACTAGCAAGGAAATTACGTTAGCGTCAGCAGAATAGAAGGTAGAAGCTATCAAGATTTTTCTGAATCTGCGACGCTGGGTTAATCCTACGATGCGAGACGCGATAATACATACTTGTGTATAACTTTTAACCTGGTTTTAAAAGGTAAAATGCCTCGCTAGTAAATAAAAAAAGATAACACATTGTAGGATTAACGTATGATCCGCTCACGCCAAAGTGCCGACCTATTCTATTTTGATTTGTTAGGTGGAATTCTTCTCGATCGCAGTTCAATATTCGCCAACATTGGAAGAAGGTAAAAGAGAAATTAGGATTTAAAGACACTCCATTCGAACAGAAAAAAAAGTTTCCTTAAAAATCCTCTGCCATAAAAAATTATGTACTACTTTAACAATGTCTTGGATGAATGAGAATAAACTTTCTAAGGTATCTCTCTGTGTGAAAATCTAGGCTACTGAAGCTTATACGTATGAAGCTTATGCGCAAGACAATGGTGACCGAGTCTTCGCACGTTTCACAGATCAATGATGCAACTGGAAAAGTTGGCGAACATTGTCCGAGACGATTTTCTTTCTTTCAAGAAAGTCCCACCGCGCTTCCCTGAAAACTAAATCTAGTCCAGCATGGCATCTAACGTTGTCTCTTGGCGGTATCCGATCATCTGCTCGCGATAATAACGCAACAATAGCAGAACGATGAATCAGGAAGTGATGAGCCGCCGCCGCGAGGTTCTCGATAACTCCTTGTGTTTATATCTCGCTTCTCTTTATGCAATCTACGCTTTCCTCCACACTGCATCTCGATCGTCTCCTGATTCCATCGATCCTCGCATTCCTCGTAAATCTATATTATTTCGGATAATACTGGCAACCGTTGGCAGAGATGACACAACGGAGTCGTAGGTCGGACAAAAAAAATCGTGGCACTTCGAAAAATATTATATAAGCAACGTTGGTAAACCAGAATTCTCTGTCGAGGAACATTATTCTTTCTCATGGAACATAGAACGTCTCCACGTCTATTCAAGAGACTCTATTTATCGTTCTTCTTCCCTTCAATATTCGTCGATTCTATCGCGGTCGGAAAATAGGCGACCAACGAGAACTTCTTCAGAGAACATCGACAAGGCGGCAGTTCCGTCCGATGAACGGTCTCGAGTCGAACCGAGGCCGTCCAGCGTTGGTGAAATTCAGCGTCGATGTAGTATCGGATGCGATGAATTCCTCGCGATAAACGTCGTGCTACAACGTGACAAAGCGATTGAACAACGAGGGAACTATTATGACGAGGGGGCTCTTGAAGAGGTTCTCGAGACGCGTGTTCTGGATAGATCGGGCGGAAGCGGATCGTACGGAGTTGCATTGAAGCCGACGTATCGATTGTTCTTCTTGTGGAGAAATCCGCCGGTGAGTGGATCTGTCTTGTAATAAATCACCCGTCTGATACCGAAAGGATCGATGTAACCGAACGAACCAACGTTGTTGCCATCGGGCTCTCGTCCCTCTTCGTGATATTGCCTCCTCAGGTAATATTGGAAACCGTTTGCCGTGGTATAAGTGCCATCATATGGCGGGAAATCGGCCGTATCACTTCGGGAAATTGGAGAGTAGCTTGGTTTACTGGAGGATCCGACAGCAGGATCGTAAGGAGCTTCGAGGAGCTGAGTCGGTGGACGAGCGACTGATCCGCGATAGTAAGTCTGTGGTCGACGATGAGTATCCAGATTCTGCAATCCAGATTCGGAAGAGTAACCTGGTCGATTCGAATAATAATTATTGCCTGATATCGATGAGTAGATCGGTCGAGGTCTGATAGTCGTCGGAGTATAATAACCGGAGGTAATGTCATTACCCGATAAAGGTACAATGGCATTAGAATCTGGTCGCCTAAAACATAAATTTACACTTATTTTTATATTTATTTAAAAGAAATTTATTTGCAGTAATTTTATTTTAGTTATAATGTAATATATTAAATAAGCTTGATGAGTTTATCGATTAATCTTTACCTGAAAGGATTAGGCGGTCTTCTGGGTCTTGCAAGAACTCCAGTCTGTGCTGGAATTTTCTTTGTTTCCGCCACTGCGTCCTGGATGGGTCGATCCTTACCCACATAAACCATTTTTGATCTAAAAAATTTCGACATTTCGAATGAATTTCGTCAATTGCAATTATTGTTATTAATTATTGTCATTAATTTTATTTTTCGTTAAACCTTAGTATCCGGAATCCCTCGTGATCGGCGATATAATCCTTCAGTCGTAAATATCCGAGAGGGTCCAGCCAGCCTTCTGTTCCGATCACCGTGCCATCAGCCAATCTCTTTTCTTTTCTGTACTGACCGTTCGATGTCTGGAAACGAAAGAATCTTTCTGGGCCCTCATCGGTCTGAATATGATACTGAGTGTTGGGATTTAGATTCCAGCCGCTTCTCTGGGCCTCGATTTCATCCGCTGTCAAACATAGTGCCGAAACCTGCAACGTGAATCTGCTTGAATCGTTTCCGTGTCACGTCAACCCCTCGTTATTGCTATTGATGGAAAAACAAGCATCTTATTAGAATTTCAAGCTTGATCTCCACTTGATGTATTTCGAATGAAAAATATTAAGTCAATCAATATCTATTAATAAAAAGTTAAGAAAAAAATATTAGAGATTAAAAGTATAAAGGTAAATTTATTTTTACATTCGTGTATTTTTTATTTAAAAAATACAACAAATACATCTTCCCTTCAAATACATTTCTTCGAATTTTACAGATCTAAAAGTTATAAAAGCTGTAAAAAAATTCGATTACAACAAATTATTCAAGTATAATTATTCATCCATGATGACATTCAGACTAGATTACAGAGAATGAAAGTGAGATGTGCTGACTAAATATTACAAGTTCAAATATAATCAATAAACCGTTTAATATCTACAAGCACGTACGCGAATTAACTGTACAAGAGACGTGAGCAGCTACGTGAGGTTCTCTTCGCGAACGATTAGTCAGCATCGTTCTTGGATCTTTACGAGAGACCCGTCTCTCTTTTCTTCCTCACAATCTACACGATTGCTTGTAGGCGCGGGAACATAAACTTTGCTTCGCCTGTCGGTCGTAATCACTCCATTTACGGCGTTACGACCCGGAGACGATGAAAAATTGAACGTTCCATTTCGAGCATGACTTTGAACCAGCCCAGGTTCGAAACGTTTTATTTCGTTGAATCTTTCGTAGCATTTGATGGCAAATTCATGCTGCTCTGCTCATTCATGAGCGTATATCACATGACGATGGCAAAGAAGTTGCAACTAAAAATTTATATTTATGCTGAATTCTTGTTATAAATTTAAGTCGTTAAGCTTTCGGACGGAAAGATTTTCTGTAAGTGTTGCATACATTCTTTAGAATTTCTCTCTTCATGTTGTTGACTTTTTTGTGTCTTTCACGACAGTGTTTAAAGGAAATATAAATGCCATAAGAAAGATTTCTTCGAGCTAATTTTCTTTTTATAAAAATATACGTAATGAAGACTTTCTCGAAAAATATACGTAATGAAGATTTCCTCGAGCTAATTTTCCTAAAAAAGATTTCCTCGAAGCTAATTTTCTTTTCATAAAAATATACGTAATGAAGACTTATTAATTTTGATTACAAAAAAAGATTAATCAATGACAATTATTAAGATCAAACAACTTTTTTCTCCGCGTAGTATAAATTACATTTGCATAAATTACAATGACATACAGATATAATAATTAAAACAATACGTCGTGTGTCGTGTATCTCATTTTAGTTAGTGTAAAAATAAAATTTTCCCGTAAGATTAAAATCATATTTTGTTTTTGGTCATTGTCATCATAAAAGAGCTCGAAGTCCGTAGATTGGTCCATGATTCATAATTATTCGCGCCTTCTGGTTTCGAAAATAAAATAGAAAGTTGATAAAAAATCGAAACGATCTTATTTTACGCATATCTTGGACCTGAACCTATTCGCTGCATGTTTACTCAGAAAATATATGCAACAATGTACCAGAATAATTCCGACCACGCGGGGAATGCAGTACCTTCTATCGTAATATCTTTCATAGCGGAGAACATTGCGCGCAAACACAGTGGTCACGTAAGAGATACTTATCCCTTCTATCGCAGATTTGCGTGGGATTGACCAAGACCACGAGGTCCACTTCTCGTCAGTCCATATTAAGAGATGCCAGGTCGACTGAGCGTAGGGCTGGCGAGTAAGTATTACGCATCAAGGTATTCCGTGAAAATATTTGCAAAAATGTAAAAAAGAAATAGAACTTTCTCTCGAGAAGAGTCCGTAGATAATTTTTCTTAAAAGAATGTTACCTTTCCTATTAAATTTAAGAAGTTTAAAAAATCACACACGCAATATATTGAGATTTTTTAATATGTAAAGTATTAATAAATAAATTAATAAAGCAAAAGTATTAATAAATAATTAATGAAACAAAATAATTAATAAAATAACATTCGCAAGTACTACATATTGGAATATTCTTAATCGACATTTGATTTCATGAATTCTTTCGTAAATATAATTTAGTTTTATGGAATATAATAGAGAGAGAAAGAGATAGAGTGTCAAGGTACGCCACAATTGACCTTGGACCTTCCCATTATATGTGTACTTAATAATCATCACGTTATTGCATCTCTTCGCTGGGAAGAATTCACATTCGAGATTGCTTTAGTATCCTTGAAACTGGTTCATGTCATAGCTGCAAGGCATTTTAACTTGAAAAATGATAATTATTGTAGGAGTCGGACTCAATGTTAGATCGATATCCTTGAAACGTGCATCTCTGAGAGAATCATGATTTTATTTTTGTATATGCAAATTCTCATAAAGTATTTGATTTATATAAAACTGATTGCCTTAATATTCTATGTATTTATGATGTAAATCTTTTCGAAAGATACTTCGTCCACAGATTCGATTATCGATTCTATCAGTTCAGTATTGCATGCATATGCTTTTTTGCATTCCATTCTGTGAAATTCCAGATTAAATGATAGATAGAAGATTAAATGATAGATCGATTGATTGATGATAAGATTAAGATCTGTTTCGCGTGTCCAATATAGATATAATCTGCAATTTTGAGAAAAAAGGATATGAGAAATAGAATCTTTGCGAACTTCATGACATAATTTATCTATATAGCTTCTATATATATTGTAGAATGAACCTTTCCCTTTCTGGAACTTGAGGTTTGTTCTGAGAGAAATTACGTGGACCTTTTTTCTATTTCTATCTTTGTCAAAATTATAGTGTTCGCAAGAAAGTATTAATTTTCATTCGAGCGGAACTGTTTCTTCCTTTCAATGGCATCATAGGGGGGAATCATAATTGGGAAACTTATTGTATTATCAAAGTCAGTAAAAGATATTCGTTTATCTTTTCGCAAAAAATGCAACGCAAGATACACGTGTTAATTCATATATGAGCACTAACGTATGATTCATTATCTCTCGCGGTATAATATTTTAGCTGAAAATTAAAGCCAATCATTCCCGTATAAACATTAATTAAAGTTAACTAAAGTTTAATTGATTTTCCCTCTCTCTTTTTTAGATGCACGAAGAGGCTCGGCATGAGAAAGTAATTTAGTGTCTTAAAACGAGAGAGAACGCACAATGATCTTCTCTTGAACCGCGCCGCGGTGAAAGAGTTATATTCTACGGATAATTGCGATCCCAGACCGGGACTATAAACAATCGAGACGGGGAATAAAGCGTCCATATATCAAGGACTCAACACACATCACGAATTTTTATTCGTGTCATCGTAATAAGGGGTAATTCAACTTGAAAAACTTGAGGAGTCTAGCGCGCGTTTTAACATCGCCACGCATCAATTTCCATCTACTCGAAGGAAAGTCGTCGTTTCGGCCGGCGATTCTGCACGAGGCCATCCAAGCCGCGCGATTAACCCGCTAAATTATCATTGCACCGTCCATTGTCCCGACCGGTCACGGTGATTTCACTTCTGCACAGGAGCCTGCCGCGGCTCCTTTCGCTCGCTTCCGCCGCCGTTCTCCATCCTCTCGCGCGCGATCTCATTAAAAACACTTTACACTCCCCCGCGATTCCCACGTGCCTAATCACGTGATATAATCTGACATTATAATTAAGGTGCCCCCCCCCCCCCGGAAATTGGCGACATTGGTAGCCGACAATGAATTCAGCACTCGAAAAAGGAAATGATTACGCTAATTGCACAGGTAATTAATTAAAGATGAAACAAATTAATGAGATTCTCGGTTGATTGCTTTCATGATTTGTCTGAGGTAATTAAGTTGGCATTGACATATTTTTATTGCTTAAATTATCGTATGTATTTTATAAGCTTACAATGCTCTATTAATGTTATTGTTAGATAAAATATATCTAAAAATATTATTTTAAATAAATAAGTAAAATATTTTAAACATTTATTTCAACATATTTCTTTTTTATTGTTAATTATACATTATTCTCTTATCTCCGTTTTCAGAATATTGTAAATTATAATTAATAAATTAATATTCATTAGCCAATTAATTATTATCTGTTATCTAATTAACCATTACAATAAAAAATAATTTAATATTATTATTCAGTATAATTTAAATAATCTAATGAATTGTAAAATTAAAAATTTATCATTTTCAATCTCGTTTATTCATGTAATTGATAATAATTATAAGACATTTATATTTGAATAGAATTGGGAGCATATTCTGATCTTAAATATCAAGGAGAGATATCAATATCAAATAGCATGGTTGAAATAAAATAAATCGAGTAAATTTGAAATCGAGTAAATTATTAGAAAGTAATAATCTGAAAAAATTCTATACATTTTATTCCTTAACATTGTATTTATGCTTTGTTAGAAAAGCTTCTTCAAATCTCTTAATAAGGTTTTATGAGTCATTCTGCAATTTATTTTTTATTGTCATTTATTTCAACATCTTCTATATATTTAATAGCAGTAAAGTTGTATTTACTTATTTATAATGCGCATTTGTATCACATTGTAAGAAGCTTTTGAGATCTCGAGGCTATTTTTCGCGCTCATGGTATGCAACATCATCGTTGGTGGCATCTTGCCGTGATCCCACTGCATCGCATACAATCGTAATATTACACAGCTCGTAATCGTAGATTATGTCGCATGGTATGCGCGATCTTGTTTGCGATCTTATTTGATATTCGAAGAGCGTCGGTGTTTCATGAACGCGCATCGCGCGACCTTCGCGCAAACACGCGCGCGAATTAATATTCGGAGTGCGCGATATTAATTACCTTCGCGTCGTTCTGATATTTACGGTTACAAGGATCGATGAGCTGTTCTAACTCTTTTCAAACGTGAATACTTTATATATCATTTTCATTTTGGCATGAATTTTGAAATTCACACTTACGTAGTCTATAATATATTTTAAATTAAAGTTTTAACCGAACTATTTAATATTGTCTCTTCTTAATATTAAGATTAAAATATGCTTCCTAATTCTATTCAAATATAAATGTCTTTTTATTATTTTCTATCAGTTCACAATTACATGAATAAATGACATTAAAAGCCATAAATTCTAAATTTTGATTTAAAAAGAAATGTACTCTACAATCCATTAGATTATTTAAATTATATTGAATAATATTAAATTATTTTTGATTGTAATAGTTAATTAGATAACAGATAATAATTAATTGGCTAATAAATAATTGGCTAATAATTTATTAATTATAATGATATCCTGAACACCGCCGCGAAAGAAAAATAATGCATAATTAACAATGAAAAGGAAATATGTTGGAATAAATTCTTATAGATTGCTGCATTAAAAGAATATCATGCCTAATTAAATCAGACGAGACTTCTTTAACAAGCTAATTATTAATATCTAGAATCTTATTTTCTCACAGCCTTTTCATTAATATCTATTCAATGAAAATTATAAGAAAAAATTATTTTTATTTGTTGGAAAGTTATTGTCATTATTCTTATTCTTGTAAATAAATTGGCATTAACAGCTCATATATTTGTTCTCTCTACATATTTAGCGATTAATGCTTGATTTTTATAGAATATATTAATATTCATAATGCATTTTTACATGAATAAATAAATATGTTAAGTACAAAAATGAATTTTACGCGGAAATCTGTGGCAAAATTGTAATTTAATACAGAGTTAAATATCGAGTTATTATTAGAAACAGACTGATCTCACCTGATTTCAATCTAAATTGCATTGTTTGTCACGCATGCATTTTTATTTGCATACCACCCGACCACACGATCAGAGGAGAGAACGTCCTCTTCTGTTACACTTCTATTCACGCGATCTTCACGGTACACGAGCTCGTGCATCGAACTCTCTCGGAGTAAGAATAGAGCCGGGTACCTCTTTCACGAACGCATGCTCGACTTTCATGAACGCCTTCCACAAATCATAGGTGTCAGTTTTGATCGAGCGTACGTTTCGCGCAAAGATGTGAATATACGCGTGATAAATTGCACTCGATGAGTGTGCGAAACAATCAGCAGTAAATAGACACGAGTGGTTACGCAAATGAGTTTGAACCGTCATCGTTAAATATATGCAAAGTATCATACGTTGTCTCGATAATGTATGGACGTAAACACTTTCAGTTTTTATCGTTCTAAAGCTATAATTGTTAAATGTAAAACATCAAATTAAACAATATTTATAAATCATTGCAAAGCTATATCAGAGAAGTTTTATTAAAAATATTTATGTGTATTTAAATTCTTCAGAAATCTTTCAAACATAAACTGTTTTAATTCGGTTTCTTTCTCAATACTAATAGAAAGAGGTAGAGGAAAAGAGAGATCTATTAGGAAAAGAGAGATCTATTAATATATTTTTTACAATAATTATAAAGTGATTTGTCCAGCATATATAAATTGAATTGAAATAAAATTTGTACGATAATCTTTCTAAATTTTTTAGCGCGAAATTAGTACGTGCGATTTTACTGTTAATATTACTTTACGAAGTTTATGTTTACAATTTTAAAAATAACAAGATTACGTAGTCTCTTTTGCCGATTCATTTGCCACTACTACTGGATGATTTAAGAAACCTTGCGTAATTCATTAATTCGAGACCGACGTTTTACTCGGTTGAGGATCTTGGACTACATCAATGTAGAATTTCAATGTCGATATGATAAACGTTTATAGCATGCAGATTTACGAAAAGGTTAGTAACCTGACTTCGAAAATATTTCTATCAGGTTCAATGTCAACATCGAATTCATCGGTTTAATTCAATATTATGAGTTATTGATGCATTATAAACAGAAACTTGCGTGAAATTAATAAAACTTATAAAATAATTTGTTCTATAATATCTGTTCTATGACATCAAATTAATCGTTATTAGTAGTCAAATATCTCTTGGCAAATAAAGTTAACGTTTTGTGTATATATACATATGTAAACACGAAATATTAATTTTATTTGCCAAGAAATATTTAACTAATAATAATTTATATATGTATATATTTGTGTGTATATGTGTGTAAATGCAGGTTTATTTATGCATAACAAATCTATAAATCCTACCGTCAAGAGATTGAGGCAAAGACAGGTTCGCAAAATCATGATCACGCCGATGCAACCTTGTAATTTCCTCGGATTTCCTTTTTATCGTCTTGCAATAATCACGGCGATCTCGCTAGATAGATTTTTTTTATTTCTTACGCAAAAGTTACCCGTTTGCATACATTACGGTCTCCAACGATTAATCGCGTAAAGAAATTTCTCGATCGAATAATTAAAATCTAAAATTCATAGAAACAGGTATCTCTTTTTAAACGCGAAGAGATATATCAATACAGATTTAATTGTGAAATCTGATCTCTACGTGAAAAAAAAGAGAAGCACGTGACGCCGCGGGATTTAAAAATTCGCGAACATTGTCGAGAATGAATGAAGGGAAAATGAAAAGCACCCACTTTCGCGGACCGGATGTCTACGGAAAGAGAGGCGGGAGAAGGCAGCGTCGACGAGTCATCGATTGCGTCGATGTCGTCGAGGCGGACCGGATGGAAGCGATACTATGACTGAGAACCGGCGGTGTCTCTGCACATTTTCAGATCCGCTGTACGTCGGACCTACCTACGCTCCTTCCCTCGCAACCATCCCCCTCCGTAAGGAGACCGTTTTTCCCGGCGACCGAGACCGCGCTCGCCCACCATCGAGTACTCTACATTCGCATTGTATGATGCGTGCTTCAAAGACAAGTCTGGAATTACTAACTTGGAGCATGCGTAATCGTTGCACGTGATTCCGCGATCCTGTCGGATGACGTAAAGGGATAGCGATTCGATCCATATAAGATCAAAGCATCTTCCGCTTTATTTTTGCGCAATTTGTCATCTTATATGACAATTAAAATTCCTTAAAATTATTTTTCTAATTTTTAAATAACTACAATATTTTATTATTTTATCATTTATTTGAGAAAAAAGAGTGAAAGATATGATAGAAAAATGTTTCGACATTATCGAGAAATATCTTGTGGAATAGTATGTTTCAATTTAGACGTCTTTGTAGTTGCTGACATTGTATCGTTGAAGAAATCATTCTCTGGGTTTAGTAAGTCTTTTTTTAATTTGTTTTGCATGACTGGCAATCGTTTAAATATATAGCCACCAATCACAAATAACATGCGATCTTAATGTAATATATTGAGGAAGTTATAAAAGGAAAATTGCATGATGCATGTGAAATTTATAATTCTTCGAGCGATGAGAAAGATCGAGGTCTTGTAATATAGAATTTCTATTAAGATGTTATGGAAGATCGTATCTTGATGCAATTATTACTTATGCTACGATTAACAGTTGTATTGTAATATCTTTAGAAAATAGATAAGAGGGAAAATTATTATTCTAGAAAATTATAATTTTAATTAATTTTGGCTGACTATAAAATTTTCTAAATGATGTAATACATATTTTTTCATCTATTTTTTAAAATTCTTACTGTTTATTTCAACAATAATATTAAAATAATTATAATGTATTTTTTCTAGATTTTATCATTCATAATATTATTTTTCTAGAGAAATGAATCATAATTATAATAATTACAACTCAAGGATATCATTCAGGATGTTAGAATTAACGGAGAATACTTTACATATATTTCCCATTTGTCGATTATTATTCGCACATTTTTTACGATAAATCAGAAAAAAATTTAAATGTGCATCATTTTTTTATTACATTATATTGAATATATATTCTCAATAATGTTCCCAGGACCTCGACAGTAGCAGGAAGCAACATTGCAGCTTTATGTCATCTCGTATATTTACATCATCAAGCAATCATCGTTCCGTAATTATGGCTCGCATTATCCGTAATCATCTGACGAAACAAATGCCGCCAACCTGACATTCTTTTTAGTCACCGGAAGAATTTGTCATTTACGTTAAAAATTGCATCGTTTGTAATCTCGTATCAATTCAAACGCAAATGGTGACTAATCGTATGCGTCGTCGCATGCATTTCTTCTTTGCATAAATGCATATATAGAATTAAAGATAGCAAAATGTTTTATAATTTACAAAGAATACGGCACAAAGAATGATTTAATAAATATTTGCTTTAAATTTATTTATCAGAATGCATCAAATTATTAGATATAATTATTAGAAAATAAAAATCCACTTTCCATCAATATAAAAATATTAATATAAAAATATAAAAATAATGATGGAAAGTGGATTTTTATTTTCTAATAATTATATCTAATAATTTGATGCATTACAATTTAATATTACGTCCTTTTCAGACGAGATACATAGAAAAATTGTAATAGAATGCCCTACTTCTATGTATACAATGAATTGCTATAAATCTGCTTCGTATTGGTATGTTTTTAAATTAATAAATATCAAACGGATCTTTTCGATCACGAGAAAGCGTAGAGCTTGTAAAAACAGTCATCAAGTGTTTTTGCTGGTGAGACATAGAGACGCAGATGTTATCGAAACTGGCAAGGAAGTCGCTCGATAAAATTATAAATAAAGCAAAATTTTCTCTGCGAAATTATCACTTCAACGATCTCACCGTGATCCGAATAAATGATTTCTAATGCGATATGAAATCCGGTTCTGCCGCGGATACTCCATTTCCTATCGTTATAGTAAATGGTATCACGTTACCATGTTAAAGATGCAAACGATGTAAATGAATAATATCTAATACTCTAATCCAATACGCGATACATGACACTTTCGATAGCTTATGTTATATTTATTATTTTATAAACATCGTAAGAGAAACCGAAAGTGCGTGTAAGATATTCCGAGGCAACATCGAGAAAGCTCTAAGTATTGCAAAAAAATTGTGTAGGATGGATACATGTAACACAATCGTTAGAAGAAATAATCGTTACATCAGTGAAACACATCGCGTCATTTTATTATAAATTTACTGTCATACGTTTACATAGCTTTGCAAAATAGCGAAAAAGACCGAAATACGGGAAGGAGGATTAATAGAGAGACTTAAAATAATATCTACAGCTTTTATAATCCGATTATAAAAAGATACCAAGAAAAGAATGTCACTGGTCACATTTCATCACCGGCGAATCGAAACTCTGCACGTCTCCTATCGTCTCTTGCTACTTTTGAAAACGTCTTGTTGCCAGGATAAAGCCGCTAAGAGTGCGCGACAAGATCGCTCTCGCGATTGTCCGAGGCGTGTGGGAGTGTGCTCCATTCGCGTCCCTTCGTAACAAAGGCTTGAAAAGAACAAGCAGTCTTTTGAGCAAAACCTTTTCTTGCTTTTTTACACTAGATGAATAAAAAAATATTTTAAAGAGACATTCTTTGATGAATTTAGATTCCTTTTAGCTAAATAAGAAATTGTCAAACTTTCTTATGCGCAAATTTTTTACATTCTTATTAAATTAAAATTTCTTCGGGAAATTGAAAAAAAAAACATAGTTCTATCGTCCACTTATATCGTTGAAGATAAAATCTTATTTTTCATTTCTCTTTTCTAATTTTAAGTTTCAATCTTTTGATAAAACACATTTCATATGCGCATTTTATATTATGTTCAAATTTATGTATCTACGAGTATTAAAGTACTACTAGTAAAAGAAGCTGTAAAAAAGAAAAATTAAAAAGAGATTAATTTTAAATTGATTTAAATAAATTCATAAAATTTTTTTCCAGTCATCAGTCCATTCAAAGTTGATTGAATTCCGATTGAATTCTCTATTTTTAAGCTACGCTCATCGATATTGAGATCACTCTACCATGTACGCAAACCTGATTCGGATTCTACCTTTGATCTGACAGTCGAGTGAGTCTACTGTGTATTTTCTCCTTCGTTTGTCGCGCTTACGACGTGGTGCTTTCACTTTTACGAGCCGAGCCGTAAGCAGAGGCGATTGGATAGGCACCGATTTCTGCGTGTGCGTATGTGATAGTTATTTTTGATAGCAAAATTTCGAAATTGTTTTGACAACTCAAAATTAATACTACTACACATACGCGTATGCAGATTGCTTTTGCAATTAGCTCTCTAATAAATTCGTCCAAAAATAATAATTTTTATTTATTAGTATTTAAAAGATAAATTTGTAATGAGCTTGAGCGTTATTAAAAATATCATATACGTACTCAATACTTTCTAACAATTGAGATTATTTGTATAAATATTGCCATATTTATTTTATATTTAATGTATAAAAATATTTTATTAAATAATATTTTTAAAATATTGATTTTCTTTTATCTAACATATTTTTAATTATTATACTACGTTATTATATTTTTAACTATTATATTACGTTTACCTTCAAAATAATTGAATATTATATAATAAAAATGATTGATATATGAATTATTTAGCAATAATAAAGAGCTTCGCTCACACTAGATTTTAGGAAAGGAATGTAGAACGTATACAAACAGTTTTGTATTGCATACGCAATGCAACAATTCGCACAGAGAGACGAAATAAAATTCTCACGATCGCTATGTATGCAGTCTTATGGCAGGAAATTGATAAAATCATATACTCGTAATCCCCTGATGCGTATGAGCGATACCGTTTGACATTGCGCGTATCCGCCACTCGACACCCTTATGTTTCTAATGCAAGCCTTTCTTATTTTGTTTCTAATTTGATTCATCTTATCTAATTATTAAATTAAATTACTATTAAATTGCTATTACGTAAGATTAAATTATTATTACGTAGACGGAAAACTTTGGATAATATTCTGAAATTGACATTTTTATTCAACATTAATAATCAAGTATTTTATCATGCTGATAATGAAGCACTTACATATGATTCTCAGATATTGCTGTTTTTATGAGATAACAGATATTGTTGTTTTTATGAGATAATAATTATCGGGAATAATTGAAGAGAATGCAGCTTAAATCGTAAAATGCAACAAGCAAAATTAACAATTTAAAAATGTATATATCAATATTGTGATTAAGTATATTGCAAAATTGAAAAAATATTATTATTAACTTTTAATTAATAATTATTAATTTTATTACTAACTATTAATTATTAATTTTTTAATTATAAAAATAAGTCAAATGTAGTCATAATTTTTAGAGAAATTTGTATCTTTATATGAAAGGAAGAATTATAATAGCGGTTATCGAAAAATGCATTAAGAAATATTGCTCTGGTATAATGACGTATTAGTGTAAAAATAAAAAAATACAAGGTATATTAACTTTCGAAAATGCAATTATTGCAATTATATTGACATTGATAAACTTGTTACCGAGGACAACAAGATAAGACTCACCACAAGCAACAAAATGGACGCGAGTTTCCATCGCATCCTGGTTCGATAATTTCAACGATAGAGAGAGAGCCAATACTGATTAATTGAGCATTAAATTTTACGCGAATCACGGGAAACATGCAGACGATCTTGTCGTGTTTGATCGTGCTCGATCACTGATCGAAACAAAGCTTACTAAGCCGAAGTCAGATTGTACTTGCTGCCTACACAAACGAGCCAAGGCTCCGTAATTGGCAGGGTAAACTGGACCACGCAATTTTCCTTTACGAATATCTCCTGGATTATATATGTATATTGACAATTTCGATAGATAAATAAATTAATATTGATTTCGTGCACAGTCATTTTTTAAATACATATATATATATATATATATATATATATATATATATATATATAATCACGACATTTCAAAAGGATTATTTTACATAATATATATTTTTTAGAAACCGTGAAATTTGAGACGCAAGTCTTGCAACGTTGATACAAGCAATGATGCGAACAATTGAGAAATTAATAGAATTAATTCAGAATTGAGTTAGAAATTTATTTATATATGTAGGAGGAACTTTTTTTATTTTCCTCAAAATACCTTCAAGTAAGTTCCAAGAAAAAGAATTTTGACAGTAGTATTTTAATTATTTTAATAATTTACAAAAAATAGAATATTTTTTAAATATGTAATTTTTTTCTATTGAACAAAAAACGCAATTTTCGCAACATCTGAAAGAAATAGATGCTACTTCTAATACTTTGCCTCGTACTTTTTATTGGCTTCAGAGTGAGGAAAGATGAAATCGCATTCAATCAATGTTGATTACTAACGATTCAGGAATGGAATGTCTGAAAAGCAACAACAGCGCGAAATTTTACGAAACGACGGAAATATTTCCTGCGCATTACACACGCATGACATCAAAATTGCAGGGCGGGAAAATGTAATATAATGATCGCTTTCGTGATCATTCTACGTGAACGCAATGTGGTAAACTATTAAGTTTGTGTTTGTGTCTAAGCACCAGTCGATGTCTATGCTTAAAATATTCAAGGATAAAAATATATATATTTTATATCAATATATCATATATTTTTCATATATTTTATATATCAAATGTAATTGATGCTTGTTACGTTGTTCAATAAATCGATTAAAGCAGAAAAAAATAATAAAACTTTCATTTTTTAAAGACGATATTATATTATGGTCAAATGTTTAAAATCATCGAATCAATTCAAATTTCTTTTTTTATCCAGTGTATTATAAATTCAAAGAGAATCATTACAAACACGAATAATAAACATATTTTATTATTTTTTTATCGCGCATGTGAGAATGTTGCTAAACTGCCGCGAATAATTGTGGGAATTCAGTAATTTTGGCGGTAATTTATGCAAGATTTATAGTGCTATGCGACTATTATAGTTGGAATATTATTCCATGGCAAACTGCCTACATTTTTCAGATGGAACTAGATCTAGCTTGCCCTCTATGCTTAATGCGTCGTATGACGTAATTGCTAGATTTAAGAATTCACAACGTTACCGCACAAAGTATACGAATCCATGCCAGATAAAGTGACGTGGGCGCGTGATTTTTTTATCGTCCTCGAAGACGCCTGCATATTGTTGTCTTCGAACATTCACCTAAGTCGTTGACCAGAGATGATAAAATCGTAAAAAATTTGTTAGGATATTAACTCAAAACTACAAAGAATACTATCCTTATTTCATGTACGAAAGAGATATACAATTTACAGTAAATTTAATCTATAACAAATTAAGTTTTCAATTCTTTTATAAGAGATAGGTAAATGCTATAGATCTTATTTATTACATAAAATACGGTTAATCTTATAATGTAAATATTTGTACTAAATATATATTTTTTATTAATTTAATTAATTAAATATTTTTAATAGTAAAAGAGAGTTATTCTTTGAAAAATTTAATTATTGTCCACATATGCTATATAAATATGTAACGAAAAATTATCAACTGTAATTTTATGTAATATCAGATAAAAAGATAAAAATATTTAAAATACTTTCTCTCTCTCTCTCTCTCTCTCTCATTCAATAGCTAATTATTACAATATTTACATTGCACAAAAGAGAAAGAGAGAGACTTCTATATATTATATCTATTATATTATATAACCATATTAAACATCGAAAGATTTATAATTGGGTAGAATATAGGTTGAGTTAATATTTGTATTTTAACACAAAGTCATATTTCAATTTGTCGGCAATTATTAAAATATAAACTATCATATTTTTTTGTATATATTGATCAATAAATTGATATTTCTGTTCATTAATGCATAATTTAATTGTAAATAGTTGCCTTTTAATTTGATAGGTGACATCGTTTTGATAGTGCTCTAATATAACATATAGAAGTTTATCATTCATTCATAAAAAGTATAAAAAGATTATCACCCACTTGACTAGACACAAATATGCTCTCTTTCTCTCTTTCTTTTTCTTTATTATCTTTTCGCAGATAAAACTATCATTGAAAACAAGAAATTACATGTCACTAAAATTATTACATCTAATAATAGATCTACATCTAATAGAAAAATGATATTGTCTCATTTAACGTCTCGTTATCTTGCCTGAAAAAAGTTTCTGAAAATAAATATTTAACAAAAGTACAGCAGAAAAAGATGATATAATTAAAACAAGCATTCAATTCATAATTACAATATCAAATAGATCTTTTGATAGTCCAAGCGTTTAGATTAAAAGACATTAAAAAACAAGCATCTAATTCATTACAATATCAGATAGACTGATGTTTTGATAGTCGAAATTTTTAGATTAAATAACAATAATAAAATATTTAATAAAAAAATGTTCTTTTTTTCTTAAAAGAACAATTATATATATTTCCTATCTCATATAACATTATAATGTTTTATATTTTCTCTCTCTCACTCTTTCTCTTTTTCTTTCTATCTCTTTCATCAAAATAATCTTATATAATAAGGTAATATTTAAAAAATTTATTTATTAAATATGTTACTCATTAAATATGTTATCAACATACAGGTAGGGCTTTGTAATGTGATTATATCATCGTTACTTCATACAGTTTAAGCATCATACAATGCCGGACTCTTTGTTACCTTCACTTTGGCCTTGCTCGGTTTTCGCATTTACCTAGACTTACATATCATCAAGGGAAGAAGTAGAAACTAATTATGTGAATACCCACGTATCTTTCTAATTAGGTATAGGTATTCTTTACGGCTAACAGAACAGTATTACCGATATTTCTTTAAGTTGTATATCAAGAATTGTATATATCAAGAATTAATCGGTGATCATAATTATAAATTTATATAACAGTCCTTCATTTTTGGTACAATTAATGCAATGCATGAAGGATGAATGCATTGAAAGGATGGCTGGTTTTATTTTTTGAAAGAAAGTGAATAAAATATTAAAACTTTCTTTGATATTACATCCAATTGAAAATATATACACATAATATTTTTTTATAAATATATATACACACACACACACACACACACATATATATATATATATATATATATATACATATATTTTTAAAAATAATATACACAACTAAAAAGCAAAAATATATAGATTATTAATTTCTCGATAATAATAGATTTAGAAATTGTTAGGCAATATATTTCTTGCATTGTTAGAAGATAATAGAATAAATATAATAACAATTCGCACGTTATTTTTATCAATTAATACAAAAATTATTTATCTAGACAATCTTGTTACGCATAAAAATAATTTAATATGCATTACCTGCGACCTTAGACTTTTATCTTGGATAATAAATTGCATTATGTGTTATATTGCTTACGTCACAAATGTGTTAACAAGTTTAAATGTCAATATCAATTTTGCAATTTTGCGTTATCATATCATGCTACACTACAGAGTCTTTCAGTAGTCGTACATACATATCAAAAAATACTTCCGCCCATTACCAATCTCTTTTAAATGAATGTATAAAAAAATCACGATTAATTTTATTTCCCTCATTTCTCTGGTTAAATTTGTGCATATGTAATCTAATTTTCTTAAATAATAAACATCATAACATATACTAAAATTAAATATTTTTTCGTAATATTTTTTCGTAGATGATTTTTAGTTTTTCCTTATTTATACTCTAATTTATTTTTGTAGCATATCTTTGATAAGATAGTAGAAGATGAAAGTATATTTTTTACACATAAATTCTATACAAATGAATATTATTGGGCAAGTTGGCGCGAAACAGTTTGTAAAAAGGCAGAAAAATTTTCATTAGGTTCCAAGTGTAAAAGCCGACAAGTATGGTCCCATAGCTTTTTGGATATTTGATCATCTCTGGCTCTCCATTGTGGCCTGGACACGCGGCATTCTCTATTAAAAAGAAAAAGTATGACAGTAACAACAAGTATAAATTTGTTAAAAATAGATTTTAGAAAAAGAAAGAAAAGAAGAAAAAAGGAAATTTAAAAATAAGTTTAAATTGTTATTATGTTGTATAATATGTTGTTTAATTTGCAAAAAATATTTCATATCATATAATTTGCACTTACGAATAGTAAAGACCGGTCTCATCAGCTGTTTTTTCATCAATAGCACAATATATCGTTGTTTGCGCTCCTTGTGTCGGATTTTTGATGAATGGCCGCATAATATGACGAAAAAAGAATGTCGCACCCGGAACTATTGTTTTATTATAGTGTCGTCCTAATTCGGTTCTTATAACGCCGGGATGCAAAGCATACACATTTATTCCACTAATATCAGCTTCTGAAAATAAAATTTATATTTTCTAAAAATATAAATTATATTCTTTTCTATAAAAATATGTTATCTTGTCACAATATTATAGATAAAGTAAAACTTTAGCTCTCTTCATCTAACTTCATCTTTATTAAAAATATATTATTTTTTAAATAATTTGTTATTTTAAACGCAAGTAATCGCTGTTTTGACTGTTTTATAATATATGTATGTTTACTTCATTTTTTACCTTTCAATCGTCGTGCAAGTTCCTTAGTAAATAGAATGTTTGCCATTTTGCTTTGCGCATACGCTTTCAATGGACTATACGATTTTTCCAGATTTATATCATTGAAATGTATATTGCCGACTGCAATGATAACAATAGATACTACTCAGATATAATATAAATTTATTATCTAGGATATATATTATCAATATGTTTAATATTAACTGAAATAAAGAAATAAATTCTTCCGAAAAGAAAATGAAAGTTGTAAAAGATATTAATAAGATTTTAATAATATAATATTTTTTCTCTTATTTCTCACATATTTTACTTCTTTCTATTTCATTTTTACGTACAAATATGAGCAAGTGATGACACGTTAACTATTCTGCAACCAGGAGTGGATGATTGTATTTTCGGCAGTAGTAATAATGTCAGGAGAAAATGTCCGAGATAATTCGATTGTAGCTGCAACTCGAACCCGTCTTCGGTTTTGTAATGCGGACACATCATTACACCAGCATTATTTATTAATATGTGAATAGCTGATTCAGTTGTCAATAACTGTTTAGCGCATTCTATTACACTTTTTAAACTGCAAAGATCCAATGAATATATCGCAAGCTCACCCAATTTACCGTTGTACTGCTCGCTTTCTGTACTGTTATTAAATAAATTATATTAAACTATTATTATAATTAAGTAATAAATAGTTATAATTAAATTAATATTAATATTAATAATTTAATAGTAATACAATTTAATAATATAATATAGTAATTTAATAGTATATAAGTAATTAATATTAATAATTAAATTATTAAATAAATTATATGATACATTTTATTATAAATTATATAGTATATATAATTTTTAACTGAAATATTTTCTTTATTTTTTCATAAAAGCGTTTCCAAATGCTTAGCAATTATTTATTAACAATACATTATATATTGTTAATGAAATAAATAAATAAATATATATATATATATATTTATATATATATATATATATATATATATATATATACAGATATTTATTGATGTGATATAAAATAATAAAATGTATAATGATCTAATGTAGCATTATAGTATGTGATATATAGTATGTAATGTAGCATTATGTGTGCCTCTCTCCCTTTCTCTCTCAATATTTATAAATACATCAACATTCCATTCATACATGTAATGTGATTACATATTGATCTATTTAAATATTTAATATGTATAATTATGTGATTGGCATAACTCAGCGGGAAAAATTATATAATATAAATTATGAAAATTATAAAAATTTTACAATATAAATTATTAGGTTGGTGCAAAAATAATGCAGTTTTTATAACTTTAAATTTGATACCGATTTACTTTTACCTTTATACATTATTGTAAACAGTAAAATTAGTACTACTGATTTCTGCTTATGTTTATTGTTTACAGAGTTTAGTATTGCTGAATATAACTATTTAAATTAACTATGGGAAAAAACAAATTTATGCGATTTTATTATATGAATTTAAATTGGGATGTAAAGTAAGAGAAACTGCGAACTCAAAATATCAAATTTGTTTTTGGCCAAGATTAGCAAATGTACAGCTCAATATTATTAGAAAAATATTGTGAAAGTGGAAAGTGAAAGTTGAAAAACAAGAAAGTAGTAGACGTCCTTCAACTATTGACAATAATAAATTAAGTGCCATTAATGAAGCGGACCAATTTAAAATGTGGCAGAAGAACTTAATATTGATCACTCACAACAGTTGTTTGATGCGTGTTTAGCTTCGATATATAAAAATTGCATAATTATTTATTGCACCAATCTAATACATAAAATATTGCAAATCTTTATATTACTTATCGTCAGATGACGATAACTTAAGAAACAAAGTTAGTCAAACTTCAAATACATATGCAAAATGAGATAGACGCTTAAACAATCGAATATTTGTAAAAACCAACATTTTATAAAAGCCTAGGTATAAATATTAATTCATCAAAAGAAATTCGCGTTCGAAAGAAATTATCAAAATATATATCTTCTGCGATGATATGAAACGACTCACGATATAAAGAAAGATACATATGCTGCAAATTGTCAAATTTCAATCTTTTATATAATAAAGTCTCGTGCAATGATTGTGATGCATCATATGTCGGCCAGACTAACAGACAATTAAAAAACAAATTTCTGAACATCGAAATCCGACGAAATACGTCACAACTTTCAGTCCTAATCAATCATAGACTTGAATTCGGTCATGATTTTAATTGAAAAATCTGAGATTTTGGACAGGAAGTCCTCGTTGAATAAAAGACTTGTCTCTGAAATACTGTTTATCAAGAGTTAAAAAAATAACTTGAACTTGCAGAGGAAGGGCTTACATCATGCATTTGCGACAATAATCGATCATTTATCGAAAATGAAGCGTTCATTCGTATATTTATATGTTTGTCATTAAGTTACATCCTTGGTTGAGTCTATTTTTACGTTTTTCTAACAACTGACATATTTATACAGTTCGTCATCAAATCTCGACATAAGACGCACAACGGCATACTATATTATTATACACTGAGAAAAATGTCCGATGAAATCCGATGAAAAGGTAATGAACGGATATTATTAACGATTATTAGCCGATCACTTTAATCGGAAAAAAAAGAAACCGATCTGTTATCCAATCAGAAAATATCGATCGATGGGATATCTGATCAGAAAGTTCAAAATTCGGAACTTTTCGATCAGATATCCGATTAAAGTGATCGGTATAATATCTGTTCGTTACCTTTTCATCGGATTTCATTTGGACATTTTTCTCAGTGTAATTGTAAAAAAGCGCGGAATTTGATGAGTCATGTTTCTAACTATTAATTTAAGCAAAAAAGCTTATTCACGTGTAATATCTTTCGGTATTTATTTTATTATTTTTACTCGATTTGTTAAATCTGCTGTGACGTCGTATAGCATGACTATAGTATATTTAATTGATTGTTGAAAGCAGAGTGCTCACTAGACCTTCGCGGGATGCAGCATCATCTACGTGTCGAGAATAAATTCATCTACACGTCGAGAATAAATTTAATGTAACGCATCACTATCTGTAATATATATATTGTTAACATCGCGCTGAAGAAAGATCAAAAGATGATCCGAAACGTTCGCTTTTTGTTATTATAATGTGTTTTTTTAATAAACTAATATTGAAAAAAGAAATAAGTGTTGTTTCTTCTCTGCGCTCCAATTATCACGTGTTAGCTCTTATGCCATTTTCTTTTTAATTTTTTTATATAATATTAAATTGTCTATAACAATAAAAATAGGATTGTTAACTGTTTAAAATTTGATATACATATATAATTGCACAAGTAATATTTCAAATTTTTTTGCTTCTTTTTTTCTAGAGTATATTTGCTTTTTTCTCTAGAGTATTAAACAATATTATATAATTATATAGATATATTTAGTTATTACAATTATATATATATATATATATATATATAGAGAGAGAGAGAGAGAGAGAGAGAAAGAGAGAGAGAGAGAGTTTTATTCATTTATTTACCTTGGAAATGGCTGATTTTTTATATATTCAACTGCTTGTTTTGCTTTTTCCACATTCCGACAGGCCAATATCACTCGTGCACCTAAATGTACGATATATTTATATATACGCGATATATTTATATATTAATTTTTGAAATGCATCAATGTTTGTTAGCTATTTATTATATTTTATTGTATTGTATAAATATGAATCGCGATATATATATATATATATATATATATATATATATATATATATTGTGCACAAAATTAACGCATATTTTTTTATTTTTTATTTAAAAACTGATATTTAAATTTTAACGAAAAATTGTAAAGAAAAAGTGAGAAAAGAATTATGCGTTAATTTTATCTACGAGTGTATATATATATATATATATATATATATATATATATGTATGTATGTATGTATGTATATATCACGATTCATTTATAATTATCTATTGTATATCAATAATGTAAAAATAAATAATCGATCCTTACCTCTTCTATAAAAATCTATGGCGGTTTCCTTGCCGATTCCAGTATTTGCACCTGTTATCACTGCAATTTTATTATCAAGACGTACTTTACTGGCGCACGATTTATGATACGTCCACATTTCTAAATTCTTTTTCTTATGTACTCTCGACGAGAAACGATTTTACTTATGTACTTTCTTTATCTTGCCGTGCTGAAAACCTACTAATTGCTGCAAACCTACTAACTGCTGAAAACCGACTAACAGTACCACAGCAAGAAATAACGATATATACTTGACATATCAATGCAAAGTGAAAACATAGTAGGTAGGAGAAAAGAGAGATGCAGAGAGAGGGGAATATAAAGATACAGGATGGGACTCTCTCCATTTCGAATATGTTCGCTACTTTTAGAGCTATAAAAAAAATTGTAATTACCAAAGTTGTACTATACCAAAGGAGCTATAATGTGATAAAAGTATTTTTTCAAAAAGTGGAGGCGCCTCGGAGATTTAAAGATCAACCTCTATTTTTTTTAATGGCATGCTATACCTTTTTATCCTTAGTTCGATAGCGTATTTTGAGACGATTTCAACGACCTATAATTGAAGATCATTCGGATGATATTCGCATGAGTTTCGGATAAATAATGGAGTAAAATAATGATTGCTACTTCATAATAAGTGTTCGAAGTGACGTCTGTTTACATCGATCAAGGTCGGCGTTAGGGACGTGCGAACAGGGCGTTGCACGCGGCCCCACGCTATCTAAGCAGTCAAATTCATTATAATGCTAATATTACATATGTCTCTATCCGATAGCTAATTGAAACAAGCTTATCGTATGATGCATGTATTAGGCCGATATTATATTTGTCATACAACAAATGTGTAATAGCACCCTTAGTCTTAGTACTATAGCCTTACAATTAGTCGATTAGAAATCTCGCTCAGCGGATTGTGTGCAAACGAAAGTAAAGTTTTATTACTTATATTACTTAGAATATATATAAATGGAAATTGAGTACTGAATCTGTGTCCAACATCTGTGCGACATTTTTAAGTTTACATATTATTATATGAAATTTTTTTAAATCCCGAAGCAAAAAGTCAAGTATTTGTTATTTTTAAATATGTAATACAAAAATAACTATTTCTATATTTAGAAAATAATATATGTTTTTTGTTTTCAATGAAAAATAAATATATATAAAATATATATAAAATATATAAAATATATATAAAATAGATTTCAATGAAAGATAATATAAAAGTTTTAAGTCCAGCATTTTAAATCGCACCAGGCCCCGCTCAGATTAGAACCAGCCCTAACATCGATACAAACGTTTAATTCCTGAAACATGTATGTTTCTCAATACCTCTGAACTGGTTTTTGTACATGCTGCAATAACTCGTTGACCTTGGAAAATATCAAGCAATTATTGCAGAATGTGCGAAAATTTAATCATAATGTTAACATACAAAGTGTCCCATTTTAATCGATGACCCCCGAATAACTTTTTTAATTTTGATTGTAGGAAAAAATGTTTCAGACAAAAGATGTATGGCTTGAAAGGGGACATAAGATGGTATTATTGGTTTTATCTTGAAAAGTTGTTTGAAGGTCACACCTTCAATTTTTTAAATAAAACCCCCTATTTTTTATTACTTATTCTTGTAGCTTATCTCGAGAGCAATTGATTCCTCTCATTATTTTGTACATAAAAGTATTACGGTAAGATAATCAAAAAATGAATATTTTACAAGATATTTTACGGTTTATGTAAAATTATGTAAGAAATGATTTCAAGCCTCATAACTCGAAAAGTACTTAATGAAGAAATACTTAATTATAGCGTTTTGGAAAGCTCTCGACGTGAGCTACCAGAATATTTAATAAGAAAGATATTTAATAAGAAATTTAGCAGTCTGGTAAGTGTGCGAGAGCTAAGACGTTTTAATAAAAATCTTGTATTTGCATAGTAAATTAACATAGAAAATGATTTTCATTCGATATATATAAATATTTAACGAATTAATCGAACGTTTGCATTCTGCTTGCCATTTTACTCGCCGCGTTACAGTGAATATCGCGCGAGAGAGGCAGGCAACATGCGCGGCGTCGTGCACGATTTCGACTGTCCGCGAGCAGACGAAAAACGGCCAATTTATATCTCGACTTCCGGACGCGATAGCGATTTCGTTCTTTTTGCATAAAATTCTACACCATTTCGCGGCACTACCGTTTAAATCTCGTCCCGATCGCCCGAGGAGCGGCTGACTTACAGTGAATATCCGAATTCTGCTTCTTGAACTCACACTTAAGTGTAATATTTATATGTATATATATATATTAACATTATGATTAAATTTATAAAACTATTTATAAAATATGTATTAGATTATTGAAATATGCATTAAATATAATATATTTTAATACAGGCTATTGAGATATATATGTGAGAAAAAGGAATCTAAAATGAAATAAATTATTATATTCATTTATAAATTATAAATGAAATATATTATAAATTATTTTTGTTGCAGATAATAATTATTTCTTTAATATAATATTTAAAGAAATTTTAAATATATTTTATTTGATGTTTTATCATTCGATTTTTCGGCAGAAATGATTTAAATATAATTCAGATTAGAATGCGCAGTAAAACGATCAAGTTGCACAATCGAGTAATTAATATAACGATAAGCTTTGTGTGATATGCATCACTCATTTAATAAATAATTTACCTATATTTTAAATATTCTTGCATAATTTAATAAATACGGTCACAACAGGTATATAAATTGTTTGCTATAATATAAATAATGAATGATATGATTAATGAATTATATGATTAATTAATTTTTATAAGTAATATGTAATTATATACACACATATATTGTGATGATATATCTGAAAACGCGCATTTTACATAATTTTTCATTTAAATAAATAAAAATTAAAGTGAAGAAGAATTCCGTGTTATAAATTATCTCTTTGTTGCAATGTTACAAAATTATAAAAAGCGCGAAATCTGGTGAGTTATGGTTCTAATTATTAATTTAAACAAAAAAAAGCGAATTGACGTATGATTCTTTATTTAAATGCAATCACGATCAATATCGCAATATGATAATTCGCTATGTATTCGCTTATTATAATTAATGATTATTAAATTTTTAATGAACGACACAAAACTATATTGTTATAACGATAAATGCGATTTTATCAAAGCGCGATTATTTATTACTGTTAAAATAAAAATCAATACAATAAGGAAAAAAATTATAAATTTAAGATTGATTATTTTTATTACATATAAATGCATGTATCCGATTTACTCAATTAATCTTTGCAACAAAAACTGTATGCAAATTGACAAAAAAATTACAGTGCAGAGATGTATTTTTTAATATTTATTACGTTTTTACTGAAATATTCCGAATTTTGTTAATCGAAATAATTAACTTTTGGCAGAGAATTTCGCCTTGTGACAGATACATGGCTAACTTTATTGAATTATATTTAATATCTTTTTAACCAGTTAGTACTTATATAATATTATTTGACCAAATATTTCCTCTGTATCTAAATTTTTGCAGATTTTAAACAAATTCTGAATACTATTTCCATGTGTTTTTGTCATTTGAATCGACGTGGTTATACGTTTCCCATAAGAATACATGTTAATTCTGTGCAAATTAAAATTTTTATAACTTGTAAACGCTTTAGTGAATGGATTTAAAAATTGTACTGAAGATTCTAGACATATGTAAGGACATTCTGTACAATTTTCGTTAAATTCTCAATATTTTGAAAATAATTACATCCTTAATAACATATGGAACAAAGATATGCGATAAGTAATTTATAAAATATTTATCATTTTTATTTATATTATTTTCAAAATAGAGACATATTACTTGTTCTTTTTTTTCATTTTCTCAATAGCATGTATGATTTATTCTAAATTATTAATATAATACATATATAAAATTTCAGATTTTAAAATATTTAAAATATCTGATAAAATATTTTTGTACTAATTAATATTTTTTATATTTTACATAGCTTCCACATATATATATATATAAAACTAGATGTAATATGTAAACTTAGAATAAGACAACTTTACAACTTATATTACATGTATAATCGCAAATATTTAAATATAAAATACAAAATTTAAAATTTTATGTGATTAATTTAAACAGTCTACTTACATTATTATAATACGATTAATCAAAATAAAAAATTCTATGTAGTTCTTTAATTTACAGCGCTTCAGACAATTTTTATTTTACAATTTCTACAGCGCTACACTATTTTACTATTAAATAAATTGATTATGTTTTTATAGGAATAAGCACTTATTAGCTTCTTATTTCATTATTTATATTTCAAAGATATATATGTTTTGAATATGCAATAGTCTTACATGTACACCTTTTTTACATATTATTATCTTCTCTTATATAATACTACTTATAATAAAATTGCATATCAAGCTATAATATCAATCTTATATTTTTCTGTTGTTGGAAGTTATTAATGTATCATTTCCGGCCTTGAATCGATTGTTGTGAAACGTGGCTGCTACAGAAACGAGATGATCGTGAGATCTCGTAAATTCTCGGAACATTTGATATTCGAGAGATTCGCGGTATACAGGGTGTAACTGAAAAAGCGCTTACGAAGCAAATAGCGTTATATCTGATTAAAAATCGAGTCGAAAAGCCCTGAATCATTTTTTTTACAATGCTTAAAAAAGCGGTAATTATTGAGTAAAATTGCATCAATAAGCACTGATCTTTAGACGGCCGCATGTCAGCGAGCTGCGTGCCTGGTAATGTGCGTAATGACCATCACACATAAAATTCCATAAGCACATAAAACGTAAGCATAAAGAAATCGATCAATCACGATCGAGTATTGGCGGATATTGGATTTTAATAATCGCTACTTGAGAAAAAATCATACGTGTACATAATCCTTGGATTTTGTATCAGCTAAGATTAGATTTGAAAAAAATTGCGTATTAATATGCAATCAACACAGCTCAAGCTGCATCTCAAGACAAACTTCCTCTGAGTATCTCTATTGAATCGAGATTATAAATAAATACCATATTCATTCTTAAGATTTATTTAGTAATCTTGAGATGTGATTTAGTATCACATCTCAAGATTAGTTTCAGCTGAGTGTCTCAGCAGAATCATGATTATAAATACAGGTCTTAGTAATTCTTCTAAAACATGTATTAGAATTTATTAGAAACAAATAAGCTTAGTTACAAAAACGCAAAATTTATATATTATAACTACAAAATTTATATTATAATTTAATTGTAAAAAAATAAAAAAATGACTATAATAATAATTTTCTAATATAAATAACTCAAAAACTCTCTCAATATGAGGCTGTCAACCTTCCATATTATAAAAAAATGTCATGTTGCTTTTAAATTCATAAATTATTTTTTTTCAAAGACTATTTTAACGCGACCACTTAGGAAAACATAAATTAAAACACTATTTTGATACAAGCATTTGGAAAAATACATTCTACATTTGTTTAAAAAATTTTATATAATATATTATTGAAATATATATATATATATATATATATATATATAAAATATATTATTAAAAGTATCAAAATTTATATTTAATTTCTAATATATATGTACATCACTCCAATAACAATTTTTAAGTCATAAATTCATATATATCATTAATTCAATATGCATATATTATTCGACAATTTCAAGGGAAACAGTTTTTAAAAACTTTGCAAAATCTTCATCACATTCCAAACGCAAGAGCCGACAGGTTTGATCCCATAAATTTTTGGCAATTTGATCATCCTGCGCTCGCCATTGTGGAGTCGCAATTCCGCATTCTCTGCGAAAAATAATATTCAAAATACTATTAAAAAATTGAATTAAATAGTATACACACATATAATGTTTAATGTATATTTTTGAAAATTGCTATGTATAATATAAGGAATAAAATATAATTAAATATAAAAAATATATATGTGTATACGAACTGAGATATTTAAGGAAGCATTATTTGTACAAATATGAAAAATTGCAGAATTGAATTTTTTATAATAAAGATACAAAAAATACATGAACACACATATATGTAATATAATTCATTTTTTGATAAAATTATATTATATGGAAATATTTTCTAGAGATTATCTGATTTATTTTTTATTAAATTCATTGATTATATATTTTCTAAAGGAAGGGAGAGAGAAAGAGAGAGAGAAAAATAATTCTATAAAATATAATTTCTTCCTTACTTGTAATAGAGACCAGTTTCATTAGCTGCTTTTTCATCTACTGAACAATATATCGTTGTTTGTGCTCCCTGTTCAGGATTTTTTAAAATTGGTCGCAAAAATACTCGAAAAACAGTGCTTGCACCTGGAAACATTGTTGAACTAAAATGTCGACCTATTTCTGACGTTATAACGCCAGGATGCAAAGAATATACATTTATTCCATTAATGTTTGCTTCTGAAAAAAATATAATTTTTATTTATTAATTTATTAATTATTTTTACTTATTTCTATGTATTAATTATTATATTAACAATATCTTAGTAATTTCTATTTATTAATTATTTTATTAATAACCTTTTTCTAAAAGATTTTTAAGAATTATCTTGTTTGTAAACTAACATTTTAAAAATGGGAAAAAAGAAAGGTCCTTTAATCACATTGTACTCGTATAACATTATTATAAATAATTGGCTTATAAAAAAATAAGATAAATTAATATGTAAGCTAAAATCACTCAGATAGAAAAGAATAGTAGATGTTGTCTACTGCCTTTCTTTTTCTAACGAGTTGAAAGTAGGGATAGGAAAAAGTGAGGGAAAAACTGATCGCTCCTTTTTCTTATCCCTACTTTGTTCTCATTAGAGAGAAAGGTCAATGGCATCTATTTCCGTTCTTTTTTATCTGAGTTTCAGCGTTTATAAGAGGACTCGGTCTAATATTACTATCTCTGTGGCTAAAACACAGTTTACTCAATCTTTTATAATGAGTTATTATAATATTTAAGTCATTTTAACAACTATCTAAATAATATTCAATTTTTCGTTTAATTACTATTATTTACCTTAAAATTATTTACCTTAAAAGGTAAATAATTACTATTATTTACCTTTTAATCGACGAGCGAGTTCTTTGGTGAACAATATATTTGCCAGTTTACTTTGCATATAGGCTCTCATAGGAGTGTATGATTGTTTTAAATTTAGATCATCATGTATAGCACCAACTACAAAATATTAATGCCATATAGGTATTATCGTTTATTATTGGATATAACTTATGATAATATTACGATATTTCTCACATTAAGATGTGTTCATCTCTCTCAGCAATCTATATCTACATATTATAAAATTTATGTTTATATTAGTTATTAAACTAACATACATAGATGAAGAAACGACGATACATTTACTATTCTACAGCCAGGAACAGAAGATTGCATCTTTGGCAACAATAGAAGTGTCAGAAGAAAGTGACCAATATAGTTTGTTTGTAGTTGCAACTCGAATCCATCTTCGGTTGTTTGTTGCGGGCACATCATCACGCCAGCATTATTTATTAACAGATGAATAGCCGATTCTTTCATTAACAAATTTCTAGCGCAATCTTTTACGCTTTTTAGACTAGAGAGATCCAATTCATAAATAATGAGCTGACCTGGATCACCTTGAAATTGTTTTCTGTCTGCTCTGAAAATTATTGCATTATCTTGTGAATAATTATTATTATAATTATCATAACTAGTTCTTTAAATGTGACAACTGCTATTTGCGAAGATTTCACAATTGTTACATAATAAAACCAAAATAAAATAATCCGGGATAGGTTGAATATTATTTATTCTTTATATTATTTATTCTTACCTTGAAGGTAAATTTTTTTTAATGTCTTCAACTGCATCATTGGCTTTTTGTATATTCCGACAAGCCAAAATTACTCTTGCACCTATAAGGAAAATATATAGTTTATATTTTTTTATATTTTATATCTTTTGTGAGATATTTATTAAGATAATTTGAAACATTTTAAATTTCATTAATAAAAAGATAAGCATGAATTCTTTAACTTTTATCTTTTCATAATAATTTGGAATATTACTAATTAATTAATAATTAATTCTTATGTTTATAAATATTATTTTTTTCATCATTAACATTCAAAATATTTTTAGAATAGATTCTCTCTTCGCCACAGTTATCAAAATTACATACTAGTACAACTGATAAAATAAAGTTGATAAGATTGTTGATAATATCAAAAGAATGCTAAACCCATACAAACTTTTTATGCAAGAAATTTTTCGTTTATAAAACTTCAAATGAAATTAATATCAGCTATAATATTATAATTCGCATTATCATAAATATTAAGATTCACCTTATCATAAATATTATGATTCGCATTATCATAAATATCACACCTGTACCATATGTCACTGTCTATACCATGTATTAAGAACATAATGATATTTTCGCAAATTGAATTTTACGAATATATGTTTGCAACATATCAAAATAAATTTGTTATAAATTTATCTTTTTATGAATTACAACATAGTACTTAAAGATAAGATAACATAGTATTTAAAAAATATACAATCTAACAAATTTATGTGATTACTTTGATATCTTTGGAAATAAAAGTAAAACTTTCCTTTGACAAACATCATCAAATATAAAATATTTTATATAAAACTAATTTTCCCTAATATTAATAAATGATAAATTATTTTAAATAGCTATTTTGTTATTCATGCATTCTGTATAAATGTCGCTTTTTACTTATATTTTATATATTGTATTATGTATTAAAGTATCACCCGGATTTTGATATTATGATCATGATATATCGATACGTAATTTTCTTCGTACAGAGTACAGAGTTCTTCTAAAGGAGACACTAATACAGATATTCACTTATTGTTAATCGATTTTGATTTCCGTGAGCAACAGAGAAAAAGTCGGCAATTTATACTTAGACTTTTCTTGGAAGATTCAAATTTTGCATGAACCATAAATCCGAAACAATGTATAAATTTAACGTTCTCTTTATTATTTGTTATTATTGGATCTTTCGAGAAGGATGAGTGCTATTTTGGATTACGCTGACAATACGAGATATCGTTATCGAGCTACCTCAGATTAGGCGTCGAATAGATTGGTCTTGACTTTTAAACGACAACTTTCAGTGAGTTTTTTAATGAGGCAATTATGAAAGCTTTATTTTGTTATTTTTGGCTCGATTTCGAACATATTCCAAAAAATTTAAAATACTTCAGATAAAATACGTCAGAATAAAATACGTCAGAAAATAGAAATACTATCAATAATTAAATGCTATCAGAATTAGATGTGATGAACATATAACATATATGTATAATATACAATATAAAATAAAAATTTTCTCTTTTTTTCTTAATTTAATAAGTTGTTTTAAAAGATTTTGTTAGTTTAAAAAATTATGAATTATGTATCTACAAAAATACCTCTTCTGTAAAAATCTCTGGCAGTTTCTTTGCCGATTCCAGTATTCGCTCCTGTTATAACTACTGTTTTGTTTATGAGACGCGTTTCACTGGTGCATTGACTATGGAACTGCCACATTTTTACAATATTTTCTTTATATGATTTTAGTGCACTTTTTAAAAGTTGCAAATGTTAACTATCTGTTATAATCCAGCGTCAGTTTGAAATGTACCATAAACGAGGCAAGAATGAAGACTGAATAGAGGAGAAGAGAGTGGCTTGAAGTAACGTTAATGGAATTTAGTGCTTATATAATGTAGTTCAGGGACAGTGCCACGGTGTTAAGTCTCGTGAAAGTGAAAAGAAAAAGACAGAAATTTAAATTTGATAAGATATATGTACAAATTCTTAATTATTCATAAAATTATAGCTACTTAAAAATAAAATTAATAAAAAATAATTAATAAAAAATAAATTTATTTATTATTTTAATAAAAATATCATTTTTTTTCTTTTATAAATATTTTAACTAAAAATTTTTGTCTATGATATTTTTATGAAAAATTATTATTTTCAAAAATTTGAAACAAAATGTATCTCTATTAACAAAAGTTAATTTCATTATGAACTCTTCTATTTTTTGTTAAATGCTTCACTATTACGATTATTCATATCACTTAGGATTAAATAAGAGCTGCTATCACATGTATGTACAAGCACACATAATACAAATAAACTGATTACTCATTTATTATTAATGTTCAATTGATGTTGTCAGAGGTTTCTCTTATTAAAGGGCACAGCGTGGTTAAGTGACTTTTGTCGAAAAACTTTATGATAGACTTTATAAAGACACAATTACATGTGATAGATAGAAATGCGTGACGCTTACTGCTGCCATTTTAGTGCGTGCGTGTCCCAGATAAAAAGAAAAAATAGCAACGTCATCCTAAAGGCACGTTTATAATTGAAGCGATATCCATAAATCCTTTGTATTAATGTGCATTGATTTCTGCTTCATTTCTCACAGATATCAAATAAGAAAAGTCAACATTAATAAATAACATATGAATGATCAATATGTATGCATGAATACATAATATGAATCTAATAATATAAATGATTAATTCGATAATTATATACATTAATTATATACATAAGGAAAAGTTGTTTAGAATCATGCTCCTGACAACATATTTTAAGGTCATTGAAATTTCCTCGGTGAGGAATTGCTAATGTATAATTACCATTAATTCTAATGCAACATTTATGAGATTACTAATTTTTTCATTTTAAAATAGAATTCATATTTAATCTCCTTATTTAATAATAATAAAATAACCTAATAAACTAATAATAAAATAATATATAAGATTGCTATTAAATTTAGAAATTAATCTAATTTAAAAGAAGTACTGGAATTGTCGAACACCCGTTATTATCGCAACTTTACCATCAAGACGCGCTTTACTGGTACACATTCTATTATAAGTCCACATTTGGAATTTCTTTTTTCACTATCTTGCGAATAAAAGGCTTCCTTTATCTAACTGAACTAAGCGTTGCACTGAACACAACAAGAATACAATGCGATACTTATTGACGGAAAGGATACTTTAATAACAGGACAAAAATTACGTAAGAGGAAATTACGTAAGAAGAAAAATGGAATTATAGAGCACTTTAGAGCTACAATAACTGCTAGGATACTTCACACCACATGCAGCATATAAATTAAATAATTATTGAAAATACTATGTATAACGTGCGTGTGTGTGTGTGTGTATACACACACACACACACACACATACATTACATACATGTTTAATTTATATGTTGTATGTGGGGTGAAGTATCCTATTTCATATTTATTATCCTATTTCATATTTATTATCCTATTTATATTTATTATATATTATTCCCACAACAATTTTAATGCTAACTAATTTATATTATTAATTCAGTCATATATATTAATGATTATTTAATCATATATTATGCATTCATATATGATTCAATGAGTAATTTGAAATGGTTTTCAAAAACGTGTCAAAATCTTATATATCTTATATATGATTCAATGAGTAATTTGAAATGGTTTTCAAAAACGTGTCAAAATCTTCATCAGGATTCAAATGTAGAAGTCGACAAGTTTGATCCCATAAATTTTTGGCAATCCGATCATTTTGAGTTCGCCATTGTGTAGTTGCAACTTTGCACTCTCTGAAAAAAAATATTTTTAACGAAATATATATATATATATATATATATATATATATATACATATGTAGAAAGAATAGAAAAACACATATAATTATCACTAAAAATTGTTTAACTTAATTTTTATTATTATATTTATTGATTAGTTTTTGTAAAAAATAATTTCTATATATTTCTCTTACTGATAATAAAGACCAGTTTCGTTAGCTGTTTTTTCGTCCACCGAACAATATACTGTCGTTTGTGCACCTTCTTCAGGATTTTTTAAAACTGGTCGCAAAATCATTCGAAAAAGTGCATTTGCACCTGGAAATATTGTTCTACTAAAATGCCGACCTAATTCTGTTGTGATGACACCAGGATGTAAGGAATATACATTTATTCCTTTAATATTTGCTTCTGAAAAAAAATAATTTTGCTTTATTAATTATTTCCACAATAATCTTTTTTAGAAGATTTGTTTATCCTTTTTATAATTCAATATTATAGCAGAAAGATGAAAAAAAGAGAGACAGAGATCATCGTATCATATCATACAACATTATTAGAAACATTTAGCTCATGGAATAAATTAATATTTAAGATAATTTTTTATGATTTGATTGTATTTTTTTGTGTTATAAAATATGATAAAATGTACTGAGAAAAATAACCGATGAAAAGGTAACAAACGGATATTATCCGATTATTAACCGATCACTTTAATCGGATATCTGATCGGAAAGTTCCGAATTTTGAACTTTCTGATCAGATATCCGATCGATTGATATTTTCTGATTGGATATCTGATCGGTTTCTTTTTTTTTCGATTAAAGTGATCGGTTAATAATCGGATAATATCCGTTCGTTATCTTTTCATCGGTTATTTTTCTCAGTGTATAATTTCAGTTTTTCATCTAATAAGCTTTATCATTTACCTTTTAATCGACGAGCAAGTTCCTTGGTAAATAATATGTTCGCTAATTTACTTTGCATATAAGCCTTAAGAGGCGTATATGATTCTTTCAAATTTAAATCATCATGTATAGCACCAACTGCAATATATTAATAGTCATGATATATCAGTTATTTTCTTTTATTATTAGATATTAATTATTAGATTAACGTTATAATATTTTACATTAAAATCTTATATAAAATTATTGCTCATTAGTAATTTTTGCTTATATCATTAAACTTATATTTACATTTAAATTATATACTTAAGATAAGTTATACATAACTTATTAAATTTACGTACAAATGTGAATACGCGATGACACATTCAATATCCTACAGATAGGATCAGAAGACCGCATTTTTGGCAATAGCAGAAGCGTCAGAAGAAAGTGACCGATGTAGTTTGTCTGTAATTGTAACTCGAATCCATCTTCGGTTGTTTGTTGCGGGCACATCATCACACCGGCGTTATTTATTAGCAGATGAATAGCCGATTCCTTTGTCAGCAAATTTCTAGCACATTCTTTCACACTCTTTAGACTAGAGAGGTCCAATCGATAAATCATTAATTCACCTGGATTACCTTGAAATTGTTCTCTATCCGCTCTGGAAATTGTTGCATTATCTCATAAACAACAATTATAATTATTTTGTAATTATTTATTGTTAATTATTAAATATTGATTTTAAATATACATCATTAGCTTATTAATTAACAAATTATAATTATAAAAATCATATTAAACAATCTAAAAAAATGTTAAAAATTTGATGTTTTAATAACAATTATGTTTATCAAATTATATGATGATTAAATTATATGATTATTCTTACCTTGAAGGTGGATTTTTTTTCAAATCTTCTAGTGCATCATTTGCTCTTTGTAAATCTCGACAGGCTAAAATTACCCTTGCACCTATAGAAAGAAATGTCATATTCATAAAGACATAGGCTAAAGAAACTAAAATTCTCTATGTTTTTTAATAGTCATTTGTTCTTTAGTGATTACATATAATGACGTATATTTTATGTAACTATATTAATAAGTAATTAAATACGAGATATAAACTAAAATAAAATTGTTTAAAAATTCGTTAAAAATGTGATATGAAAATTATATTTTTGAAAGATTTCCGAAACTACATAAACAATATGAAGTATATATTAAATATCTGATTAAGAAGGATCTGATTAATTTTTAAATATTGACGGTTCTTCTAATTATGTTATAATGTTTTAATCGCAAAATATGTGCGTTGTTGTGTATGGCATACATATTATTTAAAATATATGAAATAATAAAGAATTTTGTAAAATTGATTAAACTATTAAATTTTAATATTAAATAATTTTAATATAAAAGAGAAATTAATCATATTTAAATATTTTAATATAAAAGAGAAATTAATAATATTTAAATATTTTAATATGAAAGAGAAATTAATAATATTTTATTAATTTTTATATTTAATCATATTTTTATATTTTAATCATATTTAATTAATTTTAATATTAAAATGTGATTAATTTTTCTTTTCTCTCTCTCTTTCTTAATTTAATAAATTTCAAAAAAACTATAAAACTTTCAAAAAGCTTTCAAAAAGCTGTGCATTTGTTAAAATTTAAAAAATTATAAACTGCATTAAATATAAAAATACCTCTCCTATAAAGATCTCTGGCAGTTTCCTTGCCGATTCCAGTATTCGCTCCTGTTATAACCACTGTTTTGCCTACGAGACGCGCTTTACTTGTGCACTGACTGTGGAACAGCCACATTTTTGCAATGTTTCTTTTACCTAGTTTTCAATTGCTACTTCACAGTTTTTTTAAACGCAATTGTCACTATCTGTCTCAATAAATTCGTTATGCTTGATAATTAAATCCACTCCAAAGCAACATTTAATCAAACTTTGTTATTGATCAGTCAGTCGAAATGTTTGCGAACACAGTGTGCGAACACAGCAAGAACGAGGATTAAACGGTACAGGAGAAAGGTGCAGTATCTGATTCTTCAGTGCGAAATGGAATTTATTGTTAACGGTACTTATATTTACTGTAACTTATCGCTGTCAAGTGCTAAAAAAAATGAAAAGAAAAAAGAAAATTATATGATAATTTTGATAAAATACATATATATATAGTAAATATCGTTAACAATAAATTCCATTATATATATGTATAAAATTCTTAATTTCTTATTTACTCAAAATTTAAAGCTGTTTAAAAGTAATATTAAATAAAAGGAATGATTTATTTATTGTAAATTTTTAATAAGAGTATTATTACATACTTTTTAAATTTTATTATATAAATATTTTGATTTTAAACTTTCTTTTACGATATTCTAAACTGTTGCTATTTTAGCAAAGTAAATTTATATTAAATTCGTACGACAATTTTGCGACAATTTTCACACATGAACATTTATTTTTATTTAAAATAGTATCTTTTATAGACTTTTACATGTGAATACAAGTTTTTATATTCTCTATCAAAGATAAAGTAGAAGATAAATTTAAAGTAGAAGATATTTCGAGTCCTATATGGGCAGCTAATATTTAAGTAAATATTTAATATCGTGTCAGAGAATCTTTCGTTAAAGTTACAAGAGTCAGCGTTAGCAGTCAGCAATATACGTCAGTACGCTCATGTTTCCTTAAAAGCAATATTAAAAAACGATATGCAGGTTTTATCTTTCTAGCATCAAATTTATGCCAACGATTCAGAACGAGATTGGAAGATTAGACGAAAGGCGGAGAAGTAAAGAACGAGAGGTAGAAAATCATTGACCGGTCGAGACTTCAGGTAGGCTGTACAGATTCTGAAACCTGTTTCGCTCTGGTGATCTATTTACAGTTCTCCTTCAAAAAGTGTAACATTTGGCGACAACATTATTTACTTAATATATATACGTGTAAAATATATATTTGATAAACAAATAGGACAATAATGTACATGCGAGTGAAACAATGTATAGGAAGCGGAGTGATTAAGAAATTGTACGTTCGATCTTGTGCGACTGATTCAAGTCATGTTGAAGAAATCGAACCGAAACCTTTTGAAGACATTCCAGGACCGAGATCTTTACCCATTATTGGCACGTTGTATAAATATTTGCCTTTTATCGGTAAGAATAGTATTATTATGATGTTGGATTATAAATTTTCAAAATTAAATTTGTGATAGGAGCGCGAAACTTATATTTTTTTCTATTTTTTTCTATTTCTACTGAATTATGGGACTCCCATTTTAATTCTATCGATTTTTACTTTATATTTTTTTCTTACATTTAATATAAATATATATCTTTCCATTTTATAATTTTATAATAAATTAATTTTATTAACCGTCAATGACGTAGGTGAATACAGTTTCGTTAAAATGCATACGAATGGTTTATTGAAACTAAAGCGATACGGACCTTTAGTGCGAGAAGAAATAGTACCAGGTGAATCAGTGGTATGGGTGTTTCGACCGGAAGATATCGCGAAAATTTTCAAAGCCGAAGCGGGTTTACATCCCAAAAGAAGATCTCACCTGGCACTTTTTAAGTATAGAAAAGACAGAAGTAACATCTACAACAGTGGAGGTCTTATAGCCACGTAAGAATTTTTATGATTTTTACAAAATTTCGCATGTAATATAAGAAAAGTCTACAGAGCCAGGTAGAATTGTTCCGCTAATAATTTTAAAAATACATGCAAAAATTTAATTTTTTAATTAGAAATGGCACTGAATGGTGGAGATTACGCCGTGAATTTCAAAAGGTCCTTAGTAAACCACAAAATGTCATCGATTATTTGGAGGATACTGATCTCGTTGTTCAGGAATTCGTACGGCTCTGTTCCCGTGAAAAAACCGATGATTTCTTGCCGTTATTCTCGCGTCTTTTCCTTGAATGTAAGATTTTTATTAAAATTATTAAGGCGAATTATATTTCATTTATGAAAAAACTACTAATTAATTAGTTTAAAGCGATTCATATTAAAATAAGAGCACGTAAAATATAAGCTAACTGATTCTCCAATGAATATAAATTTTGTTTACAATTTACTTTGTTTATATAATGGCAGTGATGTGTCTCGTTGTCTTTGACATAAAAATGGAGAGCTTATCAAAAGAAGAAAGACATGAAAAGTCCCGGAGTTCAAGACTTATCAATGCAGCATTTACAACAAACAGCGCAATTTTGAAACTAGACAACGGTCCAATGCTTTGGCGATTTTTCGAAACACCATTGTACAAAAAAATGCGCAAAGCCCAAAATTATATGGAAGAGTAAGTTTATAAAAATTAATTATAATAATATTTAAATATACAAATATCGTCGTAATTAATCTTATATTTACATCATCTTTTTTCGAAAAAGGCAATAATATAATCCAGCAAACACAGAATATTGCAACAACATTGCTGCAATGTTGTAATATTGCCGCAACATTACTGCAATGTTATAATATTGTCGTAATATTGCTGCAATATTCTGTGTTTGCTGGGAAGTAAAATTGCATATGCAATAGATGAAATATATGGCATTATCAATGAATAAAAATTAATTGAATTTTTTCATGAATATTTTATTTTCAAAAGGAGACTAAAAAATTAAATAAAAAAAGGTGAACAAGAGATGACAAGAAAATATATGCAGATAATTTTATTTTAATTTAAACTTTTCATAAAAAGATGTACTACTTTTTTGTATTACTTATGACCATTACAATTGTGAAATCAATCTCTATTAAAATTTCACTATTCATACGCAATTTTATTATAATTTTCAATTGCCTTTCAGAGTAGCGCTGGAAATGGTTACTCAGAAAAATCAGGACACATCAATTTGTCGAAAACAATCGCTTCTCGAGCAGTATTTGAAAAATAAAACTTTAGATATCAAGGATATTGTGGGCATGGCATGTGACTTCTTGCTCGCTGGCGTGGATACCGTAAGAGTGTTTCAGAATTAATTATGTATCTTATACGTAGAATTAAAATAAATTAATTCCTGAATTAATTTTCTAAATAAATCTAATTACCACAGACAACAAAAGTGTAACAAGGAACATGCGATTTTCGTTTTAGACGACATATAGCACGGCATTCGCTTTATATCATCTAGCAAGAAATACAGATGTCCAAGAAAAGCTAAGATCGGAAGCTACGGCTTTATTAATAAATCGTACTTCTCCAATAACAGCAGAGACTTTGAGAAACGCCATATACACTAAAGCTGTAATAAAGGAAACTTTTCGCATGAATCCTATCTCCGTAGGAATAGGCCGTATTCTGCAAACCGATGTGATTCTTAGCGGATATCGCGTTCCCCGAGGGGTAATATTATATTTTGCTTATATATATAAAATTAAATATTTTATTTAAAAAATATATATATTTAAGAGAAATTCTTTTTGTGTGGAGAGAAAATATATTTTAAATGTTTCAGACTGTCGTTGTCACGCAAAACCAAGTAATTTGTCGACTTCCTGAATATTTTGACGAACCAAATTCGTTCATACCAGAAAGATGGTTACGCGATAGTAATGGAACAGATAAAATTATAAAAGAAAAATCTATAAATCCATATATAGTATTGCCCTTTGGTCACGGTCCACGATCGTGTATCGCGAGACGATTCGCGGAACAGAACTTGCAAGTCCTCTTACTTCGGGTACGTATTTTAAAATATTAAAAGCTATACACTAAAGAGATATCGTAGTACGCAATTTCATAATTTAACATATTCTTTGTAGATATGCAGAAATCTGCGGTTTACATGGTGTGGAGAATCCCTCGGTTCACTATCGTTATTAATAAATTTACCTGATAAGCCGATTAAAATAAAATTCGAAGACTTATGCACGTAGAAAATCTAGATATTGGGATTACAATTATACTCTCGAAGATCTTTGTATGAGAAACAATAGTTTATTAGAACGAAATTGTTTCTTAATTATCTAATAGAGTTTCTTGATTATCTTTAATAGATAGACAGCAATAGAAATAATTATAAGATTTATATCTCGCTAATATTAACTTATGAGGCATGAAAATTGAACGGATCGTGGGTACGTTCTAATTGTAAGTCATATACTTGGGTGTCGCGGAAAATTTGGCATACGACTTGATGACCTTATTGACCGCCTCGAGGAAATCTTTCTCCGTGGCAACTTTGCGTCGTGCACGAATCGCGAACATGCCAGCTTCGGTACAAACGGATCGAATTTCAGCACCTGTGCTATTGGGACAGAGACGTGCGAGCAGCTCGAATCTAATATCCCTTTCAACGCTCATCGAGCGCGCATGGATCTTGAAGATGTGCGTGCGTCCCTCGAGATCCGGCAGGCCAAATTCTATCTTCCTATCTAAACGACCCGGTCGCATCAGCGCGGGATCCAACGTGTCCGGTCTATTCGTCGCCATTAGAACCTTTATGTTGCCGCGTGGATCGAATCTAAAACAATGATGAACTCATTTATAAATAAATTGTGAAAAATTAAATCATACGATTTTCAGACCAAGATAGTTTACCCGTCTAATTGATTGATCAGTTCCAACATAGTACGTTGTACTTCGTTATCGCCACCGGCACCATCGTCGAAGCGGGCACCACCGATGGCATCGATTTCGTCGAAGAAGATTAAGCAAGCCTTCTTACTTCGCGCCATCTCGAATAGTTCTCTTACCATTCTAGCGCCCTGCGAAAGATTAAATTGTCATGTATCGCAATTTATATATAAAGTTTTATAACTGGATTTTTACGTGAGATTTGACTTACCTCACCAACGTACTTTTGGACCAATTCTGAACCAATCACACGAATAAAACAGGCATCTGTCCTGTTAGCCACTGCTCTGGCACATAAAGTCTTTCCTGTACCTGGTGGTCCAAACAGTAAAACACCTTTCGGTGGCTCAATACCCAGATTAACAAACTTTTCTGGCTGCAATTAATTTTTATTATTTATTTTTGGCACTTTATTAAGAAAAAAAAATTGCTAAAAGAAAATATGATTATATGCTAACATGTAATAATGGCGTTTCAACAACTTCTCTCAATTTTTCGATTTGCTCTTTGCAGCCACCAACATCGCTATAAGTAACATCAGGCTTCTCTTCTACTTGCATCATCGTTACCGTAGGATCAATTTTGGATGGGAGTGGAATATGAATTTGATACTTATTACGATCCACTCCTACCCTCATACCTTCCTCTATATCAGTTGGTGCGACAGAATCAGCTAAATCAACTACAAATTTCGCAAACTGCTTCACATTTATTATATACTTTGGATCGTCGGAATCTGCATTTATAATTTTAGTGCAGCGTGCCACTTGCAATGGTTGTTCATTCTGCAGAGTTTGTTTATCCGCTGCTAGATCCCAAAGTGCTGGTGGTGCCAAACCAGTATCCGATTCCTTGATGCCAGTCAATTCATTTACACGCTTAATGATAGTTTGTATATCTTCATCAACACCTTTAATACTCTTTGTGTATTGTCCTTGGCCCTGCTTATTATAAAAATTATTATTGCATATGTTAATGTACTAGAAATTTAGAAGAATATTAATTTTTAAAATATGACATTTTGATACGATTAATGTACTCGTCTCTGAATCATATCTAATTTTAAAATTCTTTTAACAATAATTAAACTCACGTAAGTTTTCAATAAAGCAATATCGCCTTCATCCAATGCTGAAAATTCAAAGAACAGTATTTAGAAAATAAGATGACATAGTGAATGTGACATAAAAGAATCAGAGAGAGCTACAACTCACATTTTATCTCCTTCTCTTCCTTTTCTTCCTCATTCTTCACTTTTCGCATATCTTCTCCTAAATGATCCGGCATCTTTGAGTTTATTAAATCGTCTATTTATTCAAACAACACGCATTTATTTTTCGCAAAATTGATGGAGAGATTGACAATTCTATCGTTGTATAGGAGGGTTATGTTGCCTTTCGATTACAAGTGAATTAGCGAAATCGCGACGGTCCTCTTTTAGAAAGCTATGCGCTCTCTATGGATATAAAAACGTGCATATGAACTACGAAGTCAATATCCACGAATGTTTTCAGTGGGTAACATGTAATGGACAATTTCGGATTGTGTTCCGTGCTATGCGCACAAAATGTCGATAACACCAGTGCTATATATATTCAGTTTCTATATGTATATTCATTGTCATATTTATATTTTTATTTACAAAAAACAAAATGCCTGCTGTAGAGTTAAACAACATATTTAACCGTATTTCTATAAATTTCCTTAAGTCTTTTTAACAGTAATTTGATCTTTGATATTCATCAATCATTTTTTTAATTATTTAAAAATTTAATTAATAATACATGTATAGAATTTTTTATTTAAATTAATCGCTGATTCTTATGAAGGATTTATAATTAAGATTCAACAAATATAGATATAGATAGTTGCAAAATATTTTAAATGTTTCCTTCTTTATATAAAATATAAAGAATTCATATGTTCCATTCTAATATAGCTAACATTATTTATATATTTTTATTATAATTTTCATACCAGCATAACTTTTATGCTTAATACTTCATATAATACAATGTACTAAATTATAAAATTTAATATAATTACAAAATAGTATTACTATTAATAAATAGGTTGTATGCATACTGTCTTTCAATTTCCAATTACTATGCATTTCTATCCAATATATTCTCTTCTTCGAGTTCTTGGATTATTATGATTTATTGTATTCCTTTGTATTAACATCAAAAATTATCATCACTTGTCATACTTGTCCCTTCCTAAGAAAATTTTAATGATCACCTAATTGCCCTAACAATCCCTTTTTTTACATTATTTTATTTTTGATGATCACCTAATAGCCCTAACAATCCTTTTTTTTTACATTATTCTATTTTTTTATTTATTTTTAGTTTACATTATTTATTTAATTTATTTCACTTTTTGTTTTTTAATTTTAAATAATTTTTTCTTTGACAAATTTGACTGATTTTAATACAGGCATCGTCAAAATAAGAGATACCGAGGCATTTATTATTACTTTAGACGGCATACTTTGTAATTGACTCCGATATAAAACCTTTTGTTATTGTTTTTTATCACATCATCACATTTGTGCTGAAGATGGCCCAAGAATAGGGTCGAAACGTTCGCTAACTTTTCTTTATAATTTGTTCCATACTTATTTGATTGTATAATAAATAATTGTGTTATAAGATCAACACTTATAACTCGTATTGCCATTAAAACTGATTTGTTCAATTTTATATTTCGAGTCTTATACTTTTTTTATTAATTATAATTATTGAAATATTTATTGATCTGTTTTTCCTAATATTATTTAAACCTACATTTCCTGATTCTTTAAAAGATACATAATATATTAATCACCTAAAATAATCACATCATAGTTCTAACAATCCTCTATTTCTTGAAAGGAAAATTAAAAAAATCTTAATAATCACTTGATAACCCTAACAATCTTATTTCTTGATTAAATGAAATTATTCGAGCCTATCTCTAATCACGTATATTTTAAATTACGTGCCCTAATTACATTTTCTAACCGCGTGTCCTAACCGCGTGAATAAATGTCCGACATTACGTGCTATTGTACGTAAATCTTTTTTTCAGGCCAGTTGAATTTACCTTTCGTTGATCCTGGCCACTTTCTTGCTCGATCTCTAATCAGAGATCGAAAAAAGAAATAAACACTCCTTCTTTTATTAAATATTATCGTCGATTAATTACCGGTGATAATGAGCGTAAATATTTCACGCTCATCGTAACGATCGCTCGAGTTTACGATCGTTCGTTAAATATTTGAATGTAATTTTATTTTAACTCAAAATAAAGCCAAATTACTACAAATTTCTTTATATTATATTTTCTAATAAAATATAAAATTCATGTGTATGTATAACTTTTATGATATTACATTTATGATATTACAAATTATTTAATTATTTAATCATTTGGCTTTATATTAAGTTAAAATAAAGTTTAAAAACGATATCTACAAACAAATTCTACGATGGATAAGCTATGAGCAATTAGAAAATAAGTGCGTATTATAAGAATAAATTAGCATCAAAAATTGATAAAATTGATAATTATTAATGGGTGTCCTTCATTTAATAAATTAGACAAAATCTTAAAAAAAAATGTTTTCTTGATCTCTCCTTTTTTAAATTAATATTTTAATATATTTTCGCAATAGATGTAAAGCATAAGTCAAAAAAACTTATTAAAATTATTTAATTTAATTAATTTAATTTAATTATTTAATTTAATTTATTTAATTTAATCTATCCTAGCTCATCCATTTTAAGGCAACGGATTTATCTACAATCTACAATCTTCATTTACATCTACATCTGCAATTTCTACGAATCCGTTACCTTAAGTTAAATAAAAGTTTTTTTCACTCACCGGCACTGATGCGCATCAGCGGAGTTGTTGTAATCGAAGCTAGTTGTCTGTAACATACAAATATAAAATTCATTTATATTTGTATTATATTATTATAATAATGCTCACAAAATGCAATTAATATTTTAAAAAATTTTTATCGCGCGGAATTTAATATCTGACATGTAAAATAATAAGCAGATAATCACACATGGAAAAATTTTATAAATTTTTGAAACTGTTTTTTAAACAGAAATTTTATGACTTTTATAAAAATCTTTCTTTTTAATTCATTTAAATAATAAGATCGAATTATTGTTCGTTTATAACAAGTTAACGATTTATAACAATTAATATATAAATAATAATATTCACCATCAGGTTGTTCCGCTGGTGCAGGATGCCTCTCCTAGGCCTGCTCCTCCTCTCAGCTCATCAGGGTTATTGCATCAATCTATAACATACAAAAGAAGATTCCAATGTAGCAGCGCTCAAAATAATTAATATTTCAAAAATTATTGTATACATTGAATTTTATATTCGATGCATATAATAATAGCAGATTAATAAATAATTCTATAAATTTTAAAAAACATTACTAATAATTTTCTTATAACTTTATAAAAGCTTACACCTTTACAAGATTATAGCTTTAATTTAAAAATCTTTTTCTTTAATTCTCTCTTATTTAAAATACAAATAAAAATATAAATAAAAACATCAAATTAATTGTTGCGATTAATTGTTTAATTTAAATTATAATAAATATATTTAATATTTAATATATAATTACAAATAAATAAATTGCTTACCAGAAAGTTGCCGGAGCACGATGCCTCTACCAGGCCTCCTTCTCCTCTCATGTTGTTGGCGCGCGATTCTGAACGACACTTCCGCACTCGCGAGCGATATTTTTATATCGCTATTTTTTTTATTTTACGCGCGATACTGAACGGCACTCCCGCACTATTTCGATGCGATTAAAAATTTTATATTTGATCGCGCGATGCATATACTTAATATGTATATACCTTTAACGGCACTCCCTAATTAATACTTAACGCGACGCGTTGACGAAGCGCTTGCCGTCCGCGGCACGTTGACGGCACCGACGACGCGAAAGGGTACTTAGCTTCCCATTCAGGCACCTTAAGATTTATCATAAATTGAAAAATTTAAGATAAACCTCAAGGCACCGTCCAGGTACTAAGCCCTCCCACCGCGACAAGGTGTACCCCATGGGAGGGTTATATTATATATAATTTTATATATAATATAATATATAAATTTTATAACTTTTTTTATAGCGTTTTTCACTACTACTTCACTACTCGAGAGTCATCGTGCGAATGATGACAAAGCCATAACGTATAGTGTGCTACTGTTTATATTTTTTATATTGCTAAAGCCGAACACCGTGTTATCGGCAATTCGTTGAAATATTTTATATATCATAAAATATACACTAACGCGAAATATTAAATAACAGAAATACTTTAATTTATTGATTATTAATTAAACAATTTCTCACGGAGCATTTCGTTACGTTAATTATTTGCATCTGTAATTGTGTGTTCGATTGTTTTACTTTGTGTTCTCTCATAATGCAAATTACATTTAGATTGTCAAGTAGTACGACAAAGTAACATGGGTGAAATATTTTTGACTCTAAATAAAATTAAAATAATAAATATTAAAATAATAATTATTGTCTGTAAGAGATTACAATGATCGAAGTGATTATTTAATATCTTGTATTCCTATCATTTTATCGATTCTCGATTAAATTGTATATTGTTTAATTAACAAGGATTGAGAAAATATAAAGCATTTGTTGAAATATATTTCATTCTAATATTGTTAAGGAAATATTATTATAATAAGCATTAATGATTGAAGGATAATATAATTAATTCTTTTATTCTTTTTTCTGTATTCCCTGTTTCAATTTTTAATCACAGTAATGAATGATTATGATAAGATAAAGATTTATCGTTACGATATAATTTCATGACGCTAATTAACTTTTAATTAATTAATTTTTATTAATAGTTATAGCAAATTATGTTCTGATTCTAATCATAATCATGTTTAGTAAAAAAATTACCATATACGAAACGTTTCTCATCACTACTTTATTACTCTAGAGTCACTGTGCGAATGATGACAAAACCGAAACATAGCGCGCTACTGTTTATATTTTATATTGCCAAAGTCAAACATCGTGTTATCGATAATACGTTGCCGAAATATTTTATACATTGTAAAATATACACTAACGGAATATTAAATTATAGAAGTATTTTAATTTATTGATTAAAATTGATTATTTATGAAACAATTTATCACGGAGCCTTTCGTTATGCTAATTATTTGCGTATATAATTCAATTGTTTTATTGCGTGTTTTTTTATAGTTCAAATGGATTTTAAAGATCGGACGCGATATTTTTATTAATTTGTTGCAAAAATATTTTATATATTTTGACATATATATATATTACGACATATATTTTATGTATTATGACATTTATATACGTTATATTATAGGATAATTTACAATGTGAATAATTACAGACGAAATGAAAAAAAACAAGCAACACATATCCATTTTGAAATTAACATAAATATGACAAATAATTTGTATAAATTACTTACTGCACATGTGTATGTACTCTATACATTGCCTGATGTTTTTTCAGACTTTCTTTTCCTCTCTTGTATATTTTTCGTTGTTTGCTCGTCATTGTTTCTTCTCGTGGTATTGTTTTCTTACTCGCCCACGAAAGTACGATTTAATTATAATTAAGCGAATACATAGGACACTTTGCACGAGACTCGATCGCGAAATAATCATATAAAATACACATTTTATTAAATCGTAAGAGAGCAACACGATCTTTACACGAGACTGAAATCATTCGCTACAGCAATGCGTGTTACTGTATACAACTGATACGCGTATTATATGCTGTATAATATACGAATCATAAGAATCCATTTATTTGCCGCATATTTATTTGTCCGATTGCTAAAATCAATTTAATATCTGAAGTTACTCCACCGAGGTTGTATCAGAAATTAAATTCAAACAAAATATTTTTATCGTATTTGTCACTCTTTTTGGAAGCTTTATATAATTCGCATGATTAAATTTACGAGATAGATAGCGTCGTGTAGCAGTAAACGAACGAATTAATGATATATAAATCATCATAATCATATAAAATCACATATATGTATATATATTAGATATAATTATATTTTTAAGTACAATTAAATTAGAAATCTTTAGAAAAAACAATTCGTCGATTAGGTAAAATGATTTTGTTAACAGAAAATACACAATTCAATTTTTATAGTAAAATTAATTATATTAAATATTTATGTCATGATTATATATTAAAATTATTTAAAACGTACTTTTTATTTTTATAAAAAATTGTTATTTTTTATTAGTAATAATAATATTTTAAAGATATAAAGATTTAAAGATAATATTTTAACATATTAAATGTTATATGCGTAGAGTTAACTTATTATTAAAATATTAAAAATATTTATTCATACAGAGACACACATGTAAGTCATGTAACCCGTATCTATATTTTAACTATTTATATTTATCGTATATATCATGTTTTTGTATATATAGTATATATTATAAATGTAAATATTTATCAAAGATAAGAAATTATATTTATTACTTTATGAATCGATTTTATACGAATAACATTATTCAGCAAGTTGGCGTGAAACAGTTTGCAAAAATGTGGAAAAATTTTCATCAGGTTCCAAATGCAATAGCCGACAAGTAAGGTCCCATAGCTTCTTGGATATTTGGTCATCTCTCGCTCTCCATTGTGGGCTGGACACGCGACATTCTCTATTAAAAAAAATATAATTTTGAGAGAGAAACAGACAGAGAGAGTGAGTGAACGAGTGAGTAACAACATATATAAATTTATTAAAAATAGATTTTAGAAATAGATTTTAGAAATAAAAAAAAATTACAAGAAAAAAATTCTTTGACATTTGTGTATTATTGTAATTCATAAAAAAGATTTTATGTCGTATGGCTTGCTCTTACGCATAATAAAGACCGGTCTCATTAGCTACTTTTTCATCAACCGCACAATGTATCGTTGTTTGTGCTCCTTGTACCGGATTTTTGATGAATGGTCGCATAATATTTCGGTAGATGAAATTTGCACCTGGAATTATCGTTCTACTATAATATCGGCTTAATTCGGTTCTTATAACGCCGGGATGTAAAGAGTACACGTTTATTCCATTAATCCTAGCTTCTGAAAAAATAAAATTCATATTTTAAAATTTATATTTCAACTGGATTAGATTACAACTGGAACTATATGCAAATTTTCTATTAAAAAATGTCATTTTGGCACAATATATAGTATGTAAAATAACTTTATCATATCAAAAGAGTAGTAAGAGTAAGTTAATTTTTAATACGTTAACTGTCGCGGGTATTTTTGGAAAAAGGTCCCTCAGGCCACATCACTTTTTTTTATTAATTTTCCTAAGAATGATGTACTTAGGACTATTACACAGTAAAATTACATTTTTTGTAAATTATTTATTTTTAAGTTATTCTCATTTCTTAACCTTTTCTTTTTAAAAGACAAAACTAGCGTGTATACTTTTTCATGCACATGGCATTTAACGTGTTAAATAATTTATTATTTAAACGTGAGTAATTGTAATTTCTTTTACATTGTGTATATCTGTATTTCACTTTTCTATTCACCTTTCAATCGATGTGCAAGTTCCTTGGTAAATAATATATTCGCTAGTTTGCTTTGTCCATATGCCTTCATAGGACTATACGAGTTTTCTAGATTTATATCATTGAAGTATATTTTACCAACTGCAATGATAATAACGGATTACCTAATATGTAATTATCTGATTATACATTAATATTATATATAATATATTAGTAAAAAAAGTAATAAAAAGAATTTTGTTCTTTTTTCGGCTAATAAAAAAAGAAGATAAAAACCGAGATATTATATTTTAATAATAAAATACTTTATCTTTTATTTCTTGTATTTTATTTTTGTATTATGTTTTATTCTTAATACGTACCGCGGTGACAAATTGATGACACATTGATTATTCTGCAGCCAGGAGCGGATGATTGTATTCTCGGCAACAATAATAATGTCAGAAGAAAATGACCGAGATAATTGGACTGCAGTTGCAGCTCGAATCCATCCTTGGTTTTTTCATACGGAGTCATCATTACACCGGCATTATTTATTAATATATGAATAACTGATTCATCTGACAAAATCTTCCTAGCGCATTCTCTTACGCTCTTTAAGTTAGTGAGATCCAATGAACAGATCACGAGTTCGCCTAATTTATCGTTATACTTTTTGCCTGTGCTAAATGTTAATAAAAATTTATTATATACTTAATTATAAATATAGAATGTTAGCGTAGTTTAAAATAATTATAAATTACATATTTTTAATTTTTCGTAAAAGAATTTTCATAAAATAAATATCTTATTTACATAGATTTATATATATTTAAATATCAGAAAGTTTTCTAAGAATCTTTTCTTTCTATTTGTCTATATAAACTATTATAAAATTAATATTTTTGATCAATAGGATGCCTAAATGTGATATATAAAATTAAGGAATGTAAAGTATATTTTATAAATCACTTGTAAAGAATATTTTGTAAACCAATTTTGTTCGATTCTTATTAATTTTATACTTTTTATTTTTTCTTGAATGAAATAATGTGACATAATAATCCGTAATTGAACTCAGGGCATCAGTGACGTTTGGAATTTCTTTATCATTTCTTAAAAATGTTACTATATTCAATAAAGATAGCAAAAATAATTTACTCATGTACAATATATGCACTGTGATTCCAAAATATTGAATTTTCCATTTGTAATTTAGAAATTTTAAATTTATCGGTACCAAAAATTGCATATATAATTTTTCAAAATATTTACAAGATATTTTGCAATACAAATAAATTTTTTAATTACTAAGATATCAGGAATTATAGAATTACGATTGAATTGATCAATGTCATATCATATAGATATATTTTATTTACAGTGATTAAATAGCAGTAAAATGTGATTCGTTTTCACCTTTGTATCCAACCAATTACACTGTTATTTAGTCAGTAATACATAGTAAACGGTCGTATTATTGGATACACTTACACTTACACTAAGCTCGTTGATTTCTATTATTGATCATGTAGAATCAAAATATCCATAAGCACTTACTATGTAACTGCGTATATTCAATATTACAACTATTCATGCTGATTTATTAAATAAAAATAACTAAAGAAACGATAAAAATTACGGTAAATTACGGTTTCGTTACGATTACTGTAAAAATGTAACGACGTTATCATTACCGCTACAGACAAAAAAAATTAACAATTACTCATTATGGAAAAAAAGTAACGATAATAACGTTATAAATAACTCGCGTTACTTCCCAATTCTGCATATATAATATATATATATATATATATATATATATATATATATATCTGAATAAAATAATCAAACTTTGCCATTATGCATAAAAAATATAGAAAAAAAGAGAAAAGAAAATACATGTAATAGATATTTTAAAAAGTTATAAAAATATTTTTATAATATTAAAAATATTTTTAATATTATATAAATATTTTTGTAAGTTTAAAAAGAATAAATTGTGTATATTGCATTATCATTATTTATTTGTTTTTACTGTGCTAAACTCTTTATCTTGTGAACTTCAAAAAAAAGTAAAAAAATGCGGTGATATGTTTGTTGATTATGAAAATCGATTACACTTTGTTAAAAGTTGGACAGACTCAGACCTTGAAATATAACATTATCATGTATGTATTAGATAGCTCCAATATAATAGATATTTAAATTTAAATATACGTCAGAATAACGTTTGCGTCATGATTTATAATTATATGCTTAAAAAAACCTACATATGCATACATAATGCTTATACATTTTTTATTAATCTTCGCAGTTTTACCTACAAGATTCTTACTTCAGCTATAATTTATTATTTCATTGATTTTGTTTGTTAATTTATTGTATATTAATATTACATTAAATAAAAATCAATTATAAATTGAAATAACACTAATATTTAAGAATATTATTTTAAACAAAAAATGTGAAAAATGAAATAGAAAAATATTTATATGTATAAGATATGTATTTATATAAAATATACAAAAATTAAGTTTAATTTACATATTACTATACTATTCCGTAAAATAGTTTTTATATTATTGTACATTCCACCATTTTCTGTCCAGATTAATAAATATTTTATTACAAAATGTACGATTAAGTAAATGTATTTTTCACGTTTCTATAGACAAAATAAAAATTAATTTTTAATTAATTTTTAATTAATTTCAAATTATATATACATATATATATATATATAATTACTACGAAAACTATATGTATTAATTTCTATTTATGAATATATGAATAAAATCACTAAGAAACAGTCAAATATTTCATTGATCTCCAGTAGAAACGCTTATTTTTTGTTACTTTATCTTATATCTCACTCTTATATCTAATTATAGTCAGTGGAAATAAAATTTCATTGTAAAATCAGTAATCGCTAGTTCGTTATGGTAATACACGCTACGGTACGCTATTTTTCTCGTACTTAAGTTTTAGTCATGAGAACTATATAAAACTTGCAGAGCGATAAATAAAATTAAAAGTATTACTTCGATTTAATTTCTGATACAATTTTAATAGAGGAATTTCAGATATTAAATCGATTTTATAAGTCGAATAAGTACTCCTAAATGTCCGACCAATAAACAAAAATGATCCGTTCATCTATTTAAATAAAATAAATCCGTAAAATAAATTCGTTTATCTAGTGAAGTAAAATAAATCATCATCCATTTAAGATACATATTCAATATGCATGTAAATATAAATAAAATTTTTAATTTTATACAAGATAAATTATAATCTAATATTACTGATTAAAATAGTTAAAATTACTAATTCTTTCAGTGAAATATTATTGATTTACACTGCTATAATAACTTATAACTGCTTGACTTACACTGCTGTAATAACTTATAACTGCTGCATCAGCGATTCTATTTACTGTTTTCCTTGATAATATGCTGATTCATTTTTAGAGAGTGCGTATGAATGCATTATTTTATTAATTCCATGAGAAAACAATGTTTAACGTTAAAAAAACGTATTTTAAATATGACGAACATATAACAAACGTTTAACGTAAAAAAACATATTTTAAACTTTTTTAAACGTTTTTTTATCAGAAAAGAATTATATCTCTTAATGTTTTTCACATAGATATTTTAACCAATCAGAAACGTTTTCAAGAGTTGGTTATGAAACACTTCGAAGAAACATTTGTGAAACATTTTTGAAACGAATATGTGCTAACTCTGGGTATATATATGTATATATATATATATATATATATATATATATATATATATATAACCATCAGAATTTTATTTTCATCTTTTAAATCAATCAGAATTTTACTTTCATTTTTTAAATCAAACTATCTATAATAATTAAAATAGCTGCTATAATAATTAATAGAACTGCTAAATATCTATGATAAATAAATTCATAACTTATTATTTCGAATTTTTTACTTTTCTTTTTTTCTTTAGAATAAATTTACATCAAAACGATAATTATAAGCTTAAGTATAATTTCACATGCTTACCTCGGATCTGGATTCTTTTTTATATCTTCCACTGCAGCCTTTCCTTTTTCCAGATTCCGGCAAGCCAAAATCACTCTTGCGCCTAAAAAAATTATTATTTATAAATAAATAAATAAATAAATAAATAAATAAATAAACATATATATATATATATATATATATATATATATATATATACTTACATTCTGTATTATTGTTTTATTAAAATATTATAAGAAATAATTATATCTATTTAAATGATTTATGAAAATACACGCATGTAAGCAGAATTAGTGAAATTATTTTATTTTATTTTTTAATACTAAAGATTTTTTTACTAGAGTTTTTTTTATTTTTGGATATTTATTTATGCATTACTGATATTTTTACTAGAATGATTGATTTCAAATTGGCCAAAAAAAGAGACATCTACGTGTCTCTAAAATATCTAAATGCCTTTAAAAGAAACATTTAAATCTTTTAAAAGTCTTGTATATATAATATTACTCCGTAAATTGTTTATAAAAATATGAAACAAAAATTATGTGAGAGTGTTTCTATAATTATATTGCATATGAATGTGTGATTACGTATTCCATAAAATGTAAAAATTAAAAGTCGATATTTACCTCTCCTATAAAAATCTTTGGCGGTCTCTTTACCAATTCCACTATTCGCACCTGTTATTATAGCAACTTTACCATCAAGACGCGCTTTACTGGTACACATTCTATTATAGGTCCACATTTGGAATTTCTTTTTTTCACTATCTTGCGAATAAAATGCTTTCTTTATCTAGCTGAACTAAGCGCTGCACTGAGCACAACAAGAATATAAAGCGGTATTTATTGATGGGAAGGATACTTGAATGACGGGAAAAAATTACGTAAGAGAAGAAGGAGAAGCGTGGAACTACGCACTTTAGAACTATAATAACCGTTTCCTTCTATTGAGAATCTTAACGTGAATTTCAATTTTATCGTTTCGATTCCTCCTACGAATGATTATAAAATTAAAAAAAATTTTTTTGTTATTATTGCGTCATCATATATTAATATGAAATAATTTTTTATATATCACGATTTGCATTAGATAGAAAAAAATTATTTCTTTTCGGTTATTATTGTCGTCATGCATTAGTGCTCTCTTCTGTATCATGTTTTAATATAAATTATCTTTTTAAACATCACGATTTAATAACTTTGAAAAAAAAATTATCTTTTCAAAAAGTTATCGATTTATTTTTTAAGAAGTTATTTTTTTTTATTCTAATCTATTATCTGTCATACACTATTGCATGTCATGAATCACAATATAATCAATATAAATTAGTTTTTGTGCGACTTATTATTAAATGTTGAGACTTATATTCGATAGGAAAATTTATACAGTTTAATTATTTTTTAAGATTTATGAATTAATAAATAATTGTAAATTTTTAGCAAATATATAGCTACATATTAATAACAATACTAGAACGTATATTAAGTATATTGAAAATGTAAAATATGTGTGGAATTAAATATTAATTTATTAATAACTTATTAATAAAATACAACTAAAACAAAGACTTTTAATATGTTTAAAAATATATTTTATTTTAGCAAATTATGCCGTTGAATTCGTTTAACATTATAATAAAGTGATATGTAATAAAAACTAATTTACATAACGTGTGAGAAAAGAAAAATAATTTAATAATTTTTATAAATCACTTACCGTGCAATTTCATTACTCCGCGTATGTTGCCTATCCTATATGCTTGCAATCTCATTTTCCTCTCTTGTTTGTCCTTTTTTCGTGGCACTCATACTCGAAAATACGACTAATTATAATTATGGAATGATTGCGAGATATCTTGCGCGTCTCATCGTGGAATAATTATACAAAAAATGCACTTTATTATATTATAAGAGATAGAGAACACGAAGAACATATATGATTCGACATTTATAACAAGCCAAACTCAATATTACTCGTTAAATGCTATTTTTATTGTTGATATATGTATAATATATGTATATTAACATTATATTAACACGAATTATAAGATCGAAAGATTGATTAAAGTCATAATATGCAATAATTACTTAATTATTAATTCGATAATATACACAGTATTTCGTATCACTATCTTTGTTCGAGTATCACTGGCGAATAATATTAAAGTCATGTAAACATTAGCGCGCTATTGTTTACGCCGCCAAAATGTTATTGTCCATTCATCGAAATATTTTACGTACTGTAACAAGTATATGCACGGAATGTTAAAGTACATAAATATTTTAGATTATGTAGATTAATTACATAATTATTTATTAAAAGATTAATATATTTTTTATAGAGATTTTCATTATGTTAATTATTTAGACGATTCTATCATTCGATGTTTAGTGCGCGTTTTTAATCCGAATTGTATTTAAATGATTGAAAAATAGATAACATGTTGAAAATAAATTATATTTGACTTTATATAAATATCAATAAAAAGTAATTTCTACTCGTAAAAATTGATTTTATATCAATTAAATCAAAATTGGCACATAAAGTCACAGCGCGGTAATTGGAGCGCAGGAAAGGAATAACACTTCCTTTTTATTAATTGTTGCTTATTTCAAACTAAAAACCTACAAAAATAACAAACGTTTCGTCTTTGATTCTTTCTTACCTTCTTATCTTAACAATATAAAATTATATATATATATATATATATATATATATATATATATATATGTATTATTATGTGTCTCTGTCTAATGCATTATTTTCTTGAAGTCTTCGGATTGTTATGAACTGTCGCACTGCTTCATCCTAAAACTGTAGAAACGCTTCTCCTTGTGATGTCCATTGGAATACCTTTTGTGGCAATTTGTCTCTTCAAGCATTTTTAACAAATATTATAAATTGCTGAAGTATCTTTTACTGTATTCTTTCGATTATTGTCTCTTTTGCTTCATTTTACTCAAAAATGTTAATATAATAATATAATAAATATTATTATATATTAATTACTATGTATTAATTAATATATTAATATAATCATTAATATATGAAATGTTTCGCATTATTACTTACTGCTCGCAAATGATAGTAAAACCGTAACATATAAACAACGCGCTATTGTTTACGAAGTCAAAGTCAGGATTTTATTGATGAATTTGTTGCCGAAATATTTTATGTACTATAAAATACACACGCGCAGAATATTAAATTAAGAAGTATTTTAATTTATTGATTAAAATTGATTATTTATTTAACAATTCATCATAGGACCCTTTATGCATAAAATATCTAAATAACATATTATTGTGAAGAAGTTTATAAGATATTACTACCTAAAAGTATTAATTAATACGAGAACATTTTATAAATATTTCGAGTATATTAAAATAAAATCTAGAATATTTTATACATATGTATGTTATATTAATTTAATTAAAAAATTTAAATAATTTAGATAATTTAGAATGAGAGAGAAAGAGAGAGGGGGAGAGAGGGAAAGAGAGGGAAGGAGAATCATTACCGAGAAAATGAAAAAAGAACAAGCAATATATAATATGATCTGAATAGAAATGATATATATATATATATATATATATATATATATATATAAATCTAATATATAAATGATATATATAATACACAGAGAAAAATATCATTCTACTGTCAAGAAAAGCGATTACTCAGTTTATTTTTCCTTTTTAAATAATAGTTTTCTTCAACAACGAATATATTCTTGATAATAATCTTAAAATATACTCATCAAAAGTGTTAGGAAATCTCATTATCATGTACTCAAAAGAAGAATTTATTTTCTCTTCAAGAATATTGTAAAGTTGTATCAAAGAAAAATCAAACTTCCTTTACGTCAGCTCTTGTAATAAGCAAACCAAATTTTTGTTTTAATTTAATATTCTTGACTAAAATACTGCACTTACTAAAATTCAGAATATATTCAATTAAATTTAATGCTTGTGGTAAACTTATGATATATGTGCGGATATACAAACTTACGATACAGTTAAAATAAATAATATTTATTTGAATACAGTATACATTTTTCTCTGTGTATAATCTGAATATAAATGATAAATATAAATGATAAATAATTTATAAATTATTTACCGCATATTGTTGCTCCGTACGTTGCCCAGTGTTTTTCAGACTTGCTTTTCTTCTCCCTTGCTATTTCTTCATTGCACTCACATTCACTCCCGAAAATAAGATTAATTAAGATTAATTAATTAAGATTAGTGTACGCAACGATCGTAAGACACTTTGCATAGCACTCTCGATCGCGTAATAATTACAATTAAAAGTTTAGCAAGTATTAATTATAATTATCATGGCAAATTATGTTTCGCGATTTTATTCTTAGAGAGAAAATTTGACAATATATAAAGTATTTCGCACCTTACTCCTCGAATATTGCCGTATGAATGGTATCAATGATGCCCACGCGAGCAACACGATGAAATGAATGGAGGGGGTAACGGAGCTTGAATGGCTCATATGATCGTTACCCCCTCCACTCGCGATTGCGTGTTGCTCGCGTGGGTATTCTGGCATCACTGAATAATATTAAAGCCACACTAGTAAACACAGCGCGTCATACGCCGCCAAGGCCAAACGTGTTATTGTCCATTCATTGTCGAAATACTTTACGTACTTTAATATTGTACACGGAATATTAAAGCGTATAGAAGTGTTTTAGATTATACAGATTAATTAAATAATATTTGTTGAAGGATTGATATATTACGAAGCTTTTCATTATGTTAATTATATCGATTTATGATTCGATTTGTTTTGCTGTGCGTTTTGAATCTAAATTATATTTATAATTGAAAATTATATTAATAATTTATAATAATTGAAAAATAAAACAAGATAAAGCATCGCGATCAAATTATGTATTCTATAAATATATATCATTAATAATTTCTTATAAAAATCAATTTCACATCAAAACTACAATTTATTATTTTAGATTTCTGTTTCTACGATTCTTACTTGATTAAATGAATAAATTACGCGAAATATGCACTTCGAGAATTTTCATTGCAATATATATACATATATGTATATAATAATTTATGTAAATTGAGGTAGTGATCCAATATGCTTCGTATATTGTCGAATTACTTTTTTAAATGCAATTGCGAGTATTTGCGCGAGTGAGTGCCATGAGGAATTTGAATGAGTGCAAGTGCCACGAGAAACAACAAAGTGAGCAAGAAAGAAAAAGAAGATTTAAATAATGGACGGATCAATGAGATATATGGTAAGTAATTAACATAATTATTTATATCATATGTCATATGCCATATGTGCGAGTTTCTTAATCCTTTAACCATGAGTATGTATTCATGATATTAAATCTCCAAACGCAAAAATAAAATTTCGTTAACCGCAAATAATTATTATTAAAAAAAGTGCCCAACACGTAAAAAAAATAAATAAATAAATGAAGTAAATTATTGAATAAATAAAATAAATAACTGTAGATAGACGCGAGATAACGTAAACAAATAAAACTAATGAAATTATCAATAAGCGATCGTACGTATTTATATTTTTATTTATATTATTTATATTATCAAAGAGAAGACTGACAGGTATCATGGTCCGTTTTAGGTGATCTCTGAAAGTAATACGCTCTTTCTGGACATTAAAAAGATGATAACATATCCTCTAAGAACATTTGTGGACATTGTAGTTCACGTTTTTAATGTCCAGGGAGATTTAGATATCCCTTTCACAGAGATTACCTAAAAGCAGGTCATGATCATGATATCTCTGTCTTCTCTCTGATTTAATACAATGTGGAAAGGATGTTTTGCACTATTTCGAGATTTCATTGTACACTACTACAGCTATTTTTTATTTTCATATCGGATACATGCGAATTACATAGCTTAAATATACTAGTACAAAATCAATGTTTTTAATTTTTCATATACATAATCCATTTTATTATCTTGTTGTTATAACTTATGTACGTATTTTGCATTATTTGCAGAGTAAAATAATTTATTCCCACAAGAGAATAATATTTCTGTTAAATAATCAATTCCAGAATACCATAAAACAGAGCATTAATATTTTATGATATACATTATACGTTTATTTCTGAATATCATTTAAAAAATATAAAGATTAAAAAACTTCTTCAATAATATTTTATATATGCCATCCATTTAACTTGTAGAAAATAGAACGTACTTATTCTTCCAAGAAGAAATATTGTCCAGCCCTCTTTTGGTCTAAATCCTATAAAAGAAAGTTAAAATTATATACGTGTAAGATTTTATTATATATATATATATATATATATATATATATATATATGTGTGTGTGTGTGTGTGTGTGTGTGTGTGTGTGTGTGTGTGTGTGTGTTAAAAATACTATGTGTATGCAAAAATATACACATTGCAATTTTTAATAAATTCTTCACAAATATAATCTCGAATAAATATATGAGAAACCTTACATATATTAATAAAACTTATACATACCTTCACTGATTGATTTTTATTAATTCTTGGTCTAAAATTGTTGGGATCTCTTCTAAAAGTAATACCTAATAGCTTCAAAAATCTATTCATTCCATTGTATAAAGACTGAGGACTATGGGCAGTAGTTGCTAGAGATGGTGTACCAGAGAATACTATTACACGATCAGCCAAGTATGTAGCCATAATAAAATCATGCTCTACTACAAATCCTGTTTTCTTTGCATGTAATATAAATCTAAAATGTAAGTTCAATTCTTATAATTCTTATTTATTTATGTATATTGCGCATTTTCCACAATTAAAAATACTTATTAAATACCTTTTAATGACTTTTGCTGCAACCAAACGTTGTTCAGAATCTAAGTATGCTGATGGTTCATCGATTAGATAAACATCAGCTGGTTTTCCCAGACAAAGGGCTAAAGCAACTCGTTGCAATTCTCCTCCAGAAAGATTTTGCACTTCTTGATCCATAATATCGTCGATTTTTAAAGGCTTCATTACATCAGTTACAAATTGTGGATGTACATATGCATCTCGAATCTTTTCATGTAATAATTGTCTAACAATACCTTGAGATTTGGGACTTATCTTTTGTGGTTTATAACTGATATGAAGTTGAGGAATACTTTCTGCAAAGCAATAATTTTATCGTTTTATTTTATATAAAATATATAATGTGTAGACTTTTATATCTTTCATCAAATATTTTATAAAAGTTTCCCAAAAGTATAAAACACAAAAATGATATTATTCATAAAGATATCTGGCAATTTTTTAATTCAATTTTTTCAAAAGCAAGATTTTTGTAAATAAAATTTTATTTTACATCTTTAACTATTTTTTATACATAGAAATGATACAAAAGATTTACTTTTATTATATATATATATATAAGTCTTAAATAAAGTTAAGTAAAATCTTAAATAAATTTTAAATAAATAAAATTTTGATTTTTTAAATTAATAAATAAAAATAATTAATAATGAACCATATAATCTTGCATACTTATATTTAAGTTTACCTGAGCCATCATCTAATGCTAAGTTGCCAGCCAGCATCCTGATAAATGTTGTTTTACCAGTTCCATTTTCTCCTAACAGAACAAGTATTTCCGAATCGGTAAATTGTCCTTTTTCAACATTCAATTTAAAGGTTCCCATTGTTTTTGTCATTGCAGGATATTCATAATGATTCATGCGTTTTACTTCTTCTTCAGTTGCACTTTCTGCTACTTTAAATACAAGAGATTCTTCGCGGAATCGTAAATTTTCCGTGGGAACAAATCCATCAAGAAAAATGTTTATTCCTTCTCTTACAGAAAAGGGCATAGTAACAACGCCGTATGCCCCAGGAACACCATAGAGACAACAAATAAAGTCTGATAAATAATCCAAAACAGACAGATCATGCTCCACTACTATTATAAACCTAATATATAAAATATAAATATATTAAAAATTTAATAAAAATTAATATATATGTAAAGTATTTTACAAAATAAATCTTTACTTGTCTGGATGAATGAGAGATCTAATAGTTTTAGCAGCATTAAGACGTTGTTTGACATCTAGATATGAGGAAGGTTCATCGAACATGAAAATATCTCCATTTTGGATGCAAACCATTGCACAAGCAAATCGTTGAAGTTCACCACCTGAAAGTGCTTCAATACCTCGATCGCGTATATGCAATAAATCTAAAAAAAGAAAAGAAGAAAATCTTAATAGAATTATATAATATGTTAAATATTCAAAATTATAATAATTAACATTATTGCTCACCAAGCATTTTGCAAATTTCCATTTGATTTTTGCACTCATCTTTTTTATCTAAAAGTTGCTGCACAGTACCTTTTACAGCTTTAGGAATTTGGTCAACATATTGAGGCTTAATAAGTGCTTTTAAATCATCCTCCAAAATTTTAGTAAAATAATTTTGCAATTCACTACCTCTAAAGTGACTCAAAATTTCTGTCCAATCTGGTGGATCCTACCAAATAAAACAAATTTTATTCATTTTATTATTGAAAAACTATATATTCATATATATATAGTTTAAATCGATTTTATGGGTACATACAGAATATCTTCCCAGGTTTGGTTTTTGCTTGCCAGCTAAAATTTTAAGGGCAGTAGATTTACCAATTCCGTTAGTTCCTACGAGTCCTAGAACTTCTCCAGGACGTGGAATAGGAAGTCTATGCAGTTTAAATGAATTTTTCGAATAGCGATGCGTTGTTTCTTTCTCTAAATTACTAGGAAGATTAATAATAGATATTGCTTCAAATGGACATTTCTGCAAGAATATGTTTTTGTTAGTATCATTATTAAAAATTATTATTGTGTAATATTCATAAAGATAGACATTGTATATATACAAGATATTTGAAACTTGATAATTTAATGATAATATCATTTTAAGGAATGTTTAAATAGTTAATAAAGAACATTTTATATATTTTATATCAATATTATATATAAATTCTATTATATTATAAGCACATTATATGATATAGTTACAACTGAGAATATAGGTATAATTATAATATAATTATTACCTTGACACAGATACCACATCCAATGCATAACTCCTCTGAAATAGCTGCTATTTTACTATTTGGGTTGACTTCTATACAAAGTTTTCCCATTCGTACTACAGGACATGATCTTTTACATTCTTGTCTACATCGTTTTGGTTTACATTTATCAGAATTCACAATTGCTATACGGGTTAACCGATCTGTCTCTTCCATTGACTTTTTCGGCGGCATAGTAGAATATCAACTTAAGAAAGATAAGAGAACTTTAAGTACAATTAAAATAAATTATATATAAATATAATGTATACTACTATATTCAATATTCTAAATATAGTATATATTACAAAATAATTGTCAAAATTATTTCTAACTTTTTTATGTATTCTGAAGCATAAATATTATGCAGATTGTTATGAAGTAAGTTAAATACTTAAAATATATATAATTATAATTATATATATAGACTATCCATATTAAGTATAAATGAGATTCAAGATATATATATGTATGTATATGTAAATAGTTTTAAATTTCTCTTATATGTATTTATATCTTAGATGACATTATTTTAGAATTACTAAATATATATAGTGTCATATGCACACACATATACAGATTCTCTCTCTCTTTCTCTCTCTCTTTCTTCCCCTATCTCTTTTTCCTCACTCTAGAATATATATTAGAATATTTTTAAGTTATATGTATATATTATATTTTATTTAATAGAAACTGTGTTATATACACCTATATATTTTTTATATTTCCAATAAGTGAATTATAACTTTTTTGTACAAGTTATATAATATGAAACTTGCAATAAGAAGTAAATAAAGTTTCTGTAATTTTCTTTTAATACACTTTTAAATATTTTTTAAATTGTTTTTCCAAAAATTTATTATATTTATTAAACTTATATTTTTATGATTAACAGAATGTTTTATAATCTCTACAGATAGAAAAATCAGCAGAACAACAAAAACTTAAATAAAGCTTGAATACAATAATGCATTAAAGATATATAACAAAGTATTTTAAGAATATAGAATATATATCAATTAATATATATATATAAAGAATATATTATAAATTTTAATTAAGCATATAACACAAAATTAAAATAAGATATACAATAACAAAAGACCAAAACGATGATAAGTATAAATGAAATAAATTAAAATAATTCACATGAGAATATCAATGTTCAAATTAATACAAGCTGTTAAGATAATACTCCATATTATGAACATTGTATACTTTACATTTTGGAGTAAATAAAATAATAACACGCAAATGCATTAAATAGTTCACTTATAATTGGATTTTAACTATTGTAAATGTAAAAGATGTTAATGCCATGCGGCTTTAACCTAACATTTTCTAAACGTTAGATCATACTTCAACGAAAATAAATCTCGAAAAGAAAATTATCAGAAATAACACAGAAAACATATGTTACAATACAAATGACAGAACAGTATATCGATGCATACCTATTGTAAATTCTCAAAACCAATAATGTGGAAGCGATTCTGCTCAATATTTTCTGACTTTTCTAAAGGAATATTTGCTATTTCCGTGTTAAACACGCAAGTGCACAGTGCACGTAATGCGAGATGGAGGAACGAATCTTTCTAGGCGGGACTTTTGTGCGCACGCGTGAGTATGTCATCGACCATATGACGGATCCTAAAAGCTTGAATGGCAGCGCCTCTATATTCATTTTAGAGTTCCCGAAACTCCATAGTACATCTATTCCTTCGATGTTGGTAAAATCTTCATTTGGTGTATGTCCGTACTACATATATTGTGTAAGGATCAGAGAAGTACGGAAATATTATGAATTTAATAATATAATTTTATTAGTTGCGCGTGATGTCCTTTTATTTTAGCATATGTTATGGGCAGCGTATATAAATTATTATTGAATTATTATTATAAATTATAAATTATTATTGAATTATTATTATTTTTATATGTATGTATATGTGCGCATGTGTATACAATAAAATAAATTTTCTCAATCAATTTTCTTAATAATTCTTAATTTAATAAGGAATAAAGGAGGCACCTGTAACAAATTGTTTTTCTTTTTTATTATTTTTAGAATAAATATATGTATATATTTATTATGCTACTGTAAATTTGTATACAACAGAGTTTTTTTATTTAATATGCACAGTATTTATTATAGTGCATGCATTCGAACTTATTATAAAATGGAAACAATATGTATATATATATATATATATATATATATATATATATATATATATATAAAGTATCAAACAATTCAATCAAATTAAAACTACCTATTTTACATTATAGTACTGAATTTTTTCATATTTGGTTTTTATTTTATATCTGTCATAATTCTTTGACAAAGATTCTCATAAAATATTGTATAAATTATGCTCTAATATATCGCACGTATATTTGCTATTTGTCCTTTGAATCTACTTTTTTATTTCCTAAAATACTTTTATCTACATCGTTGTACAAAATAGGACTTTTATCATAATAACTGAAAATAACTTTATTATCTTTAATGATAGGAAAATATTTCCAAGAAAAATATTCAAGGACAGTGTATGTAACTAGTAAGCACTTTTTTAAATTACAGTCTTTGCATTTGGCTTAAATATATTTTATATAAAAAATTATATATTTATTTACACATAAATTAATTTCTCTCGCTATAATTGATAAAATTTAAATTTATAAATGGTAAAATACTTGCGCGCTCGCATGTATATGTGTATATGTATTATTTAGATAGAAATTTAATAATTTATAATTTACAATTTACTTCTATATACATATATTATAAATTATTTTTCCTCAGAATGTATTCTTTCATAGATATTTTAATTTGAAAAAATGAAGGCAAGAAATATAAAGCTGTTAAGAAGGGAAATATTTAAAAGTATTGTATAATGGTTGTTTGAAAGCATCGTACAAAATTGAAATCGATAGATCTTCATGTAAAGAGTAACTGAAAGCATTAGAGAAAAACGATTATTAATTAGTTTGTTTTAATGATAAGCGATTAAAATCTTTTAAAGATTATTCAGAATCACAATTTTGACAATATATGTTAATATTAAAGTAATTTGGAGAGAGGATGCTTTTTATTAAATTATATACACATTCAAAATTTAGTTCAAGTTATATAAACATAGGTATTATTAAAAACAAAACATACGTGCAAATTTTTATGTTATTTTATTTTTTTTTACATTATAATGTTAATTTTTTCATTGGAAATTGAAGCCATCAAATTTCCAACATTTGTATAAAATGTTATAATAGTTATATTTAATACTTTTAGTTCTTATACATATGTGTAGAAATAAGAACAAAATGTGATCGGTATATATTGTATTTTTGTATTTTCAAAATTTTGCAATTTCGATATTTTGCAATATCAGTATTGCGTATCGGCGTTATCGTTTTGTGCAAAATAATAGAGCAGAATTGCTATTTCCAGGAAACAATTCCGCTTTTTTACATTTTGTTAGAGAAACTTGACACAATATATAATACTTTAGACGCTGCAAGCTACTTGTTTAATGATTTACGAAACTTACTTGTCGCAATATACACTTGTATTCTGACTATAGGATTTTGTTGGAAATTCTGTGGAAATATGAAGGGTATGTGAAAATTCGAAATAATATATAAAGTGAATCGTATATGAAGTAATAAATAATTATATGATTTTATTATTTATTATCATATAAATTAACAAATATAAATTAAATATATATAAATTATTTAAATTAAATTATTTAAATCAAACATTATAGAATATTTGTTAATATTTGTTAGGAGGACTTTATTTATATGATTTAGAATATTTCTGGTATATTTTATATGTATTCCAATATTTGCAACAATTAGTAGTATTGCAAAAATTAGTAGTATTCTAGTCCAACTAAATGAACAAAAATACAATATGAAGCAAAATACAAATTCTATTATGTATTTTATATACTTTTAATTTCTATAGTTATATTATTGTATTTTATTTCTATTATAAATAATAGATAAGGATAAAGATAAATATGGTGCATATAAGAAATAATTATAAGAGGAAATTCATCTTTTATTTTTTTCTTGAAAAGTTAATTATAATAACGTCAATAATAATATTGTAATTATATCTTATTTATATTATTTGATTGTGTTTTAATATTTAATATTCATAAAATATATTTAATATTCATAAAAAGAATTTTTTATATACTGTAAATATTAATGTATAAATAAACATTTACATATTTGTCAAGAAATAATTTTTGATGTTACAGAAAAACTGTTTCTTAAATATTATACTCAACATGCCTTAATTAATATAACACGAAATATATCAATTATATTGCAGCAATGTTATATTCTTGCAAGTTCCAATGTATATTGTACAGATATTGTAAGAATGAGATATGTATAATTGTAATATTTTACAAGAAATATTACAATAACATTTTAAAAATTACAAAAGCAATGTGTCCAATAGTTAATTATTAATTATTAGTTTTTTATTGAATGCGCTATCTCATATTTGTAAATATATAAAATTTTTTATGCAGAAAATTACTCAAATATAGTGTAATAAAAAAACCAATTCCAATTATCTTACAATTAGTCAAGGTGTTATTTGGCTTCCTGCTGCTAAATGGGATTGCCATTCTTGATGCTAAAGGGGATGAATCTGCCTGCAATTACTTTCAAAATTTAGAAGCTGGACGAATATATTATGTGTATAATTCTGAGTATCCCAATAAATATAACGGTGAAAAACATTGCATGTGGCAAACTAAAAGTCCTTATGTTACTAAAATAAATTGCAGTGTTGAGATACCAGCGTCTGTAAGTTTGTAGATAAATACTTTGTTCGAGATTTATGCATAGATTTTTTTTTAGCATTAATTGGAAATTTTCAAGCATAATACAATTTAACAGAAAAGAATCCAAGAAAAAAAATCATTTTATTGTATTTTACTATATTATGTAGCTACAGTATAGAATGGAAAGAATAAATTTAATATATTATTTTATCTATTCTTATATTATCTTATATTATCTTATTAATTATTATTTTATTTTATTTCATAGAATGGTTGTGAACAAGAGAGTTTTTCTATCGAATTTACTGGAGGAAATATACAGAATTGTGGTTTCAGTACATTGGGTTTTGAAGGGATAGATCCGATTATAAAACTCAATTCATCTTCTTCTTCTCAAGGAGGTCGATTTTTATGTAAAATTCAAGCAGAGAACCCGTTCGATGAAAACAATTGCAAATGTGGTTGGAAAAAAGTAGTAAGTACAATTTATATTCATAAAATATTATTTACTAATTGGTTAGTAGTTATTGATTTGTAATTGACTTTATATTCTATAGCCAAGTATATAACTGTTTATTAAAACTACTTTAATTTGATAAGCGTTTAAAATAAAGTATCAATCATAATTTAAATTATTTAGACCAGAATAGTAGGCGGTACGGAAACTGGAGTAAATGAATATCCTATGATGTGCGGACTCGTTGATATTAATGAAAAAATTATATATTGTGGTTGTACTATAATATCTGAACAATATGTATTGACAGCAGCTCATTGTATTGAAAATAAAGATATCACTAGAATTGGCATTCTTGTTGGTGAACACGATGTAACTACAGGTAATTTTATACTAAAATATTTAATTAATACTTATAAAAAAATTTTAAGCAAATCTTTGTGATTGCAATAGTCTTCATGTCCGGTTGATCAATTGATTTCGTATGATATTTCGAAAGAAACTCAAAGCAGCAAAGAAATGCTTTTCCGTATGCATCGAGAATATTCTAAATTTCAACACTGAAATAATAGCTTAATCTTGAACTATATCATTTTGTAAATAGGTGAGGAGACCAATGCAACTAAGCTGTTTCTTGTGAATAAGTGCATAATGCATCCTTCTTACAAAGAAAATAAACAAGACGATATAGCTGTTTGTAAAATTATTGGTACCATAAATTATAGTGCTGAGGTTGGTCCAGTCTGTTTACCATTTCATCATAAACAAGACACGTTCGAAGATAATGATGTAGTTGCGTTGGGTTAGTATTCTCTAATTATTTTCGTAATTATTGATTATACAATCTAATTTTATATAATTTATATTGTCAGGCTGGGGTTTGAAACAATTTGGCGGCGCCAAATCAACTACGCTACAAAAAGTAAACTTAACGGTAATAAATCTTACAAACTGCAAGGATTATTATCATGAATTAACCAATAGCGATATATGTACTTATAGTCCTGGAAAGGATTCTTGCCAGGTAAAGAAATAATATTTATTAATAGTTATAACATAAGAGTGCAAAACTGTATTATTCAAAAACATAGTGAAACAAGTCATTTCAAAGATACAATTCCTTCTTTTTTTTTGTAGATGGATAGTGGCGGACCTCTCTTATGGCAAGATCCTACCACACGTAAACTTGTATTAGCTGGTATAATATCTAAAGGTATTGGTTGTGCTTCAGACGAACCTGCTGTTGAAAAACGTACAGGAGCCTACATTGATTGGATACAGTCTATAACATCTGGTAAGAATTGGCAGTAAAAGAGAAATTAGAATAATACAATAATTTTGTTACTACGAAAAAAAATCGGTGTAATATATTCATTATTCTTTTATTATTATTTTATTATTATTTTGTTCTTTTATTATTATTATATTTTATTTTATTTTAGATGTACAATATTGCAAGGTAGAATGAGTTTTGCATGACTAAAGAGAAGGATTAATTTGTAGAATTATGGATCTATGTTACATGCTTTCTGCATGTTACCAATTTTTGCAAATTATGTATTTTGAAATGTATTTATAAATATTAATAATGTGTGCATTAAATATCATTTAATTAGCAAAGATATTGTATAATGTATAATTAAATATTATTTAATAAAGATATTTAATTATATTTATCGCCATACCAATTAAAATATCAGATTTGAATTAAAATTGTATATTAGTCACATATTTAAACACATTAAAAAATATAAAAATTTCATATTTTATTTTATTATTTCTCATAATAATTATTTGCTCAAAATTTAAGCATGATTTCTCAATCTGATTAAAGTTATTTAACTTTTACACTAATCAAAATTGATTATAATTTTTAAAATAATTAATTCTTATTGTGCATTGCAGCATTACTTGAGAAATTTAATAAAGATAAAAGACATTGCTAATCAAATCAAATTTTCCATTTATTAATTTTAACGAATTTATTAATTTTAACATTTATCCTAAATTTTATTTGAATTCACTAATGGTTCAAAAGTTATTTAAAACTACACAACAAAACATGATGCAGTTATTGAGTGCAGTAAATATCTTTGATTACTGAATCCAAGTGATCTTGATCTTAATATGATCTTAAATACCTGCATGAATCAATCTCGATTAATTTCGTAATATCCCCTTGCCATAGCATTTGTACAAAATAATAATATTCTTTGAAAAGCACATAATAATTTTAATAATATTTAGAAACACAGAAAAATATTGCAATAATCATAGCTATCGTAGCACATTGCAGTTGCAAAACTCAAGTGTCTAAACTTTCCACAAAATGTCCATTTTGTTGATCAAGAATCTCCTTAATAAAACGGAAATCATCTCTGGAGTCGCGTAATAATATATCTTTTCTTGCATGAAAAAATTAGACGCATGATTAGCTTAAGAAAATCATATTTAATTGAAGCTCTAGATAAAGTAGTAAGATTTTAAAAAATCTCTGGAAATTATTTTTTGAACGTATAAAAATAACATTAATTTATTTCGTTGAACAATTTATAAATTTTAAACAAGCAGAATAAAAGTGAGTAGAAAATATTTGACGACATGTACGAAATATTCTGGATTTAAAATATATTTACAATTAGTGATTTTATATGATATAATCCCATTCAACCATCAGACTGAGGTTTAATGGAATTTGGCAGCAAACCTGATTCGCTACAAAAAGTAAATTCAAATGTGATAAATCCAAAAGAATGCGAAGATGCTTATTCTAAAAGTAATGATGTTAACATAACTAACAAAAACATATGCACTTACACTTCGGAAAAGGATACTTATCAAGTAAAAAACAACATTTTTTTATTGCTTGATTGTTATTAATGCAAAGTTATGATTATATTCAAGAACAGTGATATATAAAGCATCTCAAAGTTATGACATTTTTTTCTATATGTTTTGCCACAGATGAACAGCGGCGGGCCTCTCTTATGGAAGAATCTTACTATAAAAAGACTTGTATTAGTTTATATAACATCTGAAAGTGTTAGCCATGCTTCAGCATGCCAGCTATGTATGTACGTGTAGGAGCTTGCTTTAATTGGATATTATCTGAAACATCTGGTAAGAATTGACAAATAGGCAAATTAGAAATATGAAAATGTCATCGCAATAAAAGATAAAGTCAATATCATGTTTTTTATTTTAGATGTCCGATTTTGTGGCATAGAATAATCTCTTTACATAATTATTTCACAAGATTATGATGACTCTTTATCATCAATAAATCAATGCTTCGCAATTTTGTAGAAAGATATGTATAAAATGTATGCACTATAATATTATAATAACGTATTTATATTATATTTTATTTTAATTATATAAACATAATATTCATTATGTTTGCTTCCATATAGAAAATGGTTTTTTTATTTAATGACTTATCATTTCTTTGGCTATTCATAGTTTAATGCTTTTTATTCTTCCGACATGTTTTTTGTAACCGAAATTTCTTTTGTTCGAGAAAAGAAACAATAAAGAGAACACTTGGAAACTGAAGCATAATAACGAAGAATGTATTTTATTTACACATATCTAAGAAACATGATACTCAAGAACAAGAATTAAGAAAAGAAGTGTTTATTGAAATTAAAATAATATACAGTTACGGACATGTACATGCACATAGAGATAGATTCATATGCATGAGTATATTTGTGTGTCAGTATATATATATATATATATATATATATATATATATATATATATAAAGTTAAATTGCTAAGTAAGCCGTGTATGCTATCTTTGAGAGCAGAACTTATAATTAAGTACTGAACTGAGATTACATTTATTCCGGAAATTAATCCAATCAGCACGGAGATATGTAAATTTAAAAGTTTTGAAATGTATCGATTAATTGCTTTCGCGAAATTTGATCTTAATTCAGAGAATTTCGGGATCATTTCCGGTTTTATACTTATCCACTCTTCAAAAATCTGCAATGATAGCTGATTCAAATCAAATTTAAAATGAATATACATATATAAGTGAAGATACATACATGTGTAACATTTTGCTATTGGATTTTAATATATGTTAGTATTGATAAGTTGAATTCTACATTTTAATTTTCAATAATTAATATACTAGTTATATTATAAAATAACAATTATAATTATAATCACAATTATAATTTCTCTAATAAATTCAACCAAAAAAAATATTATTACAATATAATATAATAAGGTAATTTTTACCGAAAGAATTCTGATTTTTTACCGAAAGAATTCTGATTTTTTATTCAATTTCGAACAAATTAATTGGTTGAATTTATTAGTTTTCCAGTTCGTGCGATCAGATGTTTTTTGCAGTGTGATTTACATTAATCTGCATTTAATTTTTAATCTTTGCATTCAATTACAATAACCGTACAAATCATATTTTTCTAGATATATGGTCAACTGATCGCATTTGCATTTTTGCGAAATGTAACGACAAATTTGATAATGTATGAACAAGATAGCACGTAAATCAATAGTTTTTAAATTATTCTTCGATTTTGCCAGTAGCTTTTGCAGTCGTGTTATTTTTGTCAAAAGGCTGGACGAGAGAGAAAACTGTCGCGTAAGTACATCTGTTAGCGATATTTCAGCTCGAAACAAAATACGACAGTGAATTTCCGTTTTCTGGCAGAACGCCAGTTGACGTGGATGCTGCATCCAATATCGCGATTGCAGAATGAGGTAATATGTTTTCTTGCTGGATCGTCATATTTTTATTTGATGACTGATGGCTAAATCGACAAATTTATTGAGTTTTCTTGAGTTGTCTTGTATTTTAACTCTAATATTGGTCGATTTATCAAATCGAATCTTTTATGATCATTTATTCATTGCAACAGCATTAATTAGTGATTTGGAATTAGCTCATACAATACCGTATGTTTATTTGTCTGATTTATAAAATTATAATTTTCTAAACTAGCTTTTTAGTTCTTCTGACAGTTTGAGTAAGCTTATATTAAATTGCAAAATAAAAACAGTTTTTAGAAACAAAAATTTAAAGATTATTAAATTTAAGATTATTAAATAGCTACTGTACTCACACTCTATGATATATTAAAAATATTTTGCAGTAAATTTTTCTTTAGAATTGGCAGAAAATTCTCATCTCTGTATTTCTGTAATTCATTCGATATTTCAAGTTTGTTCTTCGTTATTCGTTTCTTCTCGTCTATTGTCGATGCCAAAACTCTCTTGTATTTTAGCCAAACTGTGACCGTGAGTATCCTTTACAAGAAGGGCGCAAAGGATTCCGGCTAGCCAGCAAAAGCCAGCAAAGAGCCACATGGTCTTTGTAACACCGAGAGCATCCAGCATTTCTCCAAAGGTCATCGTTGCTATTAAACATAACAACCAGTTGAAAGTGGCAGCACACGCAACGGCAGTCTCCCTTATTTGCATTGGAAATATATCACCCAGTAACGCCCATGATATCGGGCCGACACCGATATTAAAAGCGGCAAAAAAAAGGGCTGTCCATGTTGGCGGCATCCAGAAATAAATATCGTCGTATTCTGGATCCTGGTCCCTCAATTCATAAAACCATCCTGAAAGTACATAATCAGAAAAGATATTTTATTCTATGTTAGTTTCATGAAATTTATTGCTAATATATTAATATTATTTTATGTATTTTCACAAAAAAGTAAATAGGTTTTTGGTTACGAATTATTAAAATTTAGTTAGGAATTATTAAAATATGAATGATTTTGCATTCATGTAATATTTGCTACAAATATCAAAACGAGTAGCATTATTAAGTGAAAACAATATTTTTTATATTGGAACATAGTCATAATTTTTGTATATATATTTAATAGACGTGATGTATACGATACTTTTTTCAAACACTAATTGGAGGATGCAGTGTTCAATTAAATCAGTAAAAGACTAGACTACACAGTTTATAACACATATCTATAACACATATCAATATTTATAAGCAAAATAAATAAAGATAGCTTTTTTGTAAAATTGTAACTCATTTCGAAATAGAACATAGATTAAATACTGCCTTAAGTATTTTTATTATATTGCGTTTTCATTTTTTAATATAAAACAGACTGAAAAAAGAAATTAAACTAAATTTTCTTTGCAAAGCGAAAAAATTGCAAATTGAAAATACTGATGACAAAAGAATTTTCAGCTACTTTCTTTCTCTCTCTTGACAAATTTTGAATTTTATACATTTTTTTTACCTTTATTACATGTATTACTTTTGATAAAAATCTATATTTTATTTGAAAGAGAGAGAGAGAGAGAGAGTGAAAATTCAAAGAATTTTCACAAAAATGAAAATTTTTTTGTTATAAAGGATTTACAAATTACAATGAATTATAACATGATAAGCAATATCTTGATTGACATTTCATTTTCAGCATGCATTTATTTAGAATATTATGTTGTCGGTAATAAAATAAATGCTTTAAATCTTTAACAATTATTATAGTTATTATCTGCTCTAACGAGTATTATTATTATGAAATCGGAAATTGTTTACCTAACAGCATCAAGAATAGTCCCATAAGCATCGAAGATGTAATTAGTAATATTCGACGTCCGACCATATTTATCAAACTCGTAGCTAAGAAACAAGACAGTATTTGTATGCTGCCAATAACGATGGTTTGCTCGCTTGCAGTTAAATCGCCTGATCCGCCGACATTGAAAAGCGTCAATGCGTAAAAGATCATAATATTAACGCCACTCAATTGTTGAGCTAAGAATGCGAAGAAACACGTGAAGAAGGAATTTACGATATATCGATTTTTTAGGATACTCATTGTGCTCTGTAAAGAAAAATTTTATATTTTAGGATCTCTTAATGATAAGTTATAGAAAGCAAATAAATTTTTATAGAAGAATTAAAATAATTTTTACATAGTATCTTATTTGTATCATAGTATTTTTTATAATGCTCTGCAATAGCATTTTGTTTCTAAAGATCTTTATATTAATTTACAATAACTAAATACTAAATTTAAATTGATGATCATGTATTTTAGAAATAATCATGTTTTTTAAAAATAGATTATTTTAATGAAATTTGTTTTATGATGTATTATTTTTGTAGTTTTATATCTGTATGGATAATATTGTAAGTATAATTTTTTTGGATAGTTATCATAAAAAATTAAACATTTTACCTTTTTTGAGTGGCTTACAATAGCGAGATATTTTAATTCTTTCATTTCGACGTCATCTTCATAAATTTGGCCACGGTACCATTTTAGAGAATCTCTGGCTTTAATTTCGTCATTCTTCATAAGATAATAGAGAGGGCTCTCAGGCACTAGATTTATTAATGCAATCAGGAGGCACGTCACAGCGCAGATAAAGCTATATCTAATTATTAACGATTCATAAGTTTTTCTGAAGTTTAATTCTGATTTAATTTCTATATTTCATATAATTTATTAAGATTGATATAAAAATATGCGATATTACTAAAAATGTGATAATAAATGCATGAATGTGTGAATATTATTTATTAATAATTATAATTAAGTTAAAGATAGTATATATTAATATGCTATTAATATAAAAATCTTATTATCTATTTAACACAGGATATAAATAAGATTTGAATGATCGATAATTGAATAAAATTTGATAATAAGATTTAATAAGCTTAAACTTTGAATAAAATTTACGAAAATATAATTAATGAATTTAAAATTAATTAATGATATAATTCCTTAATCAAATGACGATTAGATGGGAATGGAAGCCGAATCGAAATATTTTCAAAAAATCAATCCCTGTTATATGTACGTTATATTTCTTTAGATAATACCATTAATATCATTAATTATATAATTTAATTTCAGATGTTTTTATACCTTTCTTTTTTCTCTTGGAAAAACTTTAAAAAGAAAAGCAAATAAAAAAAATATTTAATCGCGACTAGCTGAATAAAAAATTAATGATATAATAAAGTTTCAAGAATTGATTATCTGAACAATATTTAAAAAATATTGCACATTATCAACGTGCTTTTCTAGTCAGTAATTATTATTTAATTATTATAATTAAGTTTATAAATTTTGCGTACATCACATCAATATTGTGTAAATACCTCCATATAGCATCGTGCTCCTCTAAAATATGGGCAACCACAAAAGCATACATAATTCCGCAATTGATCAAGAGATGAAAATACATAAGAAGTTGTTCTCGTAAATTTTTATCTGCTATTTCCGCAATATAAATTGGAGTTAGAATGCATAATGCTCCACCACTCACACCACATATCAGTCGACCAATTATGAGAAGCAAAATCTATGAAAATATTTGATATATTAATAATATATATTTAAAAAGTTATAAACTACATATAATTTTATACGTAGGAGTTTTATATTTGTAGCATTAATATAAATTTTTACAAATCTCTTCTTTAAAATTTAATAAAATATTTTATTTATATATTAAAATTGTGCTCCAATATTTCAACTAATTTGATTCATTGTCCGATGTTAAAATGAGATTCAATAATGAGACAAGGTAAAATTCATGCTTCATGCTTTAAGACTCCTTTAATGACAGAGGGCAAATTTGCTTTCACTTTAATTTCATGCAGTCTATTATATGTAAATGGCATTTTGGCAGAACTTAAGATTTAACAGAATGGCACGTGAAAGCATACTTTTTGGTCGGCCAAGCAGATAAACGTCCACCCAACGATAAATCCTGGCATGGTCAAGAATATGATTGTGATACGACTGAGATACTTCATAAAGAAAGGCACGATCATTACACCAATACAAGCACCGGCATTCAAGATACTACCGATAAGGCCAATCTCGATACTGTTAGCGTTTAAGATATTTCGAAAGATCTCTCCTGCACTGGAATTCCAACCGAGTGTGACACCGAGAGCGAAACCACCGAGAGAGGCTAAATTTTCAAACAAAAGGGTTGTTAATTTACTGTGTAGTAAATTAAATAAACTCTAAAACATCGGCGATATATTACTAGCATATCAAAAATTTAAATTTACTTCAGATAAATATATTTGATTTTTATTATTGTCTTTTTATAAATGTTATAAATCAAAGATTCTTTTTTATTTAAATTATATTTATTTTAATTTTATTTATTTTTATTTAAATTGTATTTTATCTTTTTAGATTATTTATGTGTAAAAATTTTTGTGTGTTGGTATATACATGCATATGCATTGTGCGTGTGTGTAATTTATATGCATAGAATTCTGACATATTATCTGTTAATGATGGATTTTTGGCGATACTTGAAAAAAATCCTTATGTTTAGATTATATAACTGTCTAAAGTTTATGTTTTTAAATACGATATATCTCGCAGTAATAAGGATACTTTTAGATCTATTTTATCGATTTACTTTTATTTTATTTTAATTATGGACATATTTTTATAATAATATTAAAAAATCCTTCTTAATATATATGCATACACATAATAAAGATATTGTTATCTAAAAAAATTTAATTTGCATAGAAAGCATATAATCTTTATACAATTTTTAATTTATAAATATATATATATATATATATATATATATATGTATATATTATATTGTTATATTCAAATTCCGTGTAATTAACAGACTATTCATTCTTGCTCTTTAGCAAATCATAAATAGCAAACATTATTTAAGAAAAGATAATTTTAATAAAGCTAAGAGGATAAGATAATTAATTAATTAGCAAAGCTATCCGTGAAACACGAATATATAACTTGACAACAGTTGTCAATCTTCAAAGATGCTGCTTTTGTTGACGAACAAAAAAATACTCGGAGACAATCTCCCAAAAACGAGTACATCGGATATCAAATGTAGCCTCGAAAGAGCTTCACGTAGGGATGAAACATAATGCACTGCTCTTTCTTTTCAAGATTATTGTCGCGACAATCAATAACCAAAGGATTTATTTTATTAGTGTGTGTTTCAGATCAATTTCAGAATCCTTGATAAATCTTTCTGTTCTATCTTGGGCTCCTGCCTAAATTATAAAGTGAAATACTTAATCAATCGATCATTACATCAACTCTATAGTGTTTCGATAAGGCTTCTTGCTTTACTTTGGGTCCAAGTTATTGAGCAATCCACCATACTGGATCTAATCCACTACCAACTTACTTTAACGTTAGTTTCAGAGAGAAGGACGAATTGCTATTCTATCTTAAATTGCTGTTTAAATTATCAAGCAATGTATTATATCTTACCCGCTATTAATTTTACAAGTATTCCATCTCAAACTTCGTTTTGATGCAGACGCATTATTGTCCTTGGGATTTTTTGGACAAGAGGAGAATATACAGAACACTGGATCTATCCAGTGCTCTGAAAGAATTTCTCAAGCCCCAGTTTCAACATTTGTTCTTTGAGAGTTTTAGACAAGAGGGGACTATTCAGAACATTGACCTTATATATGGATCCAGTATTCTAAAAGAATTCCTATAGTCTCTGCCTCGGTACTTGCTCTTTGTCCCACGGAAAAATCACGGATTAAAAACCGTACATGAGCTTTCTTTAAAAAAAGTAGTCTTTTTTCTTCTCCAAAAAGGCTCAATTTCACATTTAAAATTTTTGCATTTATTTTTTCTGAATAAAAGACAATAATTCTTTGCGAAAGCAATCTCGTCTTATTTATTTATAAGAAATTATTCAACATCTTTTTAAATAATAATTATTTTGCAGGCTATGACTGTGTAATTTAATTATTAACTTTGTCTCAATTGTTTATTTTTTATTTTTTTAATTAAGAATTAAAACATGTATGTGGTGGGATACTCTGCATATTTGCTTAAAAGTTGTATTCAAAAACTTTACATAAGAATTATGGTTATAGACATAGTTCTAATTAAGAACGTTTGTAGTACTTGTAGTATTTGTACTTGTAAACAACACATATACATACACGTGCGCGTATATACTGAAAAATGTAGAGAGAAAGAAAAGCAAAATAATACCTTTTTTAAAATAATTAATAAAATAAAAATGTGTAATATATATAAATTATGAGGTGAGTTTGATATTATATTATACAAGATCGTTAGAAATTATTCAAATTTCTAGAAAATGTAAATATATTCTAAACATTATATATGTATATATTATATATTTTATATATTATAAATATATTATCTATGTAATTTGGCAATTTTTATAATCGGTTTTTTTCAAAAGCGAAGTTTTATACAAAGGATATTTATTCTTTTTGACTTAATTTGGAATAAAAAATCACCTTTATTTCGAATGTATTTTGATTTCAATGCAATTTGTTTGTTAGTCGTATAATTATTTTTGATGTAAATTATACGGACGCATTTCATAACACTATTGTTTCCGGAGTTTCCGAATTGCTGCAGCTGCAGCACATTTATTGTTTTTTACGGTCACTCCATTATTGTAGTTGCTCTATTATTCTGTTCTTGCTAATTGGCAATCAAGCCATTAATTTGATTTAAGCATATGATAATGCTTTATTTATTGAAGCTGGAAAATTTTTCTGTCAGTTATCTTAAAGCTCCAAAAATAAACGGCAAAGCATTGTGTAATAAATAAATTAAAATTGTGCTATTGAAATTCTGTATAATTATTTATTTTATATTCAATTATTTATTTCTATATAATTATTTTGAGCTATTAAAATAATGTGTAATTAATTTGAGATAAAATTAGAGTCTATTTTTGTAGAAAAAATATTATTTCAACAAAATAATCAGAAGAATTTTTAATTTAATATTTTTTGGTATATATTGTTTTAACTCTCGAATAATTATTTTTATTATTGTTTTATTCAATATTTATTTAATTATTATTAATATTTTGCAACTTAAAATGATCATTAAAAGTAATATTGTCTACATTTACCTATAAAAGCAGCAATCCGCTGATTCCAACGGTGGATTCTACTACCGTCAGTGACTTCGGAAGCTAATGTCGATGTCATTTTCATAACTAGCGTGATGAGCAATGCTGTCTAAGCGTTATCGTAGTTCTCCAACTGTCAACTACTGATATAAGTCGATTCGAGAGAATTCAGTTGCATGACTGACCACACGAGCGAGTTCAATATGAACATATCGATTTCGCGTTTAATATATGACCGGATGTTTTGCCAAACTGTGTTTGTGAAATGCCTTGATTTGTGATTTACTACAATTGCTACAAAAATGAACACAATTTCGGGTGTAATTGCTTACTATAAGCTTTTCTTATTTTTAAAGAATATTTAGTAATTCATTATATATCAAGAAATTCATTAGATGCAGTATCATATAATTAAGCATAGAATCAATAAATTGTTAAATATTGTATTATAATATATACAGAATAAAAAATATTTAGGATAAAGAATATAGAAAAATATTTAGGAAAATAATTTAAGGTAATTTAAAGAGTCAATAATAATGCAATTCATGTAATATGTCAATTTCTAAAATCTTGAATTAGTCCATCTTTGATTCGCTTTTTACGAAATGCAATAAATTTGATTGGCATCAATGTACATACAATACATGCAAATAGTCTCAATATTTCATCAGCTGATCTTTTAAATAATGTTTGAGACAGAAATCAGTTCCTGCAATTATGTTGATATCTTATAGAATTGATATCCTAAAATTTATACCTTAAAATTTGTGAACGTCTTACATATATATATTTTGCAAATGAGATTAATCATTTTAATGAAAACATTTATTGCTGGAAAGAAATTTATATCAAAAAATAATGCATTAAATAAAATAAATAATACATACAAAGTAATAAATATAAAATAAAAATATTTTATTTTCAAAAAAATTAAGTTCATAGAAGTGTGTTTAATTAATCTTATATTATAACAATGGAAAAAAAATGAAATCATAAGAACATCAATAATGACGTATCACCGTAGATCTGTACTTTCTAAATTTAAAATATAATTTAATTCAATATCTTTCAGCATTCAAAATAGCTTGCAGCATACAATAATACATTGATAAGCAGCAATGTTGTTTTTAAACTTCCCGAATATAACGATTGAACGTTGTAATAATAAGTGTATATATACATCAATTATTGAAACATTTAATTGCATTTGATGCAGCTATATAAAAATAACAGTCTATATTCGTTAATGCAACTATATATAGAATGAGATGCAAATGTAAACGACATTGAATGATGTAGCTTTAGAGTAAAGTGGAACATTTTTAAAGAACATAATAATGCTTTCACTTATGTACACAAAACACATACATAAACCTTTGACAACATATATCATTGAAAATTTAAGAATATAAGAAATTCTAAATAGTATATTACTTTTCTTTCGGAATAAAAAAATTATTTCTTCAAAAAATATAAGCTAAAGTATTTCAAACTTTAAGATTTACTTGAAATATTACTCTAATAAACACTTATTTAGATTACTAATAAACTTTTTTATTATTATGGATAATTAAAAAAAAGAAATAAGGAAGTTAGCGCCATTTTTTCTATAGAGATAACTTGGATAATATATTATACGCTTTTTGTGAGATAGAGAGAGAGTAGACAGAGATAGAATATAATATAATATAAGGATATAGTTTCATGAACTACAAGTATCGCAAATATCGTAATTTTTTTACATCGTATAAAATCCATACAGGGCACACATTTTAACTTTATCAATGTTAGCGCTTAATGCTGCGTATATATAAAGTCTTATCTTTCTGCCATCAGATTTATGTTTTACATTAAAATTTAAAGCACTGTGAAGATTGGACATAAAAGAATATCTGATATTTACATAAATTACGATGCAAAAATTTTTCATTGCAGGAAAATATATATTATAAAAACTCTGTAACGAAACATTTCAAATAATTGCATCTAAATAAAAATAAACATTGATAGAGAATAAGGAATATGCGCAGACTAAAATTATGTGACCATTTAAATCATTCTTTAAATTTGTTAATAGTGTTTTTCTGGTTTATGAAAAGTGATAAATTCTGATAATTACTTATTAAACTAAGTAAATTGTTTTTTATTTTGTGTATATGCATAAAATATGATATTCTCAATTATATAATAATATGCAAAGTTCATGACGTTGTAATATAAGCTTTTCACATGAATAAAGAGAATAAAACTGCAGAAATAAATTGTGCGCAATTCTCATTTTGTCTTCATTTTATTATTAGATTTAAGAATTTTCTTATAAAATGTACTAACAAAAATCTTTTAAAATCAATGACATTTAAAAATGGAACAAACATTTCAGTACTTTTTATTAAATCTAATTTATCTGTAAGTATATTTTTTGCATTATTGCATTATCAAAACGTGTGTATGTTTGTAAAAAAATAAAAATTAAAACTTAAAAATTAAAAACCTTATATATATGCTAAATTATACAACTTTAAAAATTATTTCACTTTCTCTTAATAATATACGATTCTTTTAAATTCACGCATACAAAGATCTGCACACTAAGATTGAAATATTTTAAACTGTAATATAAATAAGAATGTGATCGGAATAAAATGGATTTATATAATTTTTATGATACGGAAATATATTTTTTGTAAAAATAATTGTGTCATTATATATACTTTAGTTATCCTAGCTCTTCTTAAAATATATTATCTTATTAATAAATTGCATTAAGAATAATTTTTTCGATAGAAATGCATAAAATTGCAATATTATAAGAACAATTTTATTATATAAATGTCATATGATTAGTTTTATGTTGTCGGTATTAAACTCTTTTTCCTCGACCATGGCCCCATTTATATTTCATCAAGACATAATGGCGGACGACATTGCGACCTCATTGGAAAATGACTCAACTTTTCCAGATCGAAACGTTACAATGTATATTTTTACTACAATGTAATGTGTGTGCTCCTTTAAAACTGCAGAAAGCAGAGAGTTACATATTCGCAGAATTTCCATCGTACATCAGAATAGCTTCTACCTATGAAATATGTATCAAAAAATAGTATAGATAGGCACATTGCATTCATATTAAATGTACCAATTCATAAAGAGTTTTTCAAGACAATTTTAAAAGGTCTTTTAATATAACAAATGATCCAAAAATTCTGAAATATACGCAAATTTTCTCCAAAACGAATTACCTGTTCTTCTCGCAGATGTTTCTCTCCGCGTAAAAACAGGATATATTTTTTAATATAATGGGGTTCCTGCGTATTTCTGTCAAGTACGCGAATTTTTAAACACGTATTATCCGGACAGACGAATGAATCGAAGTAACCCAAATCATTTAGCGGTCATCAGATCTTAACATGCTCGATTATTTCATGTAAAATATATTAAAGATTTAGTCGACCACAATAATTTATGCAAATATTTATTTAGAACTTTAAATAATGATAATATATCGCCTGCAGTAATTAATTTTAAAAAACGTTTTTTCTTTTTGTATGAAAAAAATTGAAATATGATATTGATCAATCAAGCTTTGGCACTAAAATTTTAAAATATTCAAAAAGAGTTAATCACTTTAATCTGTGGCTCATATCTGTAATATCTACTATATCTGTAATTTATATCATAATGTTAAATATATTACATATCAGATTAAATATCAGACAATCTCTGATTTATTAAAATACACTTATTAATCATATTAGTTAAGACTAATCTAAATTTAAAATTCTAAATCAAACAAAATTATGTTGCGTTAATGGAATTAAGCGATGCCATAGGGAATTCCTGTAACATTTACATTATGAAAATATAGATTAATCATATATTGCATGATGCAATAAAGTCAATATGAAACAACACGCTGCGGATATTGGCTTTTTGTAATTTACATTATATTATATGTTAATGAGATATGAAGTATAATCGAATTGTGTGAAATATATTTTGTAACATTTATTGTGTTTGATAGAATAAATATTATATAATATCTAGCTCCTAATAAAGTACAGTAGGATTGTACAAATTGCACAAAACCTTTAATTCTATATAAATTCTATATGTTACATTTGACAATAATCTATAATTAATCAGCTGGCCTATTTACTTTTAGAATAACAGATTATTATATTGTCACGATCATGTATTAAATCCGTTACAGTTCATTGCTCTTATGTGTCACATATACATCCTATTTGATAGCACAATGTATTTATTTTCAAGCATACAATTTCACATAAACAAGGTGTGTTTTATTTGTTAGTGAAAAAAGTACAAATAAATACAAATAATGCAATCAATAAAAGCTAAATAAACTAAACAAGCCGGTAGTATTTTATATTTCAAGATTTTTCTTTACTATATATTTTTAAATTATTTACCATATATTCTTAAATTAAAAGATTATAAATGGTATAGACTTATGCTATATTAACAAAAAATTAATTAATTAATATATTTACTAAACAATGTTTTCTAATTTTTTTCTATTTATATATATAGCATACAATAATTATTTTACATTGCAATAAAGTAATTAACGTAATTGATTTGAAAAGTTTATTTTTCCTTATATTATAGAGGCCATATTTAAGTCTAGAAATAAACTGTATATAAAGTTTAGAAATGTAAAGAAATTTTTTAAAATAAAATTGCCTATATTATATAAAAATTTCGATTATCTTAAAAATTACGAAGATCGTTAAAATATATACAATAAAAATTTGTTGAAATATTTCATAAAATGTTTAAATGTTTAGTTTTGATTTCATATTATATATGATAAAATCATTATAAAATGTTAATATATGGAGTTACAATAATAATAATCAGATATCTAAATTTATACATATGTTTTTTTTATAATTTTGTCCGTTGATATTAACATCAAAAACAATATGAAAAAATCCTATTTTGATGTATTTAAATTGGTATTATTTATTGTGTATGTATTTAAATTTGACAAAAATCTATGCGATTGAGAGCATGTGCATTGAAATAAATATATAATGTAAATGATAAGATGAAAACGTGCACTGCATGACTGCCAATGTAGTTGATTATAAGTGGACGTTACCTATTTATTGTACCTATCTATTGTTTGCATTTCAATTACATTTCTCATTTCTTGGCCGAGATGTCAATATTCGGCTCACTATTGAATGCCATACGGTGCAGCTGCGGATGTTCAGAGAATCTAAAAGCGGCCAATATATTATGTCAAAACGATTTGATACTACGACAAGTCATTGATAAAGTATCGATTAAATGCTTCCGCCATTCCTGTCAAATCTTTTTTGTAGAATAACCGATTTTAAACAGTATTTTATATAGATTACTATGTTTTCATAGATTTTTTAATATTGATTTTGTATAATAAAATATCTTTGCGACAAAGCGTTTCAAACTTAAATTATGATAAAACTAAGTTTTAAACTTGCAAATGCATTATATATAATGATTATTATATTTGTAATAAAAAGAAGAAGAGAGAAAATCTTTTGATTTATTCCTACATAACAATTAAAACTTTTTATTTTAATTTTAATTTCATTAAAATTATTGATAAAGTATTATATAATTTTGACTGTATTTCTTATCATATTGATCATTTGCCTATATAATATACAAGCAAAATTTTGTCAGGAGTTAATTCCGTAGCTAAGTGACATCTAATATTAAGTGCACAGCTGCCGCAATCACATTTCAAGAGATATTCTTCTCACGCTGAGTGAAATAAATTGCAATTTCGATTTCCATCCAATAGATTCCGATATCCCCATCGGTAGTATATAACTCGTAAAAAAAGCACCTTTTTTTCTATTCTTTGTATTGGATCGAACATTCTCGATCTATGTATTGCTTCGTATTTGCACAAGATATTGATTAGAATTGGTCGTTGCCCTCGAGTGCTGGTCGCTTTAATCGAACAATAATTAGATATTATAAATTATATAATATATAATTATATACTATATAATTATATACTAATTATGAATGTAATTAAGAATCTGCTGTCACATTACGATATCTTATGAAAAGTAAAAACAAATGCAATAAATATAATGTTTGCATTCACTTCATCAATTTCATAATTGTTGTAATTCTTAAATATTAAAGTTTTTTTAAATAAAAGAGATTAGAAAAAAATTAAAATATAATAATTATTACATTTTGAGTAAAAATACTTGAATGAATTAAAAAATTAAGCTTGTCTAAGTTATGGAAAATTTTAACAAAGGACTTATTTACTTTTATAGATTGCATACACAATATGCAAAGATTATTTTACTATATCTTTTTTTTATATTTACAAAGATTGTTCTATGTATTCGTCTTTTTATTTATATAATTCTTTTATGTGCAACCGAAAACTTATAATTTATAAAACTTGTAATATTGATATTTTGTTTGCAAAACTTTTAATCATTTTTTAAATATTTACTTTTATATTCTTCCTTTCTTTTTTCTCTTTTTCTTTCTTCCTTCCTAGCTTTTATTTAAATTGAGGAAATTAAACAATAATATATATGTTAAAAATATTAAGTATATATATTTATATTAGAATATATAAACATATATAATACATACTAAAATCATGTAGAACTGTAATGTAACATACGTACATATGTATACACATATGTACACGCGCGCGCACACACACACATACATCATATAATCTTGTATATATTCACAAAGATGACTTGTTTGTTTACTGAAAAAGTTAAATTAATGTTTAAGTTATAATATAACTGATATAATTTATCAAATATAAATGATCAGATAAAATAAATTAATTTATGTCCATGCATGTGCTTGCATTTAAACTTAAGACCAAAGAATTAATGCTGGGCACTCAAAAGAAATACATTAACCAAATTAGAAACATAAATTAAAAAATAATAATAAAGTAATAAAATAATAAAATATAATAATAATAATATAAGCAGTCTATATATAATTGATAAACAAAATAAAGTTTTATAAAATTACAACAGTACGTTTGTAAATTCAATGTAGAAATTATTATTAGATTTGTCTAATACAATGCCTATAAAAATCAATGCTATTTCTGTTATGTCAAAAATGTTAATTTCAAAAATATGGTCTTCCTGTAATTTATGTTTCAAGTTGTATAAATACATTGGTGTCATTTTTTAAAATGTTGTAACTAATAAAAATTTAAGCATCTTAAACAATATAAAACAATATTAAAATTATTGCAAATTTTTATGTGTAATTTTTTAATTTGAATTAATTAAAAAAGTTATTAATTGCTAAAACATTTTTCTTATATATTATTTTTACAGATATCCGTCACATGTATAATCTTGTTATAAAAAATACGACGCAAAACCTACTATGCGGTAATTTCTTTCTGACAATAAAAAAGAAATAATTCTAGTTGATATTTCGATTCGAAACGTAACGATTGAATACGACGTTCAAGAAGCCACCTTAAAGCTGTCATTCCGAAAAAGCGCGATCCCTTTAAAGGCTGGCACAGGTCTTTGAAAATTTCTGGTGGTATTGGTCGTAGCTTAAATTCTCCCTCGACGCTGTACATCTACCCCTCTATCCTCGTCCCTTGTGCTCGGCGTCCAACTCCCTCTCTCTCCCACTCACTAGCCCGAGGTATGCTCGCTCATTCAAGCTCGACCCCAGTCGCCTCGACAACGATTCAGTCGCGGTCGACCCGCCACGCTGCGAGCTTTGTCGAGTACGTGTGTGCTACGATTTTTCTCTTTTTTCTTTCTTTCTGTTTCCTTCGCTCGTCTCTACTTTTTCTCATCTTTCACCTTACATCTTTATCTCCCTTTTCCTATCATATATGTACATTATTTTCTTTTTTTTCTATCTTTTTTTCTCTTTTTCGATCTCGTTTCATTCTGATTAAGTCACTGTTCTTTAAGAAAATTATCATGGTCCTTCTATAAAGAGAGAAGTGACGAGATTTCTTTCTCCATCTCTCTCTTTTTTTCTCTCCCTCTCTCTCTCTCATTCCTCGGCTTATTAGCCGAGGAAAACCGAATTCGTGAATCAAAATTTGTTTTCTTTATGAAAAAGGGAAGAGAGAAAAAGAGAAAGAGAATAGAGAATGATAGAAAGAGATAAACGCGAAATCGACTTGGAGGGTCGAAGCTCCAGGTTCGGAGCTTGCGCCGGTTCACTAGGAGCTCGGACTCTCACGTACGACAACGCAGCGAATCTTTCCAATTTTCATCTCGCGAATATCTAATAAAATTGATCGATTTATATTTAATTTTGTCAGGTTGCTTTTATTCTAATGTGTGAGAAAAAAAAGAAGCGCTGACTTTTTTGTACAAGTTCCTTCGAATTATACAGATTTTAATAACAGAATCAGAGGACGTTGGAAAGCTAAAATGTGTCATCGGCAATTTCTGCATCATTTAATTTGAAACCAGTGTACGAATATACAAATCTATTTTTAATCACGTCGAATTTCTTTTTATGTTTGATTGAAATCGAGTAAAGACTCTATGGATTTTTTGTGATTGTTAGTATTGTGGAGTAGCAAGTCTCAAAAATTGACGTAAAAATCCGAAAATGCTCCTCGACAGGAGTTGTACGATTGAAGAGTTACACTGGACGGTTCGATTTTGTCGTAGAAAGTCATCGTGTGCTGTCGATATATGCGATTTGATGAGCGACGTGCCGTGATAATGCAGTGATTAATCGTGATAACGTTTACGGTGCACGTGCGCAAGTGGCGACAAGTGCAAGTGCATTTTGTGAGAACGTGCTTTGTGCTTGGCAACGACAATTTTATTGAAAATTACAAGAGATCAGAAATCATACACGAGGATCATTGCATGGAGGACCAATTTACGTAAGTTTTCTGCAATATTATTACATTATAATTATGCTATCTCATAATTATACAATGATATGTGATATTTTTTGATGCATACATGATCATTTTCAATTGAAAAAAATGAAAATATCTTGAAGAATCATTCTCTTCTTATCTAATTCATATATTTTAATATATTTTTTCACAATTTTTTCTTGTGAGATATAAGGATAAAAAATGTTCTTGTGTAAGATTGTCGTCATACATCGTTTACATTTTAATCGTTTCATCGTTTTATAATTTATAATAACATCTAAAATGGTATAAACGAGTTGTTATATAAATCACGCGGAACTTAAATAATCGTTAAATACTATGAGTCACAAAGCTTCAATATCAATATAATTTTGAAGGAAATAAATACGATAAATTAATTATTAAAATAGATTGATAAGACAAATATTAAAATAGATTGATAAGACAATTATTAAAATAGATTGATAAGACAAATATTTTACTATAAGCTTTAAAAATATGTTATATGTTCAATTATTAATGTTAAATAGATCCAATTCATTTAAAATGAATATTTCGAAAATTTAACTTAAATTTACATAACATAATTTCATGTTTAATATTTCTTATCATTTGCAAAAATTTTATAACATTTATTTTCACGCTCATATAACATCATCAGTTTTAAAACAATTAAAATTTTATGGAAAAATAAATTCCCAAAGTTATATGAATTAAATGTGAATTTTATAAGAATATTATTACTTTTTAAAACGGTAAAATTTTGCAATATTTTACTTGTGTAATATGTTGTTAATTATAAATTTGTTTAAAAAAAAACCACATATAAGTGGCTTGCGTTCAAGGTTGTTAACAAATTTCTACGTACATCTGTTGTTTCACTTGTCGTGTCGACAAACTGATTTTGTTTACTAGCTTAGCGAGGTTGCATATGCGAAGCGAGAAAATTATATTTAGCAAATGAGATCCTATCGTGTCGCACGGTATTGCTTCGCGTGACATGAGAAATAAGTATTTGCGGCTATTTGTCCGCGTGCGCTTGCGCTATATTTCGTTTGCGGCTTTCGATGCAGTATCATCGACATGCACTATGCGAATTTTCTGTCCACGTATAGCAAAGATCATTTATAAATTTAACATTTATATTGGAATTGAATCAATACACAAAATAAGTGACGAATAAAATAAAAAGTGTGAATAAAATAAAAAATATGAGTATAATATGAGTATAATAATATATATATATATATATATATATATATATATATATATATACACATATATATGTATATTCCTTCAAATCATATTGATGACTTAAAATTAATTTGGCAAGCTTTGAATTTAATTACAAATTCATACGTGTTAATATGCACTATATTATTCATGAACTTTATTTTTGATTTCTTAGTTATTTTTGATGGTGTTATTTGTGAAATTTGTCATTAAAATATCTATCAAGTGTGTTTACAAATGCAATCTTAAAACAGCAGCACACACCTGTCGCATATTAGTTACATAACATGTATATATATGTATATTATGTTATATATTCAATCGTGTTGTCCTTTGAGAAATTTTCGGTAGAAATAATAATAAAATTTACATTTTCGAGTTTAGTCAGACATTTATGTCGCGAGAAAATCTTAATAAATTATTTTATTTACAAATTAATCTACGTTTTTTGGAAAGATTCGTGTTTTGTAATATACGGTTGTATGAGTTATAAATTATGAAACACATAATATAAAGTTATAAATTATGAAAACACATAATATAAAAATTTTTTTATATGTGTATCTTTTAATCCTTTCATTTTTATTTAAGTTTATATTACAATTATAACTCTTACATTGAAAATACAAACATACGTAATTGCAGAATTTATATTTAATGTAATTACTTATATATATTAAAAATATTTCAAATTTGCTTGTAGTTTTTAGTATCAAGTAGTTTTTAACAACAATTATATCATTTATTTATTTTCGTAAAATTTAGTTTCTATCTCGTAAATATTTTTTAAATATTAATGCTTTGATATTGAAATAAGTATCATTTCTCTCTCTCTTCCTTCTTCTCTCTCTCTCTCTCTCTCCCTCTCTCTCTCTCTCAAGAAGTTCTTTAATGATTTGCATCATCCTATTCATTGATAATAGGTTACATGGAAAAAATCTGTGTGTATTAAAAAGAGCTTTAAATTAAAAATTTATTATATATATATATATATGTGTGTGTGTGTGTGTGTGTGTGTATATTTGTATTTTGTCATTAATATTAATATTATAAAAGAAATAATTACAACAATAATTACAACATTCACAATTATAATATTTTTAATGTAATATATTATTAATTATAATTACATATTATTTAGAAATTATACACCACATATTTCGATATTACAATAGTCATCGCAATATCAATTATAAAAAGGTAGGCTAAGGTAAACGAGGGATCACAATGCCACAAAGCAGTTTCCAATAAATTACATCTTTGCGTTAGCGAAACTATGACTAGTTAATTAATTAACGTTATGGTAAATGAAAGGCGCGTATTAATCTACCATTAAGAGATGAAGAAATAATTATAAAAGAAAATCCTGTCTTATTTTTTATCTTATTTTTTATAGTAGTCTAATAAAATACAATTGTAATTTTTTAATGGATTAATTATTTCAAGATAAATTCCTAAAAATAGAAAATAATTAAATAATTATTTAATTAATCATATAATTATTGAGGATAATTAAAAGACAATATTTAATAATAGTTTAGAAGAGCAAAATTTGAAATTCTGAAATTTTATAGTAAGCTTTTTTTATAAATATCCTTCATTATTACTTTAGAAAGATTAACTTAATATTTACACACACACACACACACACAGAAAGAGAAAAAAATTGCTCGATATTTGCAATCAATTTTTATAATTATTAAGCAATTTTTGTCTTTAATTTAACAAATATTTCTTTTTGTAAATTAATCATCAATTTTGACAACTATTATATGTACTAATTTACATAATGTATAGTTTCAATTTACATTATAAAAAAATGTAAATTTTGATATTTTTTTTTCGGAAAGTAAAGTTATTAAAAGATAAAATCTTTAGTAATAATCCAGCAATTGAAACAGTATTCAAATAATCAACTTCAACAAATTTTACAAGCAATATCGCACAGCAATGTTGAATATTATGAATGTATTTTGAAATTGATTAATTATGTACCGATTTTATAATATTTGTTATGGTTCTACATTAATATTTATTTTGTACGATGCTATATTTACGTTTTTACGGATTTATGTAATGTTTCTTGAAGATATATAGGTATGCGTAAATCGTGAATAAATATAAATAAAAATAAATAAAATCAATCGGACATTAATTGTACCGTTATTCATTATATCGAAGAGTTCATTAAAAAGAATTGTGATTGAACATCAATAGTCAGTTCGAATTCGGTTCGCCAGTTCGCAGAGGAGTATTAATTAAACGATCATCCGCACTACAAGCTTTTAACAATGCTTGAAATAACAATAATATAGGACATTTGTGATAAACTTAAACGAATGGTAAATCTCATTAAATTGAACAACTTTTATTAAGTAATTGATGTTTTAGTGCCTGTTGAAGACATTAGATATATGTAAGTTTTAGCTTTATTTTAACTTATTGAATTAAACGCTATTTAATTCAATTAATTAAATTATAAAATAAAAAAGTCATATGTTTTTAAATGTTGTGAATTTTCTTCGTTTTATAACAAATGTGTAAAAATGAAGGTTTCCAACTTTAAGCATATTTTAACTTCAAGACTAAAACAATACAATAGGATTTATGTTATGTTCCAAGATTTCTTTTTTATATACTTTATCTCCAATGTTTTATATGCGCTAATCCCAATTTAATTATTCGATCATTCTCTTATTCAGATTTCTAATAGAACATTTTTATTTCTCTTTCGAAACAGAAAAATACTTTACTCAATATTTACAGTCTCTCAAAATTATCAAAATTAATCTTGACGTTTAATTTAATATAAAAATGATAGTGCAAATCCGTTTCTACGTTATAGTGGCATTAAAATATATTTAATCAATATCATATTAAATATCATATTAAAATTTATACAAAATACATTTTAAAAATATATATATCGTCAACAATGATACTTTCTTTGTACATGAATTAATATAATTTTTAATGTAACACTTTGTGTAACATTTGTGATTCTCAGCGTTATATTTTTTATTGTATTTTATAATGCGTGTGATGAGTCTTTGCACTTGTATATTTGCTCTCAGCTGCCTGGATTTCCACTATATTTAAATTATATTACGAGTGCAAAGTTAATTATGTAACTATCATCATAATCATAAATTTTTTATTTTTCTTTTCGTGCAATGTTTAGAAATTTAAAAAAAGTTAAATTTTTCTATTTTGGTGTTTACTATAAGATATAATAATGCAGATCTGAAGGATTTTCGCGCTACGAACATTGTGATGTATAGATTAAAACATTAGTAGGCATTATTTTAGTTTGGTGGACATTACAAGAAAAGAATGATTATTGTTAAGCATTGGACATTATTAGTGGTATTTAAGTGTTATACGGATATTTTACTGGGCTAATTATATTAAATATTTTATAGTAATGTTAGTAACCGGATTGTTTGAGTACTATTATATAACATTATACGATATTAGTGAGCATTAAGAGAACGATCTTTTTTTGAGTTGTAAAATTGTGGACATTTTTGCTATTTGTTTTATAATGAACATTATGAAGCATTATCTTACAATTAGTAAATAGTATAATTGAGCATTATTAGTGCACACAATTTTTAACAGTTTACTTTTTGTATGAAAAGTTTGAAAATTTCTGTTTTATCTATTGCTTTTTGTTTCATTGGATTCTTCATTAACATGACATTGTTTTATTAATAATAAATTAATATTTAATATATTTATAATGCATGTATATGTAGAAATTTCTG